ACAACACACTTTCGGCGCTTCACGGTAGTGCCATATCCAGTAGCGCGCACAGTCCACAACAGCACACATGAAAAGCGGCAGCTCGAGTTATCACTATCAACTTTCGGCGCTGCCTGTTGACATAAAGTGAATCACGCCCACGCGTGATCGTCTTGTCACATCTAATGAATAATGTATCTCATTGAGTTCACATATATTGCAGTGAAAACGACGCTATATAATTGACAATCTGAAGGCAACCTCTTCATATCTTCTTTCCCACTACCACACCACACACGAAAATGGAAGCCTATTAATTGGTAATACGTAATCTAGAATTGAGATTATGTACAACATTCTTCACTACAATTTTACATTTTGGCAGCAAACCAAATATGATCAAATGCAATTTTACCTTACCAAATATTTGGTAGTGCCAAAACTTGCTTATATTTTGGCATTAACAAAATATTTGTACGGTAACATTCCAAATATGCCCTAAAAAATAATAAAATTGTATTTTACCAATCTTGGAGATTTTAATCTTGTATAGTTTTCAATATAAAAAGATTTGATAACTATTGATATTTATATAAAAAAAATATAGAGCACAGTACAAAATCGCCCTCCCCCAGGGCGGCAAGGGGGCCGCCTGCAAAATTCCATGCCCCCTCGCCGCCCATTTGCAGGCGGGCCCCCGCACAGTGCAAAATCGCCCTCGCGGAGGGCGGCAAGGGGGCCGCCTGCAAATTTCCATGCCCCCCCTCGCCGCCCATTTGCAGGCGGCCCCCCGCACAGTACAAAATCGCCCTCGCGGAGGGCGGCAAGGGGGCCGCCTGCAAATTTCGTTGACGGCCGTCGCCCGAGAGCGAACGGCCGTCTGCCACGTCATTTTCGCCGCCCTCTGGGAGGGCGATTTTTAAAAATCGCCCTCCCAGAGGGCGGTAGGCGACTATTTCCGTCAATTTTCAAAATGGAAAATTATTTTTGTAAAACTTTTAATAAAAAAAATTATAAATAAAAAAAATTCCTCAAGAAAGAATGCACTGAGATGTATCATATTTTCTAGTATAAAACTTGATATCTCCAGATAAGGTATTTCGAGATACCAAAATTTTTAGTATAAAATTTAGATATCTCGAGATACTTCTCAAAGACTGTAAAATTTCTCTATTGGTTATATTCTAGGGACTGACTGAATGGCTACAGATTATACCATCACACAAATAACTAAAAATATAAAGTTCCCGAGTATACCTCAACATCAGAATGTATGGTAAGACTTTCAAGATTTGGGACAATATTTTGAAGCTTGGTAATAACATAACAGAGGAAGTTGGCCTTATCATAGAATTCTATATCTAGGGTTTTCACTTGCGATGATTGTCCAAGTGAGAGTTCTACTAGGTTACCAGAATAACTAAGACTGGACAGGTTCGGAGCTTTGCTCTCTATCATTTGCAGACGGCACGAGGACACATCCAGGTAGCTGAGTTGCTCCAGCGAACATGGTATCTTCAGATACACCATCTCTCTGCAATCGCTGAGATCCAAATGCTTCAGAGCAAAAGACTCTGAAAGAAAGCAAGCTAGCTCATCATCCGTGATAAGAACAGAATGCAGATGCAGCTTCGTCAGGTTTCTCGAGCAACCAAGCCCAGCCACAGGACGGAAGGCGCAATTGACAAGCTCAAGATGCTGAAGCGACCTTCCAGACAAAAGTGAGCATGGGAAGCTGTATTCCGGAGGCAGCGAGAGAGTGATCTCTTCAATTCCTGATGCGATACCAATCTGAAGCCAATTGTTCAGATGACATATGAGCTTGCGGCGACCACACTAAATCTCTTCACACCAATGCCCGAGTGATTCTTCAGAATGTGATCAACTCTATCGAAATACCTTGCCATATGAACCTTCCAATTTTTTCTCAGTTCCAAGCCCAATGTGCCCGCTGTTAAGATGAGGTTAGGATAGCGTCTCCAGGAACGAAGAAATGCTTGAGATATACAGGCAGCACGGGCAGCATCTCGCAGCGGCATTAGGGAATGTATATGGCGCCAAATGTCCTGCACAAGCGTGGGGGGAAAGAACAGTTGAAGATTGGGATTATAAAGGCAAATAGTTTGCTCCAACTAAGAAAAATAGGACCGGCCATACAGATAAGATTGTACCACATGTGATCTGCAAATATTAGCAATAAATCAAGTTGATTTGGCTTTTTGTGCTTCTTTGTTATTAACTGAGAAAAAAAAAGAGGAATTCCCCTTTTTTTGAAACATGCAGTTTTTTTCATATAGTACCTCTATTTTTTTAATATATGACAACGTTGACTTTTAAACATATGTTTGATCATTTATCTTATTTAAAAATTTTGTGCAAACATAAAAAAAATACAAGTCATGCTTAAAAACCTATAATGACAAATCAATTCATAACAAAATAAATAATAATTACATTTTTTTTAATAAAACGAATGGTCAAACGAATATCAAAAAGTTAACGACGTCATGTATTAAAAAACGGGGATATGACTAGTTAAGAAGATAGTGGTGGTGATGGTGGTTACCGTCCCCAACTATCATATGAGACCCACGAAAAGTGGGAGCTCCCCCCACAGGTAAGACCTCGAACAAGAAAAATATAAAAATCAAATATTCATATGCTAGTTTTTTTAAAAAGAAAAATAAACTCTTTCGGTTTATGACTTTACGGTTGCTAAGCCCACATTATAACAAAGTACTAAAATACTATAAAAAAAATACGTCGCTTATTTTTAGTTGGCTTAGCATAGGTCCACTCAATGTATGCAGACTCAAGTTAGAGCAATGATATATTTTTACTTGCTACGTATAATAAATATTTCACAATCAATATTATGTCCTACCTCCGTGAGGTATGGCTCTGAATATCTCAATCTTTTACCACCCTGAGAAGTATCATCCCCTTGGAGGAAGGCGCCCTTTCGTTTAGCCATGGAAGTAATTACTCCATCTGCAACAAATAATGTATAATAATGAATAATACAGACACTAACAGAAGAAAACAACAAAGTGAAGATTTTTTTTTTTTTGCATGCAACGTTTCCTAAGGGGAGTTTTGTTTCTCTAAACATAAATGGGTACGTAAATGCGTCTTAGTTGCCGTTTGACTTATACGAAGATGAAGATTTTTCACCGCAGGATAAGTCATTAGCAGCATATGATTAGTTAAGTTTTAGTTATTATTACAATCTTAAAATTTGGATTTATTTGATATTTTAAAACAACTTCTATATAAAAGGTTTTAGAATGAAACATATCATTTGGCAGTTTAAAAAAAACGTTCTAATGAAAATCGAGATATAATTTATATCTTAATAAAAAAGAACAGGGTAATTCTTAATTAGAAAGTCAAGGTAGAATTTGCATCTTAATCTGCCATCCATTGTTTGATCACTGCATCATTTATCTTCTCTTAAGCTACTTTTTTTTTCATATATAGTAAACAAAACAAATCCACATTGGAAGAGGAAGGAGCACTACAATACCCTGCTCAAATCAAATCAAACAGAAAAGAAAAAAAAGAATGGAGCTAGAAAGGATGCTTGCTATTCACTCTGCTATGGGGAAGACGTTACGGTCAAATAAATATAGATCAATCTCAACATAGATGCAAACGAGCCTAGCTAGCTTGTCGCTCGCACAAGACCTCACCGGACGAAAGGGCATGTAGCCTAGTGGTTACAGTGACCTGAGTACTTAAGTAGTACCCTAAGGTTCTGAGTTCAAATCTCTATAGGAGCGAATTTCAGAGATTGGGTTATTTGCAGAGCTAAGTTCCCTATTTCAATTGCCGTATATATCCAGTTGGATGTAGAGGCCAATAAAAAATACCCTTTAAAAAAAAGAGAGGCCGATCGAGGAGGGGAGGGAGGGCTTACTACGGGCTTGGGCCTTGCGACGACGGCGACGATCTCGCTGCGCCGCCATGAGACGCCTCAGCGCCAACATCCCCATCGTAGCAGCGGCGAGAAGGCCGACACCGACGCCGACGACGACGACTCTCCTCGCTCCGGATCGGGTTGAAAAATCGGGGGGTTTCGATTTATCAATCTACTGTCTTCTGAAGAGATTAGGAAATCAGCATGCCTCTCCTGATGATGATGAGTCCTGACTCGATCGGTTTGAGTGGGACTTTAATTTCAGCCAATGAAAGACTGCAAAAGCTAGAAAAACTCTAAATGTTTCACCAAAATTAAACTCCGAATTTTTCATTGTTTTCTAGAGAAGGTTTTTTTTTACTGGATATATGTAACCTTTTTAAACTAAGACAGGGAACTTAGCCCTTAAATAATTCAATCTGAAATTCGCTTCTATGATGATTTGAATTTAGGACCTTGGGGTGCTACTTAGGTCACTGCAACCACTAGGCTACATGCCATTTCACAACTTCGAATTTTTCATGCTCTAGCATTGATGATCCGGACAATCTTTTAATTCTTACTGATCGGCTAAAGCAAGACCCCGGGAGACAACATGAGCGAACCATTCCAACACTCATCCATGTAAAATTAGCGCATGTTTTGTGGAGCTCCAACTCCTCAATCTAACTCTAGGAGCTAACTCTAGATTGGAGTTGTAAAAACACCCTACTTCACGTCTCTAGTTTATTTTTGAGAAATTTTACAGTGCTTCTCTCTAGTTTATTTTTGAGAAATTTTATTGCAGAGATAAACGTATCAAAATTTTTAGTGCAAATTTCGTACCTCCTACTACCTCATCAAACATGGTACACTAAAAATATGATACCTCCTAAAATCACTCTTTATTTTTTTCATATCACTCTAGCCCACTACTAAAATTATTTGGCTGTGCTCTAGCTCTAAGAGAGGTGGAGTCAAAGCTAGAGCACTGCCAACACACTCTTAATAACAAATTTAAATATTGGATTTAATCACAAGGTGACTGGACATCAGATTGTACACTGGTTAAGTACCATCGGGAGACATCGGAAGCATTAAAGCAAGATGGAGAGAGACACCATGACCAACCATTCCAATGCTCATCCATGTAAAAATTACGAAGTTAAATACTGGATAAATTACATAGGTAACTAAACATCTGATTGTACACGTGTAAACAATAATTAAATGTCGCCTAACTCAAGAAGTGGGGAATGTGATCAATTTTCCTTTGTCTAAGGCATCTAAACGTTCAAGATCATGGCACCAGATGCAAAGCTCGAGAACGGTTAACTCAACCTTGGATGGAACTTTCCCCCTGATGTATCTTTCGATTGCCATGACCCCTCTATGGGCTTCCAAGATCATCTCCCTTCTTAGTGCCAATGTAATATATTCCAGTGATATCGCATTCTTGAGTAAATAACATGTTAGCTCAACCATACTCGTCGCAGAGCAAAATCCAATGATTTCCACATCCTTGAGGCTTTCGTGCTTGTGTCCAGGCATCGTCCTCAAATTTGAGGCGTCGCCAAAAACTGAATCATGCTTCATTTCTCCCTGTTGTACCTGCATATACAATAAAAAAATAATGGCACCTAAATATTGCTTCACCATAGATACTACATACTCCCTCCGTCCCTTAATATAAGAGATTTTGACATTTTGCTTGCACTGTTTGACCACTCATCTTATTCAAAAAAAATACAAATATAAAAAACGAAAAGTTGTGTTTAAAGTACTTTGGATAATAAAGTAAGTCAAAAAAATAAATAATAATTCTGATTTTCTTTTAATAAGACGAACAGTCAAATAGTGCAAGCAAAATATCAAAATCCCTTATATTAGGGGACGGAGGGAGTATAATTGTAGGAAGGGATGGGAACTTACACAAAAGATGAAAGAATCCAAAACAGGAGAAGCATCAAGAATAGAAACCAAAGACAAATAATCATATTATGGGGGAAAGGCCTTGTCGGGATCAAGACTTTCAAAATAAATCTCCAGGTGCTTCACGTGGAGGAATTTGGAAGCTACCATTGGCGTATTAATCCTCTGCATAAAGATATATCACATTAATTATATATCCTAGGGAATGAATGCATGCCTACAGATTATGCCATCACACATATAACTACAAATATAAAGTGCCCGAGTATACCTCATCAATTGAATGTAAGGTAAGAGTTTCAAGATTTGGGACAATATTTGGAAACTTGGTAATAACATGACAGAGAAAGTTGGACTCGTCATAACAGTCGATATCTAGGGTCTTCACTTGCGATGATTGTTTAAGTGAGAGTTCTACTACTAGGTTACTTATATAGCTAAAAGTGGAGAGGTTTGGAGCTTTGCTCTCTATCATTTGCAGATTCTCGCACAAGGATACATTCAGGCAGCTGAGTTGCTCCAGCAAACACGGTATCTTCAGACAGATTATTTGTCTGCAGTTTAGGAGTTCCAACTGCTTCAGAGCCAAAGACTTGGAAATAAGACAAGTTAACTCGTCATCCTTAATACGCACTTCACATAAATGCAGCTTTGTCAGACTACTCAAGAAACCAAGGCTAGCTGTGGGACGGAAGGCGCATCTGACAAGCTTAAGATACTGAAGGGACCTTCCAATGCCACCAGATAAAAGTGAGCATGGGAAAGTGTATTTTGAAGGCAGCAAGAGAGTGATTTCTTCAATTCCTGGTGTAATAGCAATCTGAAGCCAATTATTGAGATAACATATGTTGAGATTGCGGTGATCATAGATGATGTCAAGCTTCAGTCTCTTCACACCAATGCCCGAGTGATTTTTCAGAATGCTGTGAACTGTGCTAGTGAAATCCCTTGCCATACCAACCCTCCTATATGCTTTATGTTCCAAGCCCATTGTTTTCTTTCTTAAGATAAGGTTAGGATGGTGTCTCCATGAACGTAGAAAAGCTTGAGAAATACAAGCAGCACGGGCAGCATCTCGCAGTGGCATTAGGAAATGTATATGGCGCCAAATGTCCTGCACAAGCATGGAAAGAACAATTGAACATTGAGACTATAAAGGCAAATATTCAACTAAGGAAAACAGAACCACGCAGAATAACATTCTACCACAGATGATCTGTGAATGTCAGCATGAAATGTTCTGCATCAAAGAAAAAGCTGGTGCACTTGGGACTCTTTCGCAGTGTAGTGGCATGTTGCCTACTAGGACATGCATCAAAGAAAAAGTTAGTGCACTGGAATAGGAAGTATTCTATACAAGGTTGCCTGTATATTAGGGAGTGTTCTCGTATCACTTTGTATTTACGGTCACAATGCCTCAAAGATGGCTGCAATCTTTACATATTGCTGCCTTTAACTGAAGAAGGATCTCAGTAGATTTTGGTAGGCTCCTTATTAACGTTTTCTTTCTTTCTTTCGTGATGAAGGCATTATCATTATTGTGTACGGAGTATTATTTCACATAGAGGATTAAACAAAGCCTAAACTCTTATGGCATACCTCTGGGAGGTCTGGCCCTGAATATCTCAATCTTTTACCACCCTGAGAACTACCACCCCCTTGGAGGAGTGTGCCCTTCCGTTTAGCCATGGAAGTAATCACTCCATCTGCAACAATATTATGTATGGTAATGGTTACTCCTAATTAATAAAGATACTAACAGAAGGAAACAACAAAGTCAAAGCACATAAGCACAAACAGAAAAAAAATGTTCTATTTTTTCCTGGAACTGCACATAAGCACTGTTACACTCGTGGTTTTATTGGATACTGGATGCCTCCTCTGGAACCATCCGTTGTTCAAGTATCTCTTAAAATCTTCTCCCGAACCACTTTTTCTTCAGACTTGCTAAAAAGATGTCGACATTTTTTGGGGCTGATCTCAGTCGGCTTTGCTATCCGTCTGATCGCTACACGTCTTCGGTTGTGCCTGTTCGGACCGTTCGATTTCTTCTCCTGATCATCTCCTAGAAAGTAAGGACTGCATATGCTTTTGCTTTTTAACTTTTCCAATGTAAGATTTAAATTTATAAATTTACATAGTAGTTACACACCACTTACATATATAATTACTATGTAATTTTTTGATTTACATATGTAATTTTGGGACCTACATTATAAATGCACTAAAATTGCATATGTAATCTAGGACTTACAATGTAAATACAAGTCGACTATTGGAAAATATGGCGCCACAAATATACCTACTCTTTTTTTTTTTACAGATCAAACTATTGTTTTTTCCCTGAACGATGAAACTAGTACTACTTTTTTTTTTGCAAACAAATCCACATTGGAACAGGAAGGAATACTTGAGCACTACACTACCCTGCTCAAATCAATCAGGGAAAAAAAAGGAGCCAGGATGCTTGCAGATCAATCTCACTAAATTGAAGATCTTAAGGACCTAGCCGACTTAGATCAATCTCAATTCTCAACCTAGATACATGAATCGGTTTAGGTTGCGGAGGTGATCGAGGGGGGGCTTACTTCGGGCTTGGGCTTGGGCATCGTTGCGGCGGCGGCGGCGGCGACGAGGCGGCTGCGTAGCCATGAGACGCGTCAGCGCCAGCAAACCCATGGTAGCAGCAGCGACGATCCTCGACCTCGATCAAATCGGGGTTGCAAGTCGGCAACCCGACAGGAATTAAGCCGGGCGGAGTGGGGGATCTCCTTTTGGCGCGAGGGTGGGAGTAGGAGATCGCGTCGGCGCCGTCTGACACTGACGAGAGTGGGAGATATGTTTCAATTTGTTCTTCTTTTCTTTTTCCTGTATACAAGAGAAAGCGAAATTTAACTAGTATTTGACACTATTAAGTTTGGCAATTGTTCAAATGTCCTTCTTAGATTTGCACTTGAGAGCGCGCGCGTGTGTCGGCGTCGTGAGCGATCGATTGAAGCGCAAGCGCAAGGTGCGGCAATGGCGAGACGGAGGAGGAAGAGCGGCGCGGAGAAGAGGAAGACGCAGTCGGTTAGCTCTCACCGGGACGGACGCCCAGAAGCTCGTTGAGATGCACGGAGGAAGGAGGGGCTACGTGATGCGGGTCAAAGCTCTCTCCATGGCGTCGAGCACGCGCGCGCCCTCGCCCCCCGCGCCGGTGAGTCGCCGTCCTCCCGCTCGCGCCCGCCCACGTCGTCGTCCGCAACCGCCCGGTCGTCATCCGCAACGGCGCCAGCGCCAGGCCGCGCCTCCACGACCTCCCCGACGCCACGCTTCGCCGCCACGCCTCCAGGCTCCTCCGACGCCGGCGCCGCGATCCGCCACCAGCGACTCGGCGGCGGCGCCGTGCGGCATGTCGGCCTCCTGTTCGAGGGCTTGGCCGAGGCGATTCTGATGGATCGCCCTGTTCCCGCCGAGCTCTTCGACCACGCCCCCGAGCCCGACCCCGCGCCTGCGACCTCGCCGCCGGATCGCCGCGCTGCTCCGCCCTCGCCTCCACCGGCGGAGACGACCATCCTCGACTTCGTCCGCCAGGCGAAGCGCAGGCTCCTTGAGGTTTGGAAGCTTCGAATCCCGGCCGAAGATTTTAGCGTCATATGTGAGTAGATGGTTTTCGTGCTCATTAGTCACTTTCAGGAAGTCTACATGACTAGGGTGCACGAGTTTTGATCATGTTGTCTCTAGTTTACGCTATAGTCGATCGGAAATATTAGTATTCGGGAATCGGGATTCCTCTGTACATTGATAGGATTCGGGGTTCCTCTGTGATCTATGAGATGAACAATATTACTAGAATTTACTGAGTACACTTCTAGACAGCACTATTTTGATTGTGCCTGTCAAATGTGCGTTCCTGAAGATTTTGTTTCTAATTAATTTGTGCTTGTTAATTGTGCGTTCCTGAAGATTTTGTTTCTAATTAATTTGTGCCTGTCAAATGTGCGTTCCTGAAGATTTTGTTTCTGCTTGATTTGTGCCTGTCAAATGTGTGTTCCTGAAGATTTTGTTTCTGCTTGATTTGTGCCTGTCAAATGTGTGTTCCTGAAGATTCTATTTTCTGTTTGATTTGTGCCTGTTTTTCCCACCTGTCAAAAGTGTGTTCCTGAAGATTTTGTTTCTGCCATTTGAAGCTATGTAATTCTGTTTTTGCCATGAAATGAAATGTAGTGGATTCTGCGTTGGAAAACTGGATCGATCAACTTTTAGATGTTACAAAGAAAATTGCACATCTTCTGCAGACCCGGTTCACTCCTTTTCTGATACAGCTGCTTCTGAAAGGATAGTGTGCCTTTCCGACTATACTCAGAGCTTAGACAAAGGAAGATTTGCAATGGCAAAAAATGTAACCCGAGTCGAGCACAAATATGGCGTCATCTTTTCTTTTTCTTTTTTTTAAAAAAAGAGAAAAATATACTAATGAGCCAAGTAAAGCCACTCTACAAACAGCCCATACTAGAGACATATAGGATTAGGATACATCTGCTTTATCAAGAAATTTAGCACACGCAACAATGGCCGAAAAGGCCCATACCAGTTAGTTTAGCCCATTCAACTAACGGACCAAAGGCACGCACAGTTAACAAATTCAGCCCAACATATCAGATTTTTAGATGTAGCACAAAAATATTTGCATGCCTCCTCCAGAACCAGCTCACTCGTGGTGTTCCATAATTCTCAATAACAAAACTAATTAGTCAGGCACATGAATGATCATGTATTTGATAAGATTGGTAAGTATATATCTGTTGTCATCCGGATACTGCATTTGTTGATGTAACTCCCGGAGTGTACAGTGGTAATCACAGTAAAAATAAATCTCCATTTCTTCATCAAATAACTGGAAGATAGTACACTCTCAAAGGAAAATGCTGATGCTGACTGCAGCACCATTTCACCTGCTACAATTATATGTTTGTTGTAATTCAAGTTGGTGGCTGCCATGTCCCTGGTTTGAAGGTAGCACCAGTTCCTGTCGGTTCAGAAGACCTGAAAGAACACAAACACGAGAATAACCTTAATAATAGTCAAATTGTTCCTTCACTCTTAGCTCCAGATTAACTACAGTTGCTGTTGTCAAAAGGAGCATGCCTTCTATATTCTGCAACAATGAAATGGTACTGGGACAATTTGAACTAGGTATCTGTAAGACATTGGCAGATCCATCATCCATGATGGCATACAGTAATGCTACTTTGGTGGATTCGTTATATTTTACTTGCAAGAACAATTATTATGTCCGCATAAGAAGATCACAAAGCAATGCTAAATGGGGAAGTAGCAATGCCCTCCAAAAAGAATTTAGTTCAAGAGCAAACAGTAGCTATCCAGTGGCACTGTATGCTAGATGAAATAGATACAAAATAATAACATCGAATCACAATTTATATATTTCGGAGAATTGGAAAGCACCTGTCAGTATCTATGGTGGCATCCTCTGTATCAGTTCCATCCTTTGATCTAGATACCTCATCATGTCCTAAACAGTGAGATTGAAATGTTATCATGGATGTTAAAGGGGTTGTATCACATGCAGAAATGGAACCACAAGCAGAAATGGAACAAGAGTATAAGATTATATACCTTTTCTCTGATCTAGCGAAGTATCAGGAAACTGCTGAATAAAACTTTTGAGATTTGGAGATTCAAACTTCCCTATATTTGGAGGAATATCGTTATTCAAACCATCAAGAGAAAAGGGAGAACCCCCAGGAAAAATAAATGAAAATACATACATATTATCAAGTGACAGAAGTAACAGTTAAGAATCTGGAGTTGCTAAGGAGCAGAGACAAAAGAATGATGACAATATTGTTTTTCTTTTTCAAAAGTTTTAACTGTTGGTGAAGTTAGAAAGAAGGAATTGCAAACAGAAACACATTGATTGGTGTTGATGGGACATGATAGATATGTAACATCAGTTAAGCCATGAACACAAAGAACTTGAAATGCATAAAGTCCTAAGAAAGCTAAAAATGCTGATAAACAATGAGGGGAAGTAAGAACAGGGGTTTGATTGTTGCCAATCCCACAAATGATCAAGTGCCACTATAAGGAGTTGCAAATTGTCAGTTTTCCCAACTCTTAAGCAGATCCAGAAAGAACATACCAACCGTCTTGACTGGTCGGACACCGGTCTTCTTTTCCTCTTCTTCTTTCTTTTTGAGCACTGGATTGAAACAGATTAAATATATTAGTGGAGCAAAATCCATGAACATTCAAGAAAAAAAGAACAGAATGACTATGGCACATATGTATGTAATTAACATTTTCCCACTAACCAGCAATAATTCTACAAGTGAGATCAGTGGGAACTGGGAAGTAGGACAAAAGTCCATCATGTAGTTTCATTGTTTTTTTAATGGAAGTTGCATGTAGCATAGTCATTTCCGAACATAAGCTTAACAGAACCAATAGGCATCCTATAATATACATGAGTAAACATACTGTAGTAACTTTTTTAAAGATAAACTGAAAATTAAGACAATAAAGAATTTTGCCATCAATCCCAAGATGTATGGCTGGATGCATTTAAGTTGGTTTTACTAAAACACGGTAAGTAACAGTAATTGATGTATAGTCACCAAACAAACAATACGCATTACACGAATGTTATGAATTATTCTTGAGCCCAAACATTTACAATTATCCCACAACATAAATCAGCAATATATGTAAAACACGCTAACCAGTAACCACCATCTCCACCACCGCAACATCAGCAAAAGAAAACTTGTGCGATGCTTAATGTAGGCTTAACAAGAAAAGTAAAGAACACCTTCTTATTAATAATATAGGGCTAAAGAGAAAATAATAAGAGAGGATATAAGCTGTAATCATCTTATGCATACATTCAATATTTTGCTTGACACGTTCACGCCTTGCTTCCAGCTCAGCCAACTCCTACAATAGTGCAGTGATACATCACAATCAGATGAAATCAAAATGTCACCTACACAGTATAATGGAAACATGCTGTACATCAATAGCCTGCTCAAAACATTTGCAGAAAATCATGTGTGGAGCATGGCCATACTCTCACCTCTGGTGTCGGAGCTTTCTTCCTTTGTCCATTCAACCAGCAAATCCACTCAACTACAAGTGTGACACAACTATCAGCAAAATCCAAGCACGTCGATTCATACTTCAGAAATCAGAATCAAAAGTTCACAAACCATACATGCCTGCAGAAACAAAGTGCCAAGTCAGTAATCATATCAGGTTCTCTACACAGGCCAGAAATTGAAGTTGATCAACCGAAAGAGAAGAAGAGGTAACCTGGAACAGTGGTCGGATCCTGGTCGCTCCCCTTGAACTCCACCCACCGTTTCTCCTTCACTGGTCAAAGCCATCCAAGAAATGAGCCGCCGCCATTGATGTAGCCTACGAGACTGAATTTGAATTGAAGGAGATGTGGGAGACGTACTGACGCCGTCGACCTCCTCGACGCGGGTGAAGTAGCGGTTGCCGAACTTGTCGGCGCCCACCTGCGCCCGCGAGCGGAACATCCCCAGCAGCCGCGACACCAGCTGCTTCGACATCGCCCGAGACAGCGATGGAGGGTTATCTCGCGGAGGACGACGGATGAGATGAACGGGGTCGAACTCGAGGAGGGCGGCGGCGGCGGCGGCCACCGCTCGTCGTGGTCGACGACGGCGAGGTCGCGGGGGACGGCGGTGGTCGGCGGTGGCGCTTGGCCGCCGGCGGCGAGGGTAGAGATGCGAATTTGGGGGACGGGGAGAAAGGGAGTCGGAGAGGGAGGCTTCCGTCCTGACAAGTGGGCCCACCATACTAACTGGCCGTCTGGCCCCACATGCAGCCTCTCGAGATTCGGATCCATCTCAAAGAAGGCCCTCCTTACATGGGCCTTCTAGGCCCAAGCCGTATCGTGCACGCCTCGGAATGGATAAGTCCACTTTGACACCCTCATAGTATAGCTTTAATCTAATCCGTATCTTAAACCTCAATACCGGATATTTTAACCCCACAACTATTGAAACCGGTGCAAAATAACTTTCTCAGTGGTTTCAGAGGACGTTTTTGCTGACGTGGCGTTTTGACCCGATCCAACCGGCTAACTCAACAGTGGGACTCAAAGAATTCTCCTCTTTATTCTTCCTCTCCTTCCCCACAAACGCACACGGCGACTCAATGGCGGACTGCGGTGGTGCAATCCTTCCCCGGGCAAGAGACACCCCTTCGTGGCTCCGCCACCGCCGCTACTGGTGACCAAATGAGAGATACGCCGTGTGATATTAAACGAGGCCAAATGGGTTTACTTTTCCCATGGAATCGATTTAGCATTAAAGGGTGGGAGCAGCGACCATCGCTGTGTTTGTCGCTCGCCAGTCACCACCGCTGAGAATGGCCTTTGGGTTTCGTCTTCTCCTTTTTTCAATTTAAATTTCAAAAAAAAACCTCGTGTTATTTTTTTTTGAACGAATCGGCAAGCTGCCAATTTCATTGAATAAAGGAGGAATAAATTTTACAAGTGCAAAAGAAAAACCAAGGCTCAAGACCTTCGGTCCGAGCAATTAAAAAGAAAGCCAGCTACCGAGATCTCTCGCGCCTACCAATGACCACGACTTGGCCTCCTCCTTGGTTTTAGCCAAAAGGCTTCCTGTCGAGAGCTCCTTTTGCTGAAATGTTCTACGGTTCCTTTCATTCCATATTTCCCAGGCTACTAGGAGTGTAAGCGTGCGCAAAGCTTTCTTTGGAGCATCTTTTGAATTTGTGATAGCTTCCCACCACGTCGACACTGTCGAAAAAACCTCGTGTTATACGATGAAAGTTGTAGAAAAAGATAGGTATTACAAGTGTGGCACATAACCATAGATTTTATGGTCTAAATATTTCAAAAAAAACCCACTCTTCTATATTTTGAGCACAATTTTACTTAAAATTTTAAAACATAAAATGTATATGAAGAAAAATTATTTATTAAGTTCTTAACTAAGGTTGATAGTTTACTTTTTTCCCTGCTTAAAAAATAGCTTTAAATATGCTGCAATTAATCAATATTCAAATATATATAGGGTTTTGTGAAACTTGATAACTATATGTAGCCTTACGTGCCATAAGTGATAATATATTTGGTTTTCACTCATTGCAATGCACATGTGTTTTGCTTGTTAATTTTATATTCAAACTATCATTCCCAAAGAAAAGCATTGCATTTTCCTGTGAGAGTAGTATATTATTATGACTGTATTGACGAGGGCAGTGAGAAAAAGAATCTCTCGATTAATAGTGAGCTTTTTGGATAATTGTTTGAATGCTTCTAATAAGCGCGGAAAATAAGCACGTGCATTTTAATAAGTGTTTTGACATAATTATTTAAATGTTAAAACGATAAAACAATCTAGCTAAATATACGCATGCTTTACTTCTGATGAAAATAAATTAATAGTGAGGTTTTCTGGGACAATTTCATATGTATAGATGTTAAATATTGTACAAATGAAATAAGATAAGATCATATATGGACGTTCATAGAAAAATAGGATGAAGTAGTTGGTAAATTTTTAAAAAATACTATACCTGGTGGGGTGGGGGTGAAAATGGTTGGGATTGGTAGCAATATATTCGGAAACGACGCTTGATCAGCTGGTAGTCGACTATATATATCACTTAAATTACTTAAATTTCTCAGTATCGATATTAATATGACGCAGGAAGAAATTAAATAAAGAAAACAAAAATTATATATAGCTAAAAATGACGGTCGAAAACACACTCGATCGATCAGAAATTCCTGTCACCATTTTCAGCCTGGCATTTCCCAGTTTTAAAAGTGATTTGAAACGGAGAAGAGGGTTAATTCATACTCCATCTTTGAAACCGTTGGCACTTGGCAGTAAGCCCGGCTCACCCGCTCTCTCTCCTCTTTCTCCTCTTTCTCTCATCACCTCGTGCGGCCCCGACTCCGCCGGCCACGGGTGGCGCGCTCCGATGGTCGTCCATTCGTCCGACCCCCCTCCCTCGCCGCGCCCTTCTCCTTGACCATTTCCATCTTATCTCTCCCCATTCCCATTCCCCCCCACGCCCCCAACCCCAACCACCGATCGCCATGGAGCCCGACGACGAGGCGCTGAGGGAGGTGGCCGCGGCGGTGGCGCGCGCCCAGCCGCCGCAGCGCCGCGGGATCTCCTACAGCCAGCCGCTCTCGCGCGACGCCGCCTCGGCGCGCCGCGCCGCGCTCCGCAACCACAGCCTCGACGACGACCACATCCTCCCGGCCTCCCACTCCCTCAACTACGTCCACCACGACCCCTCCGCGGGCGTCCCCAACCCCGGCGGCGGCGGGTACCACCCCCCGCTCCCGCCGCACGGACACCAGCCGCAGCACCACCACCACCCCAGCGCCTCCTACTCCACCGGCTCGCGCCGCTCCGTCGGGGGCGCGAGCGATGGGTCCATGACGCTCGAGCGCGCCATGTCGGAGTACGGCGGCGGGCATGGGACGCTGCCGGAGTACGTCGGCGCCGGCGGCGGGAAGGGCATCTTCCGCGTGCCGCTCCGCGCCGCCATGCACCCGGCGCGCCCGCCCCCGCTCGAGGTGCGGCCGCACCCGCTCCGGGAGACGCAGGCGGGGTCGTTCCTCCGCACGCTGGCGGCGGAGCCGGAGCGGCGGCAGCTCTGGGCCGGGGCCGAGTCCGGGATCAGGGTGTGGGCGCTCGACGAGGTGTTCGCCGGGTGGGGCGCAGGCGCGAGGCGCGGCGACGAGGAGAGCGCGCCGTTCCGCGAGGGCATGCCCGCGCCGCCCGCGCTCTGCGTCGCCGTGGACAGGGCTAACCGGCTGCTGTGGACGGGGCACAAGGACGGGAGGATCCGGTCGTGGCGCATGGACCTCGACGCGGCCGCCACCGCGCCCGCGCCTCCGCCTGGTGGCGCAGGCGACGGCGGTGGGAGCGTTGGGGGAAGCAACCATGGCGGGCCAAGCAATGCGCCGGTGTTCAAGGAAGCCCTCACGTGGCAGGCGTACGGCCGGACTCCCGTGCTCTCCATGGTCGTCACTTCGTATGGTGAGCATATGTTGCCCATGATCTTGTAATGCCAATGTATTTTTATGTTGTTAGATTCTCATAGTATTAAGAATTTGATCGTTGCATATTTGCATGTGAATTGCAAACGCAAATCATTGTGACAAAAAAACTTCATGTTCCATTTGAATCCAACAGGCGAGATATGGTCGGGATCCGAGGGTGGTGTCATAAAGGCATGGCCTTACGATGCCATTGCCAAGTCGCTCTCATTGTCACCGGAGGAGAGACACATGGCTGCATTGTTGGTGGAAAGAGCATACATTGATCTCAGGAACCATTGCACAGTTGGAAATGTGTGCTCTTTGCCTGCTTCTGATGTGAAGCACATGCTTGCCGATTATTCTCGCGCAAAAGTGTGGACGGTTACAAGCATGACATTTGCTATCTGGTATGATTCCAGAAAGATATATATGTTACCATGTGTTACAGATTGCTGTTCCTTTGCCCATTAGTTGCTTCTAACCTCCACATTGTATTGAAATATTGCTACAGGGATGCTCGTACAAGGGAGTTGCTGAAAGTATTTGGGATGGACGGGCAAGTTGAGTCAGCTCGGCTTGAGACACCGGTCATGCCAGAGCAACCTATCGAGGAGGAGGTCAAAGTAAAACCTTCAAAGAAAGATAAATCCCAGGGTTCTTTGAACTTCTTCCAGAAATCTAGGAATGCCTTGATCGGAGCAGCTGATGCGGTGCGCAGGGTTGCAACAAAAGGAACATTTGTCGAAGATAACCGTAGAACGGGAGCAGTGGCTCAAGCAATGGATGGAACAATTTGGTCAGGATGCACAAATGGTTCCATTATACTGTGGGATGGAAATGGAAACAGAGTGCAAGAATTCCAGCATCATACTTCTTCTGTGCAGTGCATAAAGGCACTTGGAGAAAGGGTGTGGGCGGGCTATGCCAGTGGCATTGTTCAAGTCATGGATGTTGAAGGTAACCTTCTTGCAGGATGGACTGGACATAGTTGTCCAGTCATAAGAATGGCAATTGGAGGTTCTTACATTTACACGTTGGCGCACCATGGTGGTATTCGGGGATGGCCACTGACATCACCAGGACCTCTTGATGACATTTTGCGCACTGAATTGACTAACAAAGAGCTTTCATACACTAGAATGGAGAAGATAAATATAATGGTTGGAAGTTGGAATGTAGCACAGGGGAAGGCATCTGCTGAGTCACTTAAATCATGGTTGGGTAGTGTATCATCTGATGTTGGGTTGGTTGTCGTTGGCTTACAAGAGGTCGAGATGGGTGCGGGTTTCCTAGCCATTTCTGCAGCAAAAGAAACTGTAAGATACTTGATCTTGCCTTCAATCATTTATTTCTCCTTGCTTTTGTTCAATGCAATTAAGTGTTAGGAAGAATGCATCTAGATTCTAGATAAGCATAAACAAGCAGGTAGCACAGAAAGAATACCGGTGCTTTAGGAATGTTACTTTTGGAGCATATGGTTAATGGGGTCAATATCAATACTGACTTGGAAGTATACAGAATTTCTTAGGGGTTAACGAATTCTATATTTTTATACTTTTACCTGTGCTGTGTATATCACAAACTTTAATTGTCGTAATAACTTTCCACTATTACTTTTTGTGTGTGTAGATAACTCTATATCACTCATTTTATTCAGCTTCCCTTGTTCATGGTTCTAGGTAGGACTTGAAGGCAGTGCTAATGGGCAATGGTGGATAGACAATATTGGTAAAGCACTTGATGAGGGAACATCATTCCATCGAGTTGGTTCTAGGCAGTTGGCCGCATTGCTTATTGCCGCATGGTATTGTGTCTTGTCATGACTTAGCTGATTTGGTTTACACTATAAATTTCTTGTCACATAATGATAACTTGTTTAATTTATAATTAGATGAATTACCATTCTCGTGTAATTTATTTTACATGTAAACATTAACTTTTCAAGGGCAAGAAAGAGCCTTAAGCCATATGTTGGTGATGTGGAAGCTGCTGCAGTGCCATGTGGTTTTGGACGTGCTATCGGCAATAAGGTACATCCTGAAGTCGTTTCATATATGTGTAGGCATTAATTTCCTCGTTGGATGATGCCGCACATTGCAGTCGTTAGTCAGTTTTTATATCATGGTGCATGCGTCTAAGTTATAATCTTCAGTTGTCTGTGTGATGACAATAGATACTTCTGCAGGGTGGTGTAGGATTAAGAATAAGAGTCTATGATCGTAAAATGTGTTTCGTCAGCAATCATTTTGCTGCACATTTGGAAGCTGTAAGCAGACGCAATGCTGACTTTGATCATATTTACCGGACAATGTCTTTCAACAAACCTCATGGATCCACAGGTTCTTTTCTCTCAATTCGTCTTAAGTGTTACATGCCTTCTCATTATCTAAATAAAAAGTGTTACATGCCTTCTACATTAATATAATCCTGAAAAGGTGTTTCCTTGACCCTCTCGGTTTCTCTTCATGCAGCTTCTGCGACATCCGTCCAATTGCACAGAGGAGTAAATGTATGTGTTTTATACAACATTCAAATTATCTATCATAATGAATTGTACTGATGTTCAGATTTGTGGAGATGACAGGTAAATGGGAACCAGGTCGATGAGGTCAGGCCAGACTTGGCTGAAGCTGATATGATTGTCTTCCTTGGTGATTTCAACTACCGGCTTTATGGTATCACATATGATGAAGCAAGGGACATGGTCTCACAAAGAAGTTTTGATTGGCTAAGAGAGAAGGATCAGCTTCGAGCAGAAATGAAAGCTGGAAAGGTGTTTCAAGGAATGCGTGAAGGTCTCATCAAATTCCCTCCAACCTACAAATTCCAAAAGCACGCTCCAGGTCTAGGAGGTAAGTCTAGCTTGACACTTAAAATTTAGATTGTTATTCATTGTGTAATAGATTAAATTTTCTGTCAATGTTTCATTTAGAGTAATTATTTGACTGTATTTGGCTAAAAGATTCAGTCATTGTCCCTGAGGCCTTTACATCACTTGTCTTGCAGGGTATGATTCGGGTGAGAAGAAGAGGATACCTGCTTGGTGTGATAGAGTACTATACCGCGACAGCCGTCCTATATCAGTAGCTGACTGTTCACTGGAGTGCCCTGTAGTTGCTTCAATTACATCGTCAGATGCTATAACACTTCCTTTTCTCTTCTTTTGACTCCCTTTCTTTGATATTGATCATTTTTGCCCTCTTTTGATAGGTATGTAGCTTGCATGGATGTCACAGAGAGTGACCACAAACCTGTGAGATGCACATTTAGCGTTGACATTGCAAGAGTGGATGAGTTAATAAGAAGACAAGAGTATGGAGAAATAATCGAAACGAATGAAAAAGTACGTTCTATGCTTGAGGAGTCTTCTTTTGTCCCAGACACCACAGTTAGCACAAGCGAGATTATACTGGAAAATCAAGAAAATATTGTCTTTCGGATTACCAATATATGTGAGACAAGCAAAGCAGCTTTCGAAATCACGTGTGAAGGCCAGTCAAGCAAAAAGGAGGATGCAACAAAATCAGAGATTCTTCCAAGGGCATCGTTTGGCTTCCCTCTTTGGCTTGAGGTATGAGTTATCATGTTTTCCCCATGCCATTTTCCATGCTAGTTACTGTCCCTTTAGAATTTAGATTATCATGCATTGCTAGTTCTGTTTCTAAGCAAGAAAGAAAGTTACCTCACTGCTACACTACGTCATAAAGCTTCATTCATAAACTGACTGATGTTGAAGCTTCAGTCTAAATATGTTGTTCCATAGGTATGTTCAGTTCAGAAACCAATTTCTGGCTTACTCCCTTATTACACAGGTCCAACCAGCGGTTGGTCTTATCAAACCAGGAGAAACGGCGGAGATCACGATCCATCACGAGGACTTCTACACGCAGGAGGAGTTCGTGGACGGGATACCACAGAACTGGTGGTGCGAGGACACCAGGGACAAGGAGTGCGTCCTCACGGTAAACATCAGAGGCAGCACCTCCACCGAGACCAAGTCGCACGCGATCAGCATCCGGCATCACTGCCCGGCGACGTCGGCGCCGCCGCTGATCATCAGCAACCCGCTGTCATCGTCGGCCGCCCCGCCGATCAATGCCCTGGCCAGCGAAGGGCCGCCGTCGAAGCGCTCCTCCAAGAAGAGGGAGTCGAACCACCACAAGCGGGAGCAGCAGCAGCAGGACTACGCTCAGTTCGGGAGCTCGGAGGTGCATGACCTGTGCCGCATGCGCTGCCCTTGATGAACTATAGACCTGTAGAGAGATCAGAATTCAGAAGTTTTCGTAGGTGTGTTTCTGATATATATATATATATATATATAACATCAGGGAGGAGTTTGCTCTAAAGTTCTGTACATATGCTTCACTTACCTCTACCAGCTGCTACTGCTTCTAATGTAACCCAACAAAAGGAGTGTAGAGTCATTGGCATACCACTGCTAATAATTTGTGTGTTTTTTTAATTACATGCTGATTCTTAAGGGTGTTGTTTTAGAGAGTTGAATTCAGGGGAAGTTACCTAGCGAAAGAATGAACAGTGACCAGTGTAATATGTTTCATAGTGTCGTTCTTTTCTTCAGTTAAAAGTGTTGTTGATGTTTTCCTTTCTGAAAGACTAACTGATCTTGTGATTTATGACTATTCATTTTTCTATGAGAGATTTATTCTCTTTCTTTGGTGACAATCTTTCATTTTTTATTTCAGTGCTCATTTTGTTCCAAGTGTTTTTCGACCTAAAAAGTTCTGATATACTATTGCACATCGTCAGTAGGATCATATTTTAAAATTATCACGAGTATGAGTAGATCAAAATTTCTTAACCAAAATCAGCATCCCAATTCCCAAACCTCTCAAGAAAAAGAGAGAAAATTCAGCATCCCCAAATTGGAAAGCCCAAGAACACAGTGGAGGGGGGGGGGGGGGGGGGGCCCAAAACCCAGCCCACTAAAACCACACTCCGATCCGAAACCGTCTTCGTCTTCGTCTCCGGCCGCCTCTCCGCCTCCACTCTTCCTCCTCCCGGCGGCGAGCTTCCCCTCTCCGCCCGCGCCCATGGCGCCCACGGTTCTGATGGTAAGCAGCACCAGCCGCTCCGCTCCCGGCGTACCGCGCGGCGTTGCGGCCGCCGTCGGTGGCGGCCGCAGCGACCCGGGGGGACTCTCCGCTCCACACAGATGTTCTCGCCCTCACTCTCGGATCGCCGCTTCTGCAGGTCGCGGAGAAGCCCAGCATCGCGCTCTCCATCGCCTCCGCCCTCTCCGGCGGCCGCGTAAGTCCCCCACTCCCGCCCGCTAAAACCATCCGCAACCTGTTTGATTTTTTTTTTCGTTTTCGAATTCGAATTCGGCTGTGGCTTGAACACCCGAACGTGGATTGTTTCATAGCAGGTTCTAACCTGGGAACTTTAGCTGTGAGTTGTTTATAGGGCAATGGCTAGGGGTTTGAGGCTTTTGGCTGGTCGTCGACATCATTGCGCGGTAGGGTTAGTTCCAGGGACTTGGGGAATTCAAAGATGGTAGACACTGAGAGGATTAGATTCACTGACATGGTAAAATGGTAAATGGATTTGTCCTTTATGATGAATATCCCCGTTTTCACCCAAAGACCTCTGCTTAAGCTAGTATAAATCTATTGATGAATGTTATGTTACTACCTGATCTATCCATGGCATGAAATCGCTATCACCCGACTGTAGATTGTTTCGCCGTAGATTCACAGCGCAAGTTCTGCCCTAGAAACTAAAGTAGTGAGATGTTATTAGGACAATGGCTAGGGATTTTCGCTTGGTAGACCGTGGGCATCATTGCCACTGTAGGGGTAGCTTCAGGGACTGGGAAAATTCAAGGATATTATAGAGCTGATAGGATTGGGTGGACTGACATGGTAAAATTGTACAATGTCTTTGCCTTTCCCTATGATGAATGATCAAATATCCCCTGCTTCCACCAAAAGACATCTGCTTAAGCTAGTAAATCTATAGATGAATTTTATGTAATTATCCAATATCTCTGCGGCATGAGGTGGCCATGCATTTTGGGTGGTTGTTGCCGATACATTATCTATATCACGTGGGTCAGATTTTAAATTGGGTTGTTTGCCTTAGCTGTTCAGAAGTATCGCACTTTCACTGCTGTTGTGCATTACACATTTCTTTTCTGAGGTGAATGTCATTGCAAAACCTTTTTCGATGTTCATGCAGATGTCTACAAGGAAGGGAAGTACAGATGTCCATGAGTTTGATGGGATGTTTCAGGGTTCTCATGCATTTTTCAAAGTGACATCAGTCATTGGACATGTCTTGAGGTTTGTGCATATTTTCTCCCATTCTTCTAAGTGCCTTTGTCATGATTATATCACGTGATGTGCTACTTTTCTGTGCAATCAAGAACTACATATCTCAACTATTGTACATGCGTATTCTCTATGTAACTGTTTTTACATAGAAACAGTTGACCAATGCATAATTGCAACTTGCAAGGTTGATATATGATGCAAATGATTGATTATTATTCCATTATAGCTGGATAATCAATATAGCAGACACTAATGTTTTCAATGCTGACTTCGAATATAAAACATGCATTTGTCATCATCATTATCTTGTTTGGTTCATGTGACTTGAGTTCTGTTCCATCTCTAGCTTACCCCAACTTGTTTGGGACTAAAAGGCTGTCGTTTGTTGGATAAGTCTTTGTGGTCCTTGGTCGTGATTCTTCTTTTTGCTTTTGGGTAGTTTCACCTTTTTCAGGACAGCATCTACCCTTTAGCATATTTTTCAGTTGCTAGGACAGCTGCGGTTAGTAGGACAGCAGCAGTTAGCATCTCCTTTATGCCTCCTTTATGCTTTATTCAGTTTGGATGCCCTCTAGGACAGCATCCCATTCAAATTTCGAATTTTAGACTAGGAGGGTGCAGCAATAGGCTAGCAGCCAGCTATGGCTATATATATGTATCCAACCTCCCTCGGGTAGGTATGGCTTTTGTGTTTAGTCAATGAAGAAAACCAGAAAATTGCCCCATCTCGAGTGCCATCCTCTTCTCAATGAGAGTAACCATTGAAATTCTAACATCTGGTATCAGAGCCACACTTTCCTGTAGGCTAAACATCTCTTGTTCCACCCCCTCCCAAGCTCGGTTGAGCTCTCAGCCAGCAGCAGCAACAGCACCGGTTGCTCCTCCTTCCCCTTTCCCTTCCCCCTCTCCACGCAGCAGCCCCCCGGAGGTGCGCCATGTCCGACGCTCGGTCTCGGCGTTCGGTCGCCTTGAGCACTCGGCGTCAGCAGGACGCCGAGCTCGCCGCAGTAGAAGAGCGCAGGCGAGCAACGACTCAGACCACTGCAGCAGCAGCGAGGGCGGCCAGACTGGCGGCAGCGGAGTTGGCAGCAGCCAGGGCGGAGGCGGAGGCGGAGGCGACGGAAGATGCGGCACGTGCGGCGGAGGTAGAGGTTGAGACCTTGCGCAGCAGCATCAACGGCTCCATCGCCGGCGACATCACCGCCGACAGGGAGCTTGAGGAGCTGGCAAGAGGAAGGGCACGGGAGCGAGCAGAGCGGTGGGCAGCAGCCCACCTCCACGGCGGCGGCGGCGGCCCAAGGGACCGCGCGCCCGCCGACGGGAACCCAGACGGGCGCAGGCGTGCCGGCGGCAGCCCGGAGCCCGCACGCGGCCCTCGCAGGCAGCACGGCTCTCTCTCCCCTGACCGGCGCCATGGTCACCACGGCGTCCAGACGGTGGTCAGGGACTTTGGTCCCGGCGGTGGGTGGCCTACCCTCACCAAAACCAACTACATCGAGTGGGCCGCGGTGATGAGGGTGAGGCTCCAGGTGCGGCACATGTGGGAGGCAGTTCGGTACGGTGACGTCGACTACGACGAGGATCGGCGGGCACTGGATGCCCTTATCGCTGCAGTCCCGCCCGAGATGCAGTTCTCGCTTTCCCAGAAGCGGACTGCCAAGGAGGCCTAGGACGCCATCGCTGCGGCACGCATCGGCAGCGACCGCGCCCGCAAGTCCACACTGCAGGCACTCCGCAAGGAGTGGGAGAACCTGGCCTTCAAGCCAGGTGAGGATGTTGATGACTTTGCTCTCCGTCTCAACACTCTCTTGCAGAAAATGGTGCAGTACGGCGACGACACCTACGACGAGGAGAGAGCTGTCGAGAAGCTCTTCCGCTGCGTCCCTGAGAAGTACAGGCAGATCGCTCGCTCGATTGAATCTCTGTTGGACCTCTCCACGATGTCGATCGAGGAGGCGTTAGGTCGCCTCAAGGTCGTCGATGGTGATGAGCCACAGCCTCTCTCGGGGCCCATCACCATCGGCGGGAAGCTCCATCTCACTCGGGAGCAGTGGGAGGCCTCTCAGGGTGACGGGAGGAAGGGGGAGTCATCTTCCCCGATAGGCGGCCGTAAGCCGCGCAAGGCGCGGGGAGGTGTCCAGCTACGGTGGGCGCGAAGACGTGCCGAGGGTGGCGCCCGCAGAGGCGCCCAGGGCGTTGCCACCGGCAACCACAAGCCGGCACGAGACGACGCCTGCCGCAACTGTGGCAAGCTTGGCCATTGGGCCAAAGACTGTCGACAGCCACGACGTGGCCAGGCCCACGTCGCACGGGTGGAGGAAGAGCCGGCTCTGCTCCTGGCTCACGCAAGCATCGAGCTACCTCCAGCGACACCGGCCGCAGCGGCTTTCCTCCACCTTGATGAGCCGAAGGTACTTGTCTCCCTCTGCAACGACTCCAGCAACGACAAGGCTGATGGGTGGTACCTCGAAACCGGCGCCACCCATCACATGACCGGCCGACGGGAGTTCTTCACCGAGTTCGACTCCAGCGTCCGAGGCTCCGTCAAGTTCGGGGACGCCTCCGGCGTGGAGATCAAGGGTGTTGGCTCCGTCACCTTCACCGCCAAGTCCGGTGAGCACAGGCTGCTCACCGGAGTCTACTACATCCCCGCGTTGAGGAATTCTATCATCAGCGTGGGACAGCTGGATGAGAATGGCTCACGCGTGTTGGTCGAGGACGGACTCATGAGGATTTGGGATCGCTGTCGTTGCCTTCTTGCCAAGGTAACCAGAGGCACTAATCGACTCTACATCCTCAGCGCGCAGGTCGCACAACCAGTTTGCCTCGCCGCTCGTCGGGACGACGAGGCGTGGCAGTGGCACGAGCGCTTCGGGCACCTCCACTTCGAGGCCCTGAAGCAGCTCAGTGCCAAGGAGATGGTGCGAGGCATGCCGTGTCTTGACCACGTGGAGCAGCTCTGCGACGTCTGCGTGGTGACGAAGCAGCGGCGGCTCCCCTTTCCCCAGCAGACGAGCTTCCGAGCCAAGGAGCGGCTCGAGCTCGTGCACGGGGACTTGTGTGGCCCAATGACACCGGCCACACCAGGAGGACGACGTTACTTCCTGCTGCTCGTCGACGACCTCTCCCGCTACATGTGGGTGATGGTCCTCGGCAGCAAGGGAGAGGCTGCGGACGCCATCAGGCATGCGCAGGCTGCTGCAGAGGCGGAGTGCGGCCGCAAGCTGCGCGTGCTGCGCACCGACAACGGCGGCGAATTCACAGCGGCTGAATTCGCGTCGTACTGCGCTGATGAGGGCATTCAGCGCCACTACACCACGCCGTACAGCCCGCAGCAGAACGGCGTCGTCGAGCGGCGCAACCAGACGGTTGTGGGGATGGCTCGGGCCCTCCTCAAGCAGAGGGGGATGCCGGCCATCTTCTGGGGGGAGGCGGTGGTGACGGCCGCCTACATCCTCAACCGCTCGCCTACCAAGGCCCTCGATGGCAGGACACCGTACGAGGCTTGGCATGGGCGCAAGCCGGCGGTCTCCCACCTGCGGGTCTTCGGCTGCCTCGCGTTCGCCAAGGAGCTTGGCCACATCGGCAAGCTCGACGACAGGAGCACCCCAGGGGTGTTCATCGGCTACGCGGAGGGCTCGAAGGCCTACCGCATCCTCGACCCGGAGACACAGCGTGTGCGCACTGCGCGCGACGTTGTGTTCGACGAAGGGCGAGGGTGGGTATGGGACAAGGCGGTGGACGATGGTTCGACTCCGACGTACGACGACTTCACCGTCGAGTACGTCCACTTCGAGGGAGCTGGGGGAGTAGGCAGCTCTTCTTCACCTAGCGTGTCTACCCCAGCCCCCGAATCTCCACCGACTCCGACACCAACACACCCTCGGGCCACGACTTCGACTACGACGAGCTCTTCGTCGACACAACCCCAGCCAGTGACTCCACATGCTCCAGCACCAACAGCCACTCCTCCAAGCACGTCTACTCCGACGCCAGCTCGTGTTGAGCGCAGCCCGGTCGAGTTCGCTACTCCGCTCTCCCACGACGGGGAGTGCATCGACGCGTACCACGACGGCGAGCAGCTACGGTACCGTACGATGGAGGATCTTCTCGGCGACCAGCCGGTGCCGGGACTGGTGCCTCGCGACCTAGAGGCGCAGTTGCACCTTGCGTGCGACGACGGTGAGCCTCGGTCTTTTGTAGAGGCCGAGAAACACACGGCATGGCGTGCCGCGATGCAGTCGGAGATGGACGCGGTTCAGGAGAACCGCACCTGGGAGCTTGCTGACCTCCCTCGTGGTCACCGCGCGATCACCCTTAAGTGGGTGTTCAAGCTGAAGAGGGATGAAGCCGGAGCCATCGTCAAGCACAAGGCTCGCTTGGTGGCACGCGGTTTCGTGCAGCAGGAGGGGATCGACTACGACGATGCCTTCGCTCCCGTGGCACGGATGGAGTCTGTGCGACTCCTTGCGCTGGCTGCTCAGGAAGGCTGGGGCGTCCATCACATGGACGTCAAGTCGGCGTTTCTAAACGGCGACTTGAAGGAGGAGGTCTACGTGCACCAGCCGCCGGGATTTGTGATCCCCGGCAAGGAGGGCAAGGTGCTACGCCTGCACAAGGCCCTCTACGGCTTGCGGCAGGCACCGAGGGCGTGGAATGCCAAGTTGGATTCCACGCTCAAGGGGATGGGCTTCGAGCAAAGCCCGCACGAGGCGGCCATCTACCGGCGGGGCAATGGAGGAAATGCCTTGCTGGTGGGTGTTTACGTCGACGACTTGGTGATCACCGGCACCAAGGATGCGGAGGTCGCGGCGTTCAAGGAGGAGATAAAGGCCACCTTCCAGATGAGTGATCTGGGGCCTCTCTCCTTCTACCTGGGGATCGAAGTGCACCAGGACAACTCCGGGATCACGCTTCGACAGACCGCCTACGCCAAGCGCGTCGTTGAGCTGGCTGGGCTCACCGATTGCAACCCAGCTCTCACTCCGATGGAGAGACTGAAGCTGAGCCACGACAGCACGGCGGAGGAGGTAGATGCTACACAGTACCGACGTCTTGTGGGGAGCCTTCGCTACCTCACCCACACACGGCCGGACTTGGCCTTCTCCGTCGGCTACGTCAGTCGGTTCATGCAGCGACCGACGACGGAGCACCAGCAGGCTGTGAAGAGGATCATCCGCTACGTTGCGGGGACTCTCGACCACGGTCTCTACTACCCGAGGCGTCCTGGCAAGGCACACTTCGTCGGGTACAGCGACAGCGACCACGCCGGCGACATCGACACCAGCAAGAGCACGAGCGGGATTCTCTTCTTCCTCGGCAAGTGCCTCGTTAGCTGGCAGTCGGTCAAGCAGCAGGTGGTGGCCCTGTCCAGCTGCGAGGCCGAGTACATGGCAGCCTCCGCCGCTTCGACCCAGGCGCTCTGACTTGCTCGACTGCTTAGTGATCTCCTCGGCAGAGACACTGGAACGGTGGTGCTCAGGGTGGATAGCAAGTCCGCTCTGGCCCTGGCAAAGAACCCCGTTTTTCACGAACGGAGCAAGCACATCCGGGTGAGGTACCACTTCATCCGAAGCTACTTGGAGGAAGGGAGCATCAAGGCGAGCTACATCAACACCAAGGACCAGCTTGCGGACTTGCTCACCAAGCCTCTTGGGAGGATCAAGTTCCTCGAGCTCTGCTCCAGGATCGGGATGGCCCAACTTCCCCACAAGACGACGCACAAGACTTAGGGGGAGAATGTTGGATAAGTCTTTGTGGTCCTTGGTCGTGATTCTTCTTTTTGCTTTTGGGTAGTTTCACCTTTTTCAGGACAGCATCTACCCTTTAGCATATTTTTCAGTTGTTAGGACAGCTGCGGTTAGTAGGACAGCAGCAGTTAGCATCTCCTTTATGCCTCCTTTATGCTTTATTCAGTTTGGATGCCCTCTAGGACAGCATCCCATTCAAATTTCGAATTTTAGACTAGGAGGGTGCAGCAATAGGCTAGCAGCCAGCTATGGCTATATATATGTATCCAACCTCCCTCGGGTAGGTATGGCTTTTGTATTTAGTGAATGAAGAAAACCAGAAAATTGCCCCATCTCGAGTGCCATCCTCTTCTCAATGAGAGTAACCATTGAAATTCTAACATCGTTATTGTTACTGTGTGATACCTCTTATGCAGTGTAGATTTTCCACCTGCATATCAGAATTGGGAAGGGACTGATCCAATGGATCTATTTGTGGCTCCAGTTCTGCGATCTGAATGCAACCCTAAGGTAAAGCATTTCTCCACAGTTCTTACCGAAGCTTAGTACTTAGTAGCTAGCAGCTATGCCTACTCAATTAAGTCCATTATCCAAGAATAAGTTCACCAAGTACTACATGAATGTCACATGTTCCCACTTGAACTCTACTGTTTAGTTTAGCCAATGCTGAAGCATCTTATTTCATCCTTTCCTTCATAATTGCTCGTTTGGCTTCTAGCTGTAGTATCCACAATCTAATGTTACGAATGTTGTGATTACTGCTGCCCTTCATTTTTTTTTAAATGAAGTTCATGTTCATCTATGAATCCCACAAACTTGGATTAATTGTAGATGGTGGATAAAATTCCTCTCTATAAAGCTTTATCACAACACCTGCAAAAACACCATAGTTTTCCATGGTTAGGTATGAAACTGATCACTGATTTATGGTTCTTGCGAAGGCTCATATCCGCAGGCATCTAGCTCAGGAAGCTCGAGGCTGCACCTACTTGGTACTCTGGCTTGATTGTGACCGAGAAGGAGAAAACATATGCTATGAAGGTATGCTATCCTGTTTTAGGACCTCCATGGGTATGTGTACTAGAAATCTGGGTTGGTGTACAAAGAGCTTTATGTGTCCTTTTTTGGGGTAAAATCTGTACTCTGTGAAGTGTGAAAACAAATATAGATGTAAACAACCTGACCAAAATTCAGAAAACACCAGATGGAGAAATGCTTCAGGCCTGAGGTAACTGCTCAGTGAACTGGATTGCTCTGGATTCCTCAAATCTGTATACAGTTACGCTTTTTGCATGAGAAAAATATATAGTTACCCTTTGTATGCATGAGAGTTTATTCTGCACTGAGACCCTGATTAATGCTGTTTGTACACAAACTTTTCATTCGATTTCTTTACATGTATAAATCCTGCTCTGTTCTACCTACAGATATTTATGTCAATGTAATAACAATGGCACTCTTATATTCCAGTAATTGATTGCACTGGAATTCCTAAAAGTGAGGTTGGCAGAAGAATTTTCCGAGCCAAATTTTCGTCCGTTACTGAGAAAGATATAATGGATGCTATGAATAATCTTGTTTTGCCAAGTAAAGATGAGGCACTAGCAGTTGATGCTCGCCAAGAAATTGACTTGAAGGTAGGAGTAGCATTTACTCGATTTCAAACCAGATATTTTCAAGGAAAATATGGAAATCTCGACTCAAGAGTAATTTCGTGAGTTCTCTATATCCCTTTGGCAACCTGGAGTCATTAATCAACTGTATGCTAGCCTTTTTTAGAATTTTCTGCAGAATTTTGTCTTACAATTCTTCCCCCTGTTCTATATCAGGTATGGTCCATGCCAAACACCTACACTTGGATTCTGTGTACAACGCTATCAGCAGATTACCACATTCAAACCAGAGAAATTTTGGTCCTTGAAAACTTATGTTATCAAGGATGGTAATGAAATTCAGCTTGAATGGGATAGGAAGAAACTTTTTGATTTTGATGTAAGATTCTTGAGTTTATAACCAAATGATTTCATTCTATTCTTTCTAACATTTATCATTTCATCAATCAATTTTGCAGGTTACTGTAATGTTCCAAAAGATGGTGGCCAGTGATGGTATTTTAAAAGTAACCGACATATCAGTGAAGGAAGAGTGCAAAGCCCGCCCGCCTGGCCTTAATACAGTTAATTTGCTTAAGGTGCAACAACTTAAGACTAATTGTATTTCTCCTTGTTTAAATCACGTTCTTCATTGAACAATGATGCTACCAAGGTTACTATTTTGTTATCGGCAAAGTTCACTGTGTGTACTTATGAGTAGTGCACTGGTGTATGTTAGCTGATTTACATGCTTCTTTTGAATTATATTGCTGATATTACAGTGTTCTACTACATATGATCATGTATTAACATATACATCTTTTCCTATTCTCTACCTCAGATGCCCTTGATTGACATAATACAATATTATAGTTATTTTCTTGTTAGATTTCAAGTGTAAGTTTATTAAATATTTTTATTATCCAGGTTGCATCAAGTGCACTAGGTATTGGACCTCAGACAGCAATGCACTTGGCAGAAAGGCTTTATACCCAAGGATTCATCAGGTTTCAAAAATGAACCCCAGAAATATTAATTTTGTACTACATATTCTCCCTTTGTTCTATGGAAATGTTAATAACATGTTTGAAGTTGATATGGGCTTATTTGCTGTATGCAACAATATTGCTGGATCTTTTAGGCTGTGTTCGACTCTGCTGGTTCCCATCCTCTCCTCCCTCGTTTTCCGCGCGCATGCTTCCCAAACCACTAAACGGTGTACTTTTTGCAAAAAAAATTCTTAGAAAAGTTGCTTTAAAAAATCATAATCTTTTAAGTTTTTTTAAGCTAATACTTAATTAATCGTGCACTAATCCATCGCTCCGTTTTCCTTGCTGGAGGTGAGGGTTCCCAACCCTCACCCAAGAACACAGCCTTAATCAAATTGTCGTTTTGACTAAAGAACAGGGTGTGTATGTTTCCGCTAAAACTGAAACTGCTTACATAGGTGTTGCTGATTTGCTGTATAGTTAATAATGTATCTTCCTTTTCTCTATTGAAGTTCTAATAGTTGTCATTGTACAGTTATCCACGTACAGAGAGCACTGCCTATCCTTCATCATTTGATTTTAGAAGTGCACTCGCTGCACTTGCACATAATCCTTTGTGGTCCAATGATGTTCGGACGTTACTGGACACTGGGTTTGTTAAGCCCAAACAGGGTCATGATGCTGGGGACCATCCCCCAATAACTCCAATGAGATTGGCAACAGAAGAAGCTTTGGGAACTGATGCTTGGAGGCTGTACCAGTACATTTGTCAGCATTTTATTGGCACTGTCAGTCCTGATTGTAGATATACGAGGTAGAGTGCTAATATTTGTGTCTATTTTTATTAACCAATAACCAAGTTATTTCTGTTTCACTGCAATCTTGTTATAGTATGCTTATTGTCACCATCCTTATCTCAATATCTGAAAATTTCATCATTATCTCTTTATATGAACATTACCACTTTTTTCCTTTGACAAATGGTTTTCAGGACTTCCATTGAGTTCACTTCAGGTGGAGAGACTTTCCACTGTGTTGGCAACCGGGTCACTTCTAAAGGATTTACTTCTATTATGCCATGGCTGGCTGTGAGTGAGAATAATATCCCTGCATATAAAAAGGGCGATGCTGTTAGCATCCATAAGGTTGACATATATGAGGTATGGCTTGTGAATTTATTCACATCACATGAGCTCACCTTTTTTTTTTGGGTCTGAAAATGTTCATAATTATCATTCTTCATTAAGGGTAGCACCACACCTCCTGACTACCTTAGTGAGAGTGAATTGATCTCTCTCATGGAGAAGAATGGCATAGGTACAGATGCATCAATTCCTGTGCATGTAAACAACATCTGCGAGCGTAATTATGTTCAGGTTAGTTGAATCCTTTTATACCCATCCCCTTGTGAGCTTCTTATGTAGTGAACTTTTACACCCACTTATGGGCTGTCATTGTGTAAATATGCGAAATGCCTTAATGCTGCTACATATCTTTCCTGAAGGTGAATTCCGGAAGAAGATTAGTACCAACACCCCTGGGAACTACATTGATAAGAGGGTATCAGTGCATTGATGCTGATCTGTGCTTACCAGATATCCGAAGGTTTATTGAGCAGCAGATTACTCTAATTGCAAAAGGTGAAGCTGACCATCTTCAAGTTGTGCAGCATGTTCTTCAGCAGTTTATGAAAAAGTACTCGTACTTTGTGAAAAAGGTAATATGTTTGGTTAATAATTTGTAACACTGTTGTTTTCTTGATTGTAGTGTTATTTCCTCATGCCTTGTAGTATCTTTACATGGTATTTTGGAACGGTCACTAATTAATATCCTCAACAGAGCGGATCCTCCAAAGTGTGTAATCTTTCTTGCATTTCATACTGTGTAATGTTTTATACTGTTTTTAACAACCCAAATTCCATCAATAGAATGTACAGATTGTATAGAACTTTTTTAACTTACTTGAATTAGAAGAAATCTGCAATTTGCTAGTTTTACAGGACCTCTTGTATGTGGTGCATAACGCATTGTTAAATTTTCTTATTCCAGTATTTGCATCACATTTTCAATTTTATTTGATAGATCTGAGGGGTAATTTGGCTCATAAATGATTTGCTATCATTGATCATCACTAGATGTCATTCATTAATGCATGGTTCATTGAAAACAGTGAAAAAATGTGGTCAAATTATTAGTGCCTAAGCCTAAAGATGTGTTTCGTCTGAATCAAACTTCCTTAGTTGATCCTGTTTAGTGCTGCATCAATCTGTTTCATAGTTAATTGAAATAAGGACTGGGTGCGCTAGCCATGATTAACATAAATAAACTTCCATTTTGTTGATAGTGGGTTCATTCTGTGATCACTGATGATATGCTCATCAGCTCATGTAGTTGCTTCAAATGAACGTATGCTTGCAGATTGAAAACATGGATGCTTTGTTCGAAGCACAGTTTTCACCTTTGGCTGACTCTGGACGTTTACTGAGCAAGTGTGGAAAATGTGCTCGGTATATGAAGTACATTTCCACTCAGCCAATGAGGCTGTACTGTGTAACTTGTGAAGAGGTCTACTATCTTCCCCAGAACGGTTCCATTAAGGTGATTGCTTGAACTGCACATTATTTTATTATATATGTAAATTTTCTTTCTTGTTTACATGTGGATAAATTATGCATCATGTTGTTTTACTTCTGAGCACCAACATAAGGAACTGAACTGCAAGAATATCGCGGAATCATGCAATGCTACTTTTGATAGATATTTTCGTTCCCTAGATGTCATGATCCCTGTTGTATAGTTTTCTTTGTTTTCAGTACATATTGCGATATTTTGTTTGTTACTTTCTTCATGTATTCCATTTGCTGTCCTTATTGTTATGTTCACCACTTCATTTTTTTTATCCACTTTAATGCTTAACATAACCTACTGATACAACTTCAGTATTTTCTTTGATATAAAATGTGCATGTTGAACTCTTAAGTATGTGCATTATTATTTTGTATAATTTGTTGTGCCAATGGTCAGTTCATGTTAACTCATGGTTAATAATCCTATTCTTCCAGCTTTACAAGGAAATCATTTGCCCCCTTGATGGGTTTGAGTTGCTACTGTTTTCAATGGTTGGCCCTGATGCAAAATCCTTCCCACTGTGTCCTTTTTGCTACAACAGTCCTCCATTTGAAGGCATCGACAAACTCTTCGGTGCACTCAAGCTTGATGACACTGGCAAGGTTGGGAAAGGGGCTGGCATGCCATGCTTCCTCTGCCTGCACCCCACATGTAAACAATCTATGATCACTCAAGGAGTTTGTGCTTGTCCTGAGTGTACTGGTACCCTAATTCTTGATCCAGTCAGCGCACCCAAATGGCGGCTTTACTGCAATAGATGTAACTGCATTGTCCTGCTCCCACATGCCGCTCATAAGATCAGTACTACAGATAAGAAGTGCCCAACATGTGAGTCTACTATCATCGAAGTTGATTTTAACAAGAAAACTACCCCACTTAAGGATGGAGCTACTTTGCATGAGGGTTGCATCTTGTGCGATGAGCTGTTGCATTCGCTCATTGAGATGAAGCATGGGAAGTCATTTTTTATGAGGAGAGGTAGAGGAAGAGGCAGGGGTAGAGGTCGAGGGAGAGGAAGCAGTAGGGGAAGACGGGGGAGCTCAAGACACGATGATCCTAAGATGAGCTTCAGAGATTTCTGAAAGTTTCAGGGCTTAAACCTATATGTAAGTACATGCAACACTAGTTAGAAACTTAACCACCACTGTTGTTCTTTCCATTTTCTTCCTGTATAAACCCTAGATCAAGTTATCTTTCATGGTTTTGCTACCATGCTAAGACTGTTATTTCTGTTTCTATTGGATGAAGTTAGGCTTGTTTCCCAGGTTGAAGAATGGCTGTGTAGCATCGATCTTATGTAAACAGTGGTTGGTAAATGGTAACAGGGCCAACGGTTGCAAGGGTTGGTGAGATACTGACAATTGAGAACTTCTGGGTCGTAATGCGTTTACCAACGACACAACACGAGGCAAATTGCTACCCAACAAATGCCTGATCTCTTTTCAATGTTGATTGGTACTTGATAATAAGTTGATAGCACCTTCTGATCTGGGATTCTTCTGGTTGAATCCTCTAATCCAAAGAGAAGGAACGGATGCTTCTGTTTCACTTGATGCTTTGTTCCTACCACACACGTGAGATAGTATACGTCACTTGTTGGTTCATGCTTTATTTGTACTTAATATTTTTTTTCAGTTATACAGCTCAACTCTTTCCTTTGACATGACGTTGCTTCAGATTGCCCCTCCAACCACCAACTGAAGGTGGCCACTTGAAGCTTTGTTTCAAGTCCAAGGAAGTTGAGCAGGGGCCTCAAAACACAGGTTAAGGCCTGAACCATTGATGCTAGTCCGTGTGTCAAGAGCTAGGGTTCGTGGTTTTTCTTGGCTGGATTTGGATTAGTGAAAAGCTGTGGGGACTGTTTTTCCCCGCCGGTCAAGTTTTTCATATCTTTTTTTTAAAAAAAATATTGTCACATTCAGGGAACCAATTCCCTTGGTAGCTTTTGCGGTAGAACAGAGCATTAGATTGGAACCGGGATGTCTGAAATTGACAGGAAATAGGGAAAGGTCGTCTAGTGTGTGACTACGGGACTAGTATTGTCTAGCGTAGTAAAGTACGGACTAAATTAGGTGGGAATGTGGGATCGGATGCTCTTATGACTTTATGAATGTAATTAAGGTGCAAATTGTTGCGTAGATGATATTGGAAAGGGGTTAATAACGTGATGGTTATGTTAGATGAGTGATCAAAATCGTTTGTTAGATACAGCTGTGAAATATTTGTTATATTAGGAAAAGGTTTGATCAACCGAATTTTACCTGGAAATGTTATGCGCTGCTATTTCTAAACTACAAATCAAGTTTATTCATTACTTTTCCCTTTAAAAAACTTCATTCTTTCTTTCCTATTGAATCCAGTGACATAAAAAATGTAGTGTTGAATTTCTAACAAACTTAAAAGCAGATTATCTGAAGTAAATGAACTTTTTGTGACCTGTAAGAGAGAAGTGCACCGTATCAAATATTCCGCCCTTTGAAGAAAGCACAAATTTTTACTTTTGCTTCTTTTCAACAGAAATCACGCGAAAGAGTACAGCAACGATGGATTAAACAACATGAATTGTGTCACTCCTTTGAAGAAAGATCAACATCTCCTCCCCTCCCCTCTTTTTTCCCTTTTCCTCTGTCAGTGCCTCAGTGGTACATAAAAAGATAATGAGTGCATCTCTTGATTCGTCTCCTCTAAAGATTGAGATGAATTCTCTCTAAAACTTTCATTTCGAGGCATATGCAAGATTCGCAGTAATTGTCAAAAAGGGTGCAAGAAACTGAAAAATGCCATTCAGATGTTGCTTTGATCGAATTGCATCATTTCGTTTCCTGCACTTCGAGCTCTCGACATCTTGCTTTCTGCCTCACAGGTAGCATTTCGCCCAACTTTAGCAAAAGTGCCATTCTCATGGGACCTTAACGCCAAGTGCGTGATCAATTGATCAATGCGGGATCCTACCGGACAATGACCCTGATCAAGCCGCATCTCAAGCCTGCAACTGCAATCTCGCTTGCAACCTACACAAAAACATTCTAGAAACTCGAAAATATATTTCAACAGTCTTGGAAATATCAAAAGTTACCATATTTTCTGTTGTAAAATTTGTTATCTCTGAAATCCTGAAGTCACTTAGTGTAAATATACCATAAATTAATACTAAAAATTTGTGGTACATCTCTGTACCTCTCCAAAAACAATAAAATCCCTCAACTCAAAAGCTATCTAATGGGATTAGCCATGTAAACCCAAACATACTCACTGCAACTGGTCACTACACACTCAATCTTCACTCTAATGTACTACAAATGCATAACGCTCATGGTAAAAAGATATGCAGGCCAAAAAACTCACAAGACCGAAAATCTATGATATGCTACAGTACACACCACAATGAACACTGTCACAGCACAAACAAAAGCCCCAAAAAAGAACTTCAAAAAAAATCACACATGGCGAGGCAGGTGGCCATTGGAGGCGCTGTTGAAGGTCTTGCTCTCGGCATTGCGCCTCTTCACCACCATGCCCCATGTGACGACCTCAAGGATGATGGCGGCGACGCCGAGGAGGCAGAGGACGGCGACGTAGGCCGTCTTCCACCGCTGCTCGACGCCAAGGATGGTCATCCCCTTGAAGATGTTGGTGATCCCCAGTATGATCACCGTGTAGCCGACGGAGTGGTGGTACATGTTCCAGTAGACCCTGTACTTGTTCTCCTTCTTGGGCCTCAAGAACAGCGCAAAAATCTGTACCCGATTTCGACAAAATTTAGTACTTTTATAGTGATATGTACTGATAGTAAAATTCTAACCGTAAAGGCGGTAAAAGTGCTCTGAACCGTTGATCGAGTTCTAACGAAATTACTCCCTCCGTTCCTTTATAATTGAACTAACACCATTGCAACTTTGATTACTAATAATTTTTAAATGATTAGATTATGATAAACAGAAGTTTATTGCTTATGTTTAGTATGTAATTAACACGCTTAGGTAATATGACATCTATTTAAGTATTTAGATGTTTTAAAAAAGAATAACACGAACGGTCAAAGTTTAAACATGAATAATGGAGAGGGTAATGATCAATATTTGAGTACACGATCATTCATATATAGAAGGGAGCCAAACAACACAGGAGGATTAAATTAAATATTAATTATGAGATTGTGATGTGTGATTTTGATGCTTACTTGCAGGGTGCCAAGAGCAAAGACAATGATGCCGATGTTGCGGTGGAGAGTGTAGGTGATCCCATTGGACATGTTGCCGAGGTTGATGCCGGTGGCCCAGCCGGCGACGCCGACGCCATAGCCGATCAGCTGGCAGCTCACATGGAGGTAGAACCATGCCGGGTCCGCCGATCTGAAGGTCTTGAGATACCTCGCCAAGATCGCCCCCATGGGCAGCAGGATTCCCCAGCTCACGGCGTTGAGCAATCCATGGATCTTCTCATGTCCAAAGAAATTAAAATGAGATTGATTTTTGAAGGTTTTAGCAATGTTGTTTGGTGAGAATTCGATGCGGTTTGATGGATGGATGGATGGATGAGAGGGGAGAGTGATTTCATCCCTTCCCTCGTTTCTTGCAAACATACAAGTTTAAATTCAACTTATATAAGTTGTAACAAAAATAACAAATATAGCCATGAATGTACGATAACTATTTTAAGTTTAATTTGTTTTTTTTGCATCTTGTAAAACTTAAATTTGGTCATATATGTTTGTGAAGTGATATATTTCATTAATGTTATTTTTTAAAAATTTTTTAATAACTATTTAGATGAAATTCCACATCCGGATGAGAGTTTGTGCTCACGTTGCGCTTCTTGGCGATGGCGTCGGAGGAGGAGGAGGCGGCGGTGGTGGTTTGTGTTAGTAGGTCTAGCTTCGCCTTGGCAGCGAGGTTGGCGCCGCCCATGGCGTGCGGCGCGGGGACGCCGCCGGTGACGGCGGGGCCGACCTGCCACACCTGGTTCAGCACGCCGGCGCCGCCGTAGGCGGCGAGGCTCAGCGTGCCGAACACCCTGACGCGGCCGTCGGCGCCGAGCTCGGCGGCGAGGTCCGACGCCGGGAACGCGATCGGCCCCGGCTCGCCGAGCGCGTACCCGGAGATGTTGTATGTCCGGACCTCCCACGCGCCCGACGACGACGGCACGGCGACGAGCGCCTGCGCCCCGGCCATCCCGTCACCGGCCGGGTTGAGCCCCCACGCCACCCACCCTCCCGGCGCCGCGGGCGCCGCCACGAACGCGACGGACAGCTCCCCGCCCGCGCCGCGGTCGTACGTCCAGCGCAGTGACGCGCCGAGCCGCGGCAGGTCGCTGCACGCCGCGTACGCGCGGTTCGCCGAGAACGCCTCGCCGGCGCATCCCCCGGCTGCCGCCACCGACGCCGCCGCCATCGCCGCGAGCAGCAGAAGCAGCGCCAGCACCACCGCCCCCGCCATGGCGTAGCTCAGCTCGGCTCGCGGCGTCCGCGAGTGACAGTGCAGTGCAAGGTGGTTGGCGCCGCGCCGCGCGCGCGGCGCGGCTTAAAGCGTGGAGTGGAGGTGAGTGGGAGTGGCGGGGCCGGCTCGAGTTGACGGGGTCCTTTTGCCTCGTGAACTGTGGCGTCGCAGCAAGCGGCAGCTAGAGAGCATAGAGGCGAATCCGACGGCAGCACAGTGCACCTACCTACTACTGTCATTCCATCAGTGTAATAAGTTCAATTTAATATACTCCCTCCATCCCATAATGTTGTAATCTAGGATGGAATGAGACTAGTCCTAGGATGGGTCTCATCCCGGAGGGAGTAGAATGTAATGTAGTATATTAATACTACGAGGGCTTATTCGTTTTAAAGAAATTGTAAAAGAAAAACATAGAAACATGAATGAGTTTTAAACTACTATTCGTTTCATAGGAATGCACCATAGGAAAACTATAGGAGAGTTTTCCATTCCTCCATTTTTGAAGGAAAAGCATAGGAAAAAATTAAACCACTCCAATCTAATGTTTGTATTTTTTTTGGTTGGCTTGCTAAACAGCATAGGAAAAATTCATGTGTTTTTCAATCCATAGGTTTGCATATGTATTTCTATAGTATTCCTACGTTTTGAAAATCCTGTGAACCGAACGAGCCCTCATCTGAACAAATCAAGGTTGTGGTGTTTGGATGGGAAATACTTATTTTAGTCCCTCTCATAGAAATTTTAATCCCTCCCATCCCATAAAGACTTATGTTTTTTGAGAGCAATTAAAATAAGTCTCTCCCATCATAAACAGCTCCTTATTCTAAAACGAGGAAGGTACCACGATAAAATCTTGCGAAAAAAATATACACGGTATTTACACAAAAGGTAATTAAAGTCCATTGATCTCCACTCGAAATTCATCAAAGTCCTTTTCGCCTTAAACTACTTCGCATCTTTTGCCTTTTAATTTTGAAGTTGATTTTAAGGTTTTTTTTTTACCATAGTTTCTATTTTAACATTAACATTTAAATCATTACTAACACATACATAAAAGTTTGAACTATAATTTTTTTTATCGCTAATACACTGTTTGGCATATTATGCATAATTGGCCAAACAATGGCAAACTACAACATTTTTCCTCCTAAGCTTTTGAAATCAGACAGACTTTCTATCTCGTTAAGAATTATATATACATTTATAATACTACATAGCTATATTTTTATATTTTAAGATAGGGGGCACCACATCGGTATATTAGGGTTGTTACTCTAGACGTGGCACGAACCACCATTAAGCTGTGTTCGGGAGGAGCTCACCTCCCGTGTACGACGGAGCGATGCATTTTCTTATGATTAATTAAGTATTTAATATTTTTTGAAAAATTGATTAATATAATTTTTAAAGCAACTTTTGTATGAAATTTTTTTTAAGAGTGCGTGCAGAAAATGAGTTAGATGAGTTAGAAAAGAACTCAACCTTAGTATTGAACTCATGGTAAAACTTGAACTTAACGGTTTCGAAATTTAAGGGTGAAAATAGATGATTTTATAGTTAAAAGGATGAAAATGCGACTTCAGTGAGAAACCATGTATTTTTTTTGCAAAGTTGATTAATTTTCATTGAGAAACCATATACGAAAGTTGATTGAAAAAATTATATTAATCTTTTTTTAAGGAAAAAGTACAAATTACCCACCCCCAGAAAAAAAAACTATTGCGGTCGGCCTCCCCTCTAAACCCGAAAACCAGACATCACTCACCACGAACTTTAAATACCGGACGAATTACCCTTCTCAACACTGTTTTGAGTGGTTTTGACTTGAGTTTGCACATGTGGTGCAATCCGCAAATAAAAATAAAAATACCTCTCTTGGGCCCACCTATCATACCCCTCTCTCCCCCGGTCGCGCACTCTCTCTCTCTCCCGCGTACGTGCTCAGGCAGGCGGCATCGCAGGTGGAGACGGAGCTCCCCCGGGATACGGGCGGCGGAGGCGGAGCTCGCACGGGAGACGGGCGGCGGAGGCGGCGCGAGGCCCGGCGGTTTGCGGCGGCGCGGGACATCGGCGGAGAAGCGAGGTAGAGGTGGAGGCGGTGCCCCGGGGTGGGGAGGTGGGCGGCGGCGCGGGGACGAGCGGTGGGCTGGAGGAGGCGCGGCGCCTGCACCTGCGGGCGGTGGTGTCGACAGTGAAGGGCGCCGCCACGCGGCGGCTGCACGCCGCAGAGGCCGAGCTGGGGTGGAACGCGGAGCTCGACGCCCCGAAGTTGTTGGGTGTCGTCGGGCGCGGCGGCGAGTGGAGGCAGCGACGAGCGTTTGGCGGCGGGCGGGGGCGGGCGGTCGGCACCGACGCGGGTCGCGGAGGCGGGAGCCCTCTCTGCCCCCTTTCCCTCTCTCTCTTCCCAAGCCGCACCGTCCCCGACGTCACCCCACCGCGCGCACGCTCATGTGGGGCTTCGCTCCCCACCCCGTCCTCCCTGCGCGCCCCACCGCCGCCGCCGCCACCACGGAAGGGACCATGACAACCACCGCCAGCGCCTGGTCGGCCTGCACCTCCGTCGTCGGCCGCCACTGCCTCAACCACCGGCCGCCCGGGCGAGCTTCGCCTCCGCCGCCTGTCGCCCGGGCGAGCTCCGCCTCCGCCGCCCGCGGGAGCTCCGTTTCCACCCGCAGGTGCCAGCGCCGCGCCTCCTCCAGCCCATCGCCCGTCCCCGCGCTGCCACCCGCCTCCCACCCCTGGGCACCGCCTCCACCTCCACCTCGCTTCTTCGCCGACGTCCCGCGTCGCTGCAAACCGCCGGGCCTCGCGTCGCCTCCGCCGCCCGTCGCCCGGGGGAGCTCCGCCTCAGCCTTCCTGAGCACGAACGCGGGAGAGAGAGAGAGAGAGTGCGACCGGGGGAGAGGGGTACGACAGGTGGGCCTAAGTGAGGTATTTTTATTTTTATTTGCTGACTGGATTGCTACATAAGCGTCACGTGTGCAAACTCTAGTGACATTTAGCCATCGTTAGGATAGGGTTTCACCAGAATGCCACTCCGAAATATGACTTCGTTATAATGCCATCTTTAAACGAGACCATATTGTTGTACTGCCATTTCAACCAATTTAAGTGATTTGCAAATGTTTTCTTCCGTTTTTCTTATTTGCTTTGACCCAAATGCCCTTGCCGGTGCTGCTTCCGCGCGGCGCAGCCGCCGATGCTGCTTCTGCGCTGCTCGAGGAGCACGTCCTCGAGACCAGCCAGAGCCTAGAGCGTCCTTCTTGCTCCCCAGCAATGCGAGGAGCTTCCGGTGAGGTCCCACCGACACAGTCGTCACCGCGGCGCTCATCGACGCGTCGGTCTTCTCCATGTCTTCTCCACGTCGAAGGCAATGTCAGGTAGCTGCAACGTTGACTTCGACGTGGCGAAACAGGCAGCGACGCCGCCGAACTTGTGGATGCGATTGATGACGCCAACCTGAACCGCATCGCCGTCGAAGAGGATGACGTCGACGGACTCGTCGGCGACCTCCCGGAGCTTGCCGGCTCGGAAGACGACGACGTGGTGCCTCTCGCGAAACGGCGCCCACGACCTGGCAGGTAGAGCTCGCCATTGTCGGCCACCGCCGTAGCCGGCGAGAGCGCCAGCCTGAGCGATACGAGAGAGAACACGACGATGGTGAGGAGCACCGCCCGTGCCACCAGCCGGACGAGCCCTGGCCCTGCCATCCCTCGTACTAATTTCTTCATCGTTGCCATTGATCCGGATACAAAAAGATCACCCAGAAGAGGATCAAGAGGACTCAGAGCAGAGATGAACAGAGAAGATGATCAAGAGAGAGAATGAGGAGAGAAGAGATGGGAGAATAATCGGAGGAGACGACGGCGGGGTTAACGGACGGCGGTGTGCTTCCCACCCACGAGCGCCATGCGTGTTCTGTGGTGGGTAGCCCACGGCGGCTGGATCTATGGCAGTGGCTGCAGCTGGTTTGGAGGCAGCGGTGTCGGCTTGTCGGGAGGAAGATGATGATTGGATGGGAATCCATCTCTCCCAAGCAAGTCAATGAAATGGTCATAGGGGCAAAATTGTCAGATCATGGTGGAAAACATTTGCAAATCACCTAAATTGATCAAAATGCCAGTGCAGCAATACAGCCTCGTTTGAAGATGGCATTATAACGAAGCCACATTTCAAAGTGGCATTGTGGCGAAACCCTATCCTGACAATGGCTAAATGTCAATTTTCTCAGTCAAAACAGCTCAAAACAGTGTTGAGAGGGGCAATTTATCCGGTATTAAAAGTTCAGGATGAGTGATGTCTGGTTTTCGGGTTCAGGGAGAAATTCGGCCGACCGCAATAGTTCGGAGGGGTTACTTTTTTTATTTTTTTAAAATGATCAATATTTAATTAATTGTGCACTAATAAGTTTTGGTTTTACGTGCGCCGCGCGAGACAGCCATCCGAACACAGCCGTAGTACAACTGTGCACAACGGACGGGATATGGAAAAGCTTCTACCAACCTGAAGCCTAACCACCAGACACACCATCAACGTCCTGCTTTTCCTTCTCCATCTGCTTGAGTGCTTTGCACCAGCTCACTCATCAAGCAAAACTGAGGCGGAGCGTTTGAAATAGAGTATTGGACCGATTGTTACTGCAGATTATTTACATGATTACAAGAATATAAATTAAATATTTTGATAAATTAACTTAAAATAAGTGCTTTAAACTCTTCGAGACGTGGAGCAAATGATTCGTTTTGACAATCCGGTGAGTAATCCGTCTCAAATGATCCCAAACGAGTTGCACTGTTGCAGAGGAGGCGAGTATGTGATGAACACTTGAGTGCTCACATTTTTTTTTGAAGGAAGGCAAAAGCTTTGCCTTGAATATATTAATAGAGCAGGAAAAAAATATAGCGAGATATATACAGAGTTAGATAAAAAAACGAAATAAATAACCCGCAAGAGGAGAGGCAAAAAGCAGAGATTAAGTGATATTTCCCAAAATTCCGAACTCCTACAGGATTGAAACCCCTGCTTTGACCCATGCTCTCCCTTCCTCCTTGATCTTTGCTAGAATTGAGGATGGCGTAGATGCATTGCTGCGGAAGATTCTTGCGTTTCTTTCGCACCAAATTTCCCACGAGATTAAAATCACCAGGGTCCTGAGAGGCTTGCGTGGGGTGTTTGGAGATTCCGTTACGAGTGTCCACCATTGCTCGACTGAGTGACAGCTTTCCCAGTTGTCCATCTGAAGGTCAGTCCCAGTCCATCTCTGCATTTCTGCCCATATCCTCTTTGTGAGTCTGCATTTGTCCAGGAGATGCAGGGCCGATTCATCAACATTATAACAAAGTGGGCAAATCTTTTGGTTTTGCCATCCTCTTTTTTCCAGCCTGTCTGCCGTCCATACTCTATTTTATGTGACCAGCCAAGAGAAGAACTTGCACTTCGGCGGCGCCCATGCCTTCCAGATTGACTGATAGAAGGTAGATTTAGCAGCCCCAAGGAATTGTAGTCGATAGGCCGATTTTGCCGAGTACTGCCCATTTGCTGTGAGGTTCCATCGGATGCTGTCGTGGTTTTCGCTTAGAGGCCTCATATCTCTGATCATTCTCCAGAGGCGGACATACTGTTGGAGGTGATTCGCCTCGAAGATGCGAGAGACATCAATATCTCGTATCCACTTGTTTTCTGCTAAGGCATCATGCACAGTCGTATTCTTTCTTCTAGAGGCCACGAAAATATCTAGGGCAATCAATTGTGGTGTTTGATTGTCTAGCCATTTTGAGCTCCAAAAGCGTGCAATTTTGCCATCTCCCACCGTTATTGTTGTTGCGGCCGCGAAGAGGTTCTTGTCTAGCTGATTGCATGGTAGCACAGATCCCACCCAAGGCTTATCCGGCGCCACCCATTCGTTCCAAAGCCATCTGAGCTTAGAGCTGATGCGAAATATTGCAGGTTCATAACACCTAGGCCACCCAAATCTTTTGGCCTGCAGACCCTTTTCCAGTTGACTTTACATTTTCCCCCCGAGATGTTTTCGCCCCTTGCCCAAAGGAATTTCCTTCTTATTTTGTCCAACTCCTCTAGGGTTCCGTCTGGTAGCTTTAGTGATGTTAGGTGGTAGATGGGCTGCGCCGTGAGGACTGATTTCGTTAGGCAGATTCTAGCGGCGGCCGACATCATTTTGCCTTGCCAAGGAGCGAGACGCGCTCGGCACTTGTCCATTAAGGGTTGAATGTGGACCTTCTTGAGCCTTCCAACCACGAGGGGTAGGCCAAGGTATTTCATTGGGAAGTTTGTTAGGCCTGCTGGGAAGATCCCAATGATGTTGGAGAGATCAATGCTATCACACCAGATAGGGACAATTTGGCTTTTGTTGAGGTTTGTTCGGAGGCCCGTCACTTGCCCAAAATCGCTTAGAAAGCCAGTGAGATTTGTCATGTCTTGGACACTTGGGTTCACGAATATGGCCGCATCATCTGCATAGAGGGAGGTTCGGAATCTGGGAGCTCTTCCGCGAAGAGGGGACATGTGTCCTAATTCTGTTGCTTTCTCTAGAAGGTGGTGGAGTGGGTCGATGGCTAAAATAAATAGCAGCGGCGAGAGGGGGTCACTCTACCGGAGGCCTCTTCCATGCTTTATAGGCGATCTTGGGCATCCATTGAGGAGGACCCTTGTTGTCGACGAGGCTAGGATGTTTGAGACTTAGTTAGTCCACCGAGATGTGAAGCCTTTTCTCTGGAGGAGGCCGATTAAGTAATCCCATCTAACCGAATCAAAAGTTTTGGTTATGTCGAGCTTCAACAGAAGAGTCGGCGTTCTTGTTTGGTGGAATTTTCTTGTCAGATTCCTCACATACATAAAGTTGTCATGTATGCATCTTTTCTTTATGAAAGCACTCTGGGCGTGACTAATCAGGATCCCCATGTGAGGCTGCAGGCGCAGTGCAAGTACCTTTGAAATTAGCTTCCCAACTCCATGTATGAGACTGATAGGCCTGTAGTCTCCTACGCATTCTGCTCCCTCCTTTTTCGGGATGAGCACCACGTTTGCTGAATTGAGGATCGGGAAGTTATTACTTCGTAGCCGGTCAAAGGAATGAATGACCGCCATGATGTCATCGCTATACAAATTACAATGCAGCATGATAGCAGCAGATCTCTCATCTCTCTGAAGGAACTCGGTTCTGAATTCTGATCCATTTCTGCTGGACTGTCGTGTTCTTTTGCAGCTCTTGATGGTGCCATGTAACGTCAATGCTCTGTACTAGTACTACTGATGATTCTGAACCGATAAAGTACGAGCAGATGATCATGCGCACAAGTGCAGAGATCAGTTTATTCTGGCCGTGTTTAGTTCCAAAATAATTCTCCAAACTTTTAACTTTTCCATCACATCGAAACTTTCCTACACATACAAACTTCCAACTTTTCCATCACATCGTTTCAATTTTAACCAAACTTTCAATTTTTGTGTGAACTAAACACAGCCTCTGTTGTTCTTGAGAGCTTCAGTCTTCAGAGATCATAATAGGATATGTTTAGGTTAGGTGAGCTTTATATTCCAAGAATCAGTAGGTGAAATTTTAACATGTGAGAATCTGAAGAAGCTGAGATAACTAACTTATGACTTCAAAATTATTTTCTGGACTATGCAACTGCAATTGCTTAGTGGAGCTCTCTCAAACAGACTGAAAGATAGGTAATGGGCTGTGCATGCATCTTCAGACTTCAGTTCAGGCCCATGCAGAAACCGAGACAGCCCATGGGCTATTCTCATGGCTCGTGTTTGTTGCAAAACATTTACCTGACATAACTGACGAGTTGCGTCATCAACCTGTCATGACGACGCAAACTATTCCATGAACGCAGGTTAACTGCTTAATTAAGCTCCTAATCTTATTGGTGCCCGGTTAATCAAATGGCAAAATGCTTTTGATCGCCGTGGTTTTAGGGTCAACTTAGCAAAGTCCGAGGCGATCGATCTCTCCCAAGCTAAGAGGAGGATGAGTAGCAACTGGCGACTAATCATGCATGATGCATGTGTGTTCTATGGGAGACTAATACATTTCATTCTTGCCGGATGATTGGGCTTCACGTTCATGTCATGTGGACACAAAAACCTGTACTAGCTATGACGGTTTTCACGGATTAATCTGCTGCGAATTTTTATCTGTTTTCCGCTGCAGAAGTCTTAATAATCCAGTTTAAGGATAGAAACAATAATCAGTATGGTAATATGATCGAAGAGAGGTAATTCTAAACTTGTTTTTTTAGCTGAATCGGTCGGTGCCGTCCTATTTCATTTTAAGAAGAAACAAGGCCAGACCTCAGGTAATTTTGGATTTGGAGTAAATTTAGGACAGATAGTCTATATTGAGCTTCACATCTCGTTTCAAAATTGAGATTTCTGATGATTTACTTGGCCATATAATTGAGTTCAGAGATAATGTTTGTGCAACATATATACTAGATGATTTACTTGACCATATAATATTTGAGTTCAGGGCTCAGGATTATTAACTGTAACCAATGTCAAACATATCCTTATTACTAGAAGGGATGATTATACTTGTTGATGCTCCAATTAACAAGTTGACCCTGCAAAGTCATCATATTTATCAACCACATATGCGTAAATTAATCTCTGAACATGCTCAGGTCACCTGCCGGCTGCCGTTTAATTTGCACTACGACGTGCCTTCACTTCAACAATTTCTTTACATTCTAAAATGTGAGAGTACACGAATTAAGAAATGGCTCGAAATTTCTCCTTTCCATTACACGGCTGCATCAATCTGCAGATGCGTTGAATTTACTTAAATTCGGTTTCGTTTCTGACCGTTTATATCACCAAGTCAACTCCAAAATGCCATAAACAAATTTTAAAAAGCGGCCAAATTCATTGCACCCAACTCGATCTTCCCGCTATATAAACCGCCCATGCATCCGCCATTTCTTCTCATCACAGTGCTCCAGCTTCTTCGAAAGAAGCCAAACTTGCCGGAGATCTCACGCCGGCCAAAAATGGCATCGTCGGCGACGCACCTGCGTGCCGTTCTCCTGGCCGTCGCGCTGCTGGTGGCCTCGCCGGCGGCGGCGGCGGCGAGCGTCTGCGAGGGCGAGAAGTTCCCGGCGGGGAGGAGCTACGCGACGTGCGCCGACCTGCCGGCGCTCGGCGCGACGCTGCACTGGACCTACGACGGCAAGGCGTCGACGCTGTCGCTGGCGTTCGTGGCCAAGCCGCCGGCGAGCGGCGGCGGCGGGTGGGTGTCGTGGGCGATCAACCCCACCGGCGACGGCATGAAGGGCGCGCAGGCGCTCGTCGCCTTCAAGGGCGGCGCCGGCGCCGCCGCCTACGTCGTGAACACGTACAACGTCACCGGGTACAAGCCGTTCCCCGCCGCGTCAACGCCCATCGCGTTCAACGCCACCGACCTCGCCGCCGACGAGAGCGCCGCCACCGGCAAGCTGCGGCTCTACGGCAAGCTGCAGCTGCCGCGCGGGATGGAGACGGTGAACCACATCTGGCAGGTCGGCTCCACGGTCACCGGCGGCGTGCCGATGAAGCACGCGTTCGCGCAGGAGAACCTGGACGCCAAGGGCAGGCTCTCGCTCGCCGGCCATGGCGCCGCCGTCGCGCAGGAGCCCGCGCCGGCGCCGGCGGCCGGAGGCCCGTCGTCCGCCGAGGCCGAGAACGCGGTGACGGCGGCGTCCCCCTCGCCGTCCGGCAAGAACGCGGCGGCGAACACGCACGCGCCGGCTCCGGCGGCGCTCGCCGCCGCCCTGGCATTGGCGGGTTTCTTGGCGTTCGTATGATCTTACGAAGCTAGACGACGTAGCCCGTAGGAAGCATTAGTTCTTGGTGATTAATTGTTTTTCTTCTCTTTTTTTTCTTTTGATTTTTTTTTTGTAATTTTGGTTTGAAATAAGAAAAGATCGTTATGTTGTTTGATCATCAAGTTACGCAGCATCGTAACTATTGTGTTAAGCAATTTAGTTTGATCCAATCTGGGACTGTGAGTGTGTGTGCTTATGTGTTTGTGTAGTGTTAATTACACATGGATGAGTTTGACTTGCGTAAGTAAAATTTTGCGTGAATATTCTGAAATCTGAATCATTTGATTGATCGATCCAATCTGAGAATAGTTAATCCCTTTTGGTAGATTCCAGGTCAGGAGATCGATACCGTTAACTGTTAACCTTACGTTAAACAAGGAAGCAAACCACGTGATGATCCCATTGTCAGATCGGTCCTCTGTTGCAGGTTCAGTTTAATGACCTCTCACTTTAGCATACTGTATGTTGCAGCTCGTATTCGTCTCTCCCTATGCTTAGTTAATCTCTAGGTTTAACGGCGAGGTTAATTAATTATTATTAGGGGGCTGCTATATAACGGAATCCCGTTTTCGAACGGGATGATCCCGAGTAGGTATCAGGTGTGATACCTATCAGGTATCAGACGATTCTACACACGTTTCAGGTGATACTTGTAAAGTATCATGTGATACTTATCAGGTATCATGCGATTTCTACCACGTATTGCGTGATACTCGCGAGGTATCATGTGATACCTGTAAGGTATCAGACGATTTCTACCACGTATCGCGTGATACTCGCGAGATATCATTTCAGGTATCAGACGATTTCTACTATGTATCGCGCGATACTTACGAGGTATCAGATGATACTTACGAGGTATCACGTGATTCCTAGTAGATATAACTGTGCATCCCGTTGGGGGAGGAGCATCCCGACGCGCGGCCGGCCACCTGCAGCCGTCCCCTGTAGATGAGGACGGCGACGGCGGTGGCAGGGGATGGGCGCGGCGGCGGTGGCGAGGGACGGCGACGGCGGCGGTGGGTGCAGGCGCGGTGGAGGCGGTGGGGGATGGGGACGGCGGTGGCGGGGGACGGGCGCGGCTGTGGTGGGGGACGGGCGCGCGTTGATGGCTTCGGCCACGTCGCATGGGTGAGAATCGCGTTTGTGGAGGAGTAGCATCCCGTTGGGAAACGGTATCCCGTCCCCTAGCATTCCCCTTATTTTATTAGTCCCCAAAAGTGCATGTTGAGATTCGTGCCGGCACGCGCTCCCAGACCCTATGAGCGTCGATGCTGTGATAGATCCGCGCACCGTCCATCCGCTGCAGCATCAACAAGATCGCTGTCGCGATGCGCGTCCGCCTGAGTTCGAGACGACGAACCCGCCGCCGCCCGCCGCTCGCTTTCGCAGCCGGATCGATGCAGCGAACCGACCGTGACGGCCCACAAGCCCATGTTCTGACCATCACGCGGGCCAACAAGCCCATCTACTAAACCATCCAGCGGGCCACGATGTTTGATGAGTGCAATAAGTTCATTTTACATCCCTCCTATCTTGCCCCTGGAAAATCGCCTCCCCATCTTTGAAAACCAATACAAATAAAGGGTTGGTTTGGTTTGTGGCCTAAATAGGCCTTACCAAATTTTGTCAGTACCAAATTTTGGCAAGTTTTGGCATGACTAATTTTGGTAAGGTAAAATTGTGTTTGGATTGAAGCCAAAATAGTCTAAGTTCACTATTGAAATGACCTATTTTTTTTAGGCATGCCAAAATTTAGCTTCAAACCAAATAGACACTAAACATTATTGAAATTGCCAAATATTAGTAAGCCTAATTTAGGCCTCAAACCAAACCAGCCCAAACTCTTTGGTGGTTTCAAAAGATATCTCTAGCCATGTAATACAAATCCGCTTTTGAAACCATCCAAGGAGTCGATTTACACCGGTTTTCAAATACTTGGTTTTACGGTTGAAGGAGGCGACTCAACCGAAGGGCAAGAGTTGAGGGAGGTAAAATAGACTTACTCCTTGGGTGAGTTTCTGAGGCCCATCTGCGCGAGGTGGCAGTGGAGGCCCATGGCGGGGCCAGCCCACCGACTAGGGTTCTCGCGAGAGGCGATAAGAACCCCTCGCTCCCCCACCAGCCGCCGCTCCTTCTCCCCTCCCGCCGCCGCCGCCTCGCTTCGCCGCAGGAGTTTGCAAAGGTAACGTGCGTTCCGCCTCGCCGTCTCGCCGCCGGCGTGGTTCGTGGCCGCGTTCTCCTCCCCCTCGTATCCCTAACGCGTCTGTTTTTCGCGTGCAGATGGTGGTGCCGTTGCTGACGAAGAAGATCGTGAAGAAGCGGGTGAAGCAGTTCAAGAGGCCGCACAGCGACCGCTACATTGGCCTCAAGGTACTCTCTCTCTCTCTCTCTCTCTCTCTCTCTCTCTCTCTCTCGCCGTTCTTCTCGCGCGGTGGCCCAGGATTCGTTAGCAGCAGAGACTTTGGAATCGGGATCTACTTCTTAGCGATGAATGTGGCTCTAGTTTTTGTTTTTTTCAGTCAAGAATGTCCTAATGGCGGTTATTAGCTTACGGTTAGGTTTAGAGTCTTTTACTTGCACAGCCTGGAATGCGCGCGCACACGATTAATGATCATCCTCCTATAGTTCATCATTTAGTGATTTAGGAATTAGGAATACGATATGCATGCTGTAGTAGTTATAGTTGTCAGTTTGTCACCCGCGGTTAAGAGCAGACTAGTGATGTAGTGGTTGGAAATGGGTATAAATTGTGGTGATGAAGTGATACTGATTTTGGATCTGAGCATGCCTTGCTCTTGAAATTGAGAAGAATCGACCTGGTTTGCATTTGTGTAAACTAAAATTTACTGTATTAATGCTTAACTCTGCAGATGCTCTCTTGCTGTTACTATAACCTAGTCATTGGCAATAGTTATAGGCTTATAGCCTTATAGGAGAATGCCCTCTTAATTTTGAATGTAGATCAAATTATATTGACTATTGATACTGATTTGGAACCGAGTATAATGAACCATACTTTGGGGGTTGAAAATGTCTGTAGTCTGTACCAGATCAATCATCTAGGTAAAATCAAATTGTGCTATGCTGAAATGTGCTCTGCTCATGTTTACATCCACTTATGTTTTATATGGAATTTTCATCTTGAGGTGTGGATCACCTTTTGGTTAGCCCGTAAGATGAAGTTTTTATATCGTTTTCAGTCTGCATCCTAGTCACGCCATGTATTGTCAGTTTTTGTTTGTGTGGACACAAGGGCTCATTTTCATTTGCACTGTTTCTGTAGACAAGCTGGCGCAGGCCAAAGGGTATTGACTCTCGTGTCAGGAGAAAGTTCAAAGGATGCACCTTGATGCCCAACATTGGATATGGTTCTGACAAGAAGACAAGGCACTACCTTCCCAACAAGTTCAAGAAGTTTGTGGTGCACAATGTCTCTGAGCTGGAGCTGCTTATGATGCACAACAGGTAATTGACCTTGTTTATTTGTAGAACTTCGAGGGTGCCACACATTGAGAGTAATCATAGAACCTTTGATTGCAACAGTATTTATGTGTGTACTGCCCTATTAGGGTGGAGCCTCGAACAAAAATAGCACAGCAGCAATCATCTACTCAACCACAGTAACAAGTGTTCACATCTTAGATAGCTTAAATTATATTTTTCTAGCATTAGACGAGCGGTGTGTTGGGGGAGCCAGTTGATAGCGGTTCCTGTTCTGCTGTCTAAACCAATACTAGCCGTCTATATTTAGGGATGTTGGGAAATACAATACTTGTGGTTAAGCCTTTTCTAATGCCTTATTTGCTGCAAACAGGACATACTGCGCTGAGATTGCTCACAACGTCTCCACCCGCAAGCGCAAGGAGATCGTCGAGCGCGCTGCGCAGCTGGACATCGTGGTCACCAACAAGCTTGCCAGGCTCCGCAGCCAGGAGGACGAGTGAAATTTTCTGCAGTTTTTCGTGCTTATGGCTGCATTGTTCGTAGGGCAGTGCCTTGGTACCTTAAAATTATCCATTTTGTGTTGCTGTTAGATTTGCCCGTATGGACATCATTTTGCTGTGAGTGACCTGTCTAGTTTTAGCAACAATGAGATAAAAAGACTTTCAGCTTTTCATCATCATAAACTTATGTGGTTTCTCTTGAGCGCTCCAAGTTTTCTAGATCCTGGAAACACTTGTTAGTTATTATTGTCCTCTATGAGAATACAACTAAATCAATCCATTATTATAGCATCAAATGAGTGCACGACTAAATCATTGTCATGTCAACTGCATATACAGTACATAACTTTGGAACTGTACATGGTTCGGACCCGAGTTATTAACAGCTCACGTACACGGCTCAACTCAAGAACACCAGGTCGTTTTTCATGAACCGTCACAGCAACCGAAGCAAAGCCACGGCAATGCTTGCACCCATTGGCATTGTGCTGTCTACCCAGGGACCATGCTGGAGGAGCTTGGAGCGTAGCGACAAGTGTACGCTCCCAAGTGTAGATGAGTTGATGGCCGTGATACTATCATACTCATTATGGTTCCCTAGGAATGCAAGAATTGTACACCAAAGGGCCCCTTAATCGCAGGATTGAGAAAACAGAGGAATAGGAATAACGTAGGAATTGAATGCCACACTTATTGGATTCCTATAGGATTTTGAAACACAGGAAAGTCTTCAAACTGTCGTCTGATTAGCACACAGGAAAAACATAGGAACCTTAGACACATGAAGAAGAAAACATGAGGTGAGACTTCATGCTTATTTTCCTCCAAACTTGCTCTAGTAAGTTTCATTCCATTGGAATTTCAAAGGAATTGATAGGAAACAATCCTTTGTTTCAAAGGACTCTATAGGATTATTTTCCATAGAGTAAAATCCTCTAGAATTCCTATGGTTTTTCCTTTGATTCAAAGGGGGCCTGAATTAGCTTAATTCTTGTGAAATATATGCAATATTTCGTCTTTCCAAGCAATTCACTATACATCTGCTCCAACAAGGCAAATTAATACTCCTACGTCTCATAATAAGTTTATTTTTTTATTCCTCTAATTTATCCCAAAATAACTTCACTTTTAAGGAATTATTGTATCAGAGTTTGTGAATGTGGGTAATGATTGTATCGAGAGAGATAAAGTGATGAGTAATGCTTGTATTGTGATTTGATGAAATAGAGGTATTCTACCCTTTTTGGCATTGTATTAGTATGTGTGTGATGGCTGAAAAATGAACTTATTTTAGGGCGGAAGGAGTACTACCCCTTTCACAAGGCAAATTAAGCAACATTCCAACATTCCTCTACCTCCATCGATCCAAGTTATTACTATCACTGAAAAACACCGGTGGTATATATATGGTAATGGAGTCGTGAATGAGTTACTATTAATATTTAAATTCTGATGTGCCGTGAGTTCTAGATACACGAGTGAGCGTGCTTTTACTATGATTTACTGAGGGTAGGAATCTGTTGTTAGTCTCTCTCTTTGATCGTGTGTTAGGGATGAGGTATTCGTGGGTGTTTATATGGCATCTTCCATGTAATTGAAAAAAGAAAATTAAAGCGATTAGCAGCTTCATTGATCCACCAAGTTATCATGATCAATCAAGAAAAAAAAGGCCACACCGGTTTGGAGGACGACGGAGAAGCTGACCACGTCGCCCAAGTCGACAGTTTCACGTGGATAAGATTGGTAGTAGCAGTCACCGCTAGCTCATCGTCGTCGTCATCGGTTTGCTTGCATCGCGGCCAGCCATGCACTCACCCATCCATGGCGACCCTCCCCTGCCCTAGTTGCTAATTAAGCGCCTAAACTAGGGCTTTTTGGGCTTGACGTAACAGTTTAGGACCCCCTACACATGGGCGCCCATGAGCTCAATCTGACCCCCTCATGAGTGGCGCCATCTCGTGGACCAACCCAAATCCCACGCGACATCTCTCTCGCAAACCCTAACCCAACACCGTCGAGATGTACTCGATAGTGCAGTAATATGGGTACGTGGTTTTAATATAAGTATGCTGTCGAGACGTAGGAGTACTTGATAGTCCAGTAATATGGGTATGTGGTTTTAATACAAATTCTCGTGTTCAATTTTTAACATGCTTATAATTTGTTCTTAAAAAAAAATTGGAGTGACCTCTCTACCTACAAATCTTGTTTTTTTTTTCCTAACCCAAAGCCTTCTTGTGAGGAAGGTGAAATTTATTAACTGATGATATGATCCGAGTTACTGTCGGGGAGACGAGATCGATCGCCGAGATCGGCTCGATGGAGACGGCGAGGGGGAGAGGCAGCCGTCGAGTCGCCGTCTGAAACGATCATTCCATTTCTCGTAATCATTGCTCTTATCCACCGCGCTTTAATCTGATGTGTTCTTTTCTGAACTTTTAATTTTATTTAACTTGATTGAATTGTTTCGATAGAATTGAACGATAATTTTCATATGTTCTAATCTTTTTTTAAGTATATACTGTATATTTTTTTCAGGGAATGCGTACATCTATATGAATTTTATGATGGCTGCACGGATCGATCGATGGCATGATGTGATAGCTAGGCTTCATTGTATCGAGACTAGGCCATCCATCCGATCGGCTTCAGATCTCGCGCACAGTGATCGCATCATCACCAAACGGTTTGCTACAGTTTTGCTCAATGTGTTTGATTTATGGATCATATATATTCATATATAAATATATACACACACTCCTGGTTCATATATACGATAATACGATATCCGCATGGCTATGTGCATCACATGATATAGAGATCAGGATAATTTTAATTTTTTATTTCATTCGTATTAAAAACAATTATATGATAGCTGCCGCAACATTTGATCGAGGTCATCTTTTTCGGTCCAACTCATTCGCAGCCGAATTGAGGGAGATGTTAGGGGAAAAGAGGAGAAGACCACTGTTCATCGGTGCAAAAGAGTTTAATGTCAAAGGTGTAGAGGCCGGGTTTAATCTAATCCGTTATTTTAAAAAAAGAGTTTAATGTGGAGCGTGAGAAGACCAAACACCCGGTCGTTTGGTTCACCACGCATTCGCCATGATTGCCAATTTGGTTAGGGTTTATTCATGAGCCACAGCAACATGGAAGGATCAAGGATGGATGAAACTTTGAAAGCTCAATGGATATACATGTATTTTTGGAGGGCTAATCACATGAATCGGCAAATTCGGCAGGCGATGGCGATGCTCACTGCATCCTGCCTCTCTTGCATCATGAGGCTCTGAAAATTGTGCGATGGCTTCACTAATTAATTAAGGGGATTATGGGCCTGTCAGGTTTGGTCAGCTTTGGTTATGGTGAGCAAATTGCGGTTGTTTGAGTTAATGAGTTGGCTCCCTGATGAACAGTATGTGCAGTGATGATCCCAAACAGTCTTGCAGATTGGAATGCAAATTGTTTGATAATTGATAGCTTTCTGATCAGAGTAAGCCTAATATCACCAAATGTGGTAGATGCAGACAGATATCAAGTGGAAAATGACCTGGCTTAAGTAGGCAGGTCTAGTTAGTGTGAGTGAACATGGTAAATTAGAGGTGATTATTAACAAGTGGAAGGTGACAGGAATTTTGTTTGGAACTGTACTAAGCTATGAGCTTTGAATGTGAGAACTGTCTGAAATTACAGCAACTTTCAGTGAGCTATTTGCTTATGCAAGCACAGGTTTTCAGGAAGATCACAAATTATTTTTATTGTTCTACAGAAACTGGACAACTGGCACTTTTGAGTATCACATCAAGGTATTCTTGTAAGAAAAGGACGACCTCAATCTTCAAGTCTTTGATACAGTAACAGTGTTACCATTATGTATTTCCAGTACTGATACTGCATAAGATCTTGTCATGAGCTGTATACCATCTAAGCTATCAATTTTCAACAGCCTGTCCATTGTTCAGAGAGGACAAAAATTTTACAATAGTAGTACAAAATTGAATGGATTTTCTCCAGGGGAGTAAGAAACGGGAGCTGACAGCGACAGGAAACCTAACTACAGAATCGGTAAAAACTTCATCGGTCTTTCCGAGTTACCTCTACAAATCAGGCACAAGAACAGGGAGACAGCAAAGCCTGAATGCTGACACTACAAAACTACAAGAACAGGGAAATTTACAAGAATGAACCCTTGCTCAAGTAAAAGGAGAATTACCAAGATTGAATGAATGGACAAAGAACCGACATCTTCTAGTTTCGTTTTGGTTCAGTATGGCTGGAGTAATCAGAAAAATGTGCAGTGAAATTTTGTCAGAAATGTGGGGGGGTGATTCAGTTGCGGCATGGATGACGGCAGCTGCACAGTTGAGTACCACGAAATGAGATCCAGCAGGCAGCGAGGAAAAAAAGCGATGGCTAACCTGCCAAACTTGGGGGAAAACGACGGCCGTTTTGTTTGCGCGCAAATGAAGACATGAAAGATGATGAATCGATTGGAACCATTTTGGCTATGCGGATGAAATTGCGTTGTGAGCTGGCTGAAAAGGAAATGTGTTGGCTGTCCATGGTGACTAGCGAGATTAAAGAGTAAAGTGAACAAGCGGTCCTTAAACTTGTAGGGATGTGCCATCTAGGTCCATAAACTCTCAAAATGCATATCCAAATCCCAGAACTTGTTATAGTATGCCATCTAGGTTCCAAATCACCACAGCCCCATCAGAATCCTACGTGGTGCTTATATGGTATGCCACGTGGACATTTAAAAGTTTTCCTTTTCTTTTTCTTTTTTCTTCTCTTTTTTTTTTCCTTTCTTCTTCTTTCTCCGTGACCCGAGCAAAAGAAAGGGAAAAAAAGAAGAATGAGAAGAAAACAAAAAAAGAAAAAGAAAAGAAGAAAGAAAAAGACACATCACGTCCACGTGGCATGCTACATCAGCGCCACGTAGGATAGTAGAGAGGCTATGTCGATTTGGAACCTAGAACACTTAGACAAGTTCTGAGACCCGAATCTGCATTTTGAGAGTTTAGGGATCTAGATGACACAACCCTACAAGTTTAAGGAACGCCTATGCACTTTACTCGAGATTAAACTTACTCTGTTATCTAATTGTGAGATTAAACTTTCTCCACCGATTGCAATCGAGATTTTTTATATATATAACTTGCAGTTTTGCAGTCTAACATCAGTGGAACTGCTTAAGTAATCATCTTATTGAGAAAAATTGCTCCAGTAATATTCATGGCTACTCAACTGCAACACATTAATATTTCACCTTTCAATATAAGTTGAACAAAAGCCGTCTTTTTAGATGATTGGTGGATTAAAGCTTATGGATAATCTACTTGATTATGAGGATCATTAAAATATTAAATGTTTTTAGAAGTATGGAGCAAATAATCCGTGGTAATAATCTGAAAAGAACGGGGTCTTTGTGGGGGCACAAAATAAAGTGGAGCAGAAGCACTGCTGACATGTTGAAATAGCACATACCTTTTCATTTCAAGACAAAATCAACAGTACACTGTATCATGGCAATACCAGGCTATTACCAGCCGGCTCGTACATACTGGAAGAGAGATGGTGCTTGTAATATTTGCACCATATCTAGTACATAACCTACTATTTTGTAGATCATATTTGTCTCACAAATATGAGAAGAATCAAGTAGCCGTACATCCAGCATATGAAAAATGAATCAGTTCCCTCGGGCCTAAATTTCGAAGAACAGTTAGCTTAGGAGCTTCACTTTGCAACTGGTTTCATGCTTTCTATGTACAAAAATCATTGGCTGTTATCATTGATCATCTAGAACTCGATCTCTGTGTGATCTGCTGCTTGCAACTGACCTGTGTCAATTGATCCATACAGGCTATCAGTCTATCATACTGAACAAGGCATGCAATACAAGTGAACATAATCAATTACACGAACCATCGAAATTCGGTGCAGAAACCGCATCCTCCTGGCTTTGTTCGTCGTTATACTGGAAAGTATTATCCTCCCAGAGATCCCTTTGCTGAAAAGAAAACCAAAGGCAAACAGTGTTATCATCATATATGCATGTTAATACCATCTGTTCCGTAGATTGCAAGTTTTTTAAGGCAGCAATCACCTGCTTCTGAAAAGCATACTGTGTGCTCCCTGTGTGGGGTAGAGCTGTGTTTGCCAGATCTAGGCTACATTGGTTTTCCATGGCTCCCAGACCAAATGACTGGAAAAAATCTGCTTGGTCACAAAATGGAAAAGCTGTACCGGCACTTTCCAAAGGAAATACGGAATTCACCGAAGGGCCACAAGATTGGAACATCTGGATTTTACAAAGAAAAATTGCGTGTTAGGAGCATATTGCTAATGGACCCGAAGCACGCGAATTGGGATAACTCAAAGCTCACATCTTTCTGTAAGAGTGTAGATAGGTTGCCAAAGTCGAGCTGCGGATTCACGGTCGCGAGCTTCATGGACAGGAACTGAAATGGTACCAAATTGTTACTATCAGAGTTTTCATAATCTGACCAAGCAACATAACCAAATGTTTTGGCTGTGTCCTAACCTCGACCTGCTGCTGCAACGATTGCACGTAGTTTATGATCTCATCAAGCATGAGTGCCTTGCCAACCACCTAAAACAAGGATAATCTCTTCAAATTAGCCAACACATAGGGTACCAACTGAAACTTCGGCGCGACAGTTTATCGTTCAGGAATCTGATGATACCTTGTTGCATCCAGGCACCAGGTCCTGAAGCACTTTCATCCGCTGGCTAATCTTCTCTCTTCTAACCTATCAAACCACAAAGCACAGTGTGTGAATTTCCACTCAACCCCCAAATTTGACATGGATTTGTACAGATTTCAGTGTGCTTTGTTACCCTCTCTGCAAGGCTGTGGCTGTCAGTGGCCTGACCTCGCCGTGCCCGGACATGGACGTAGTCCTTGGGCGGCTCGGCGGCCGGCTTGGATGAGTTCTTCCCCTTTCCTTGCTTCTGCACTCTGTCTCCCACCGAGCCATCGCTGGCGGCTTCTTCCACCTTGGGATTCACCTCCGCTTTGCATTTCTTGGAGTCCGGCGCCTTCGCCTCTCCAACCTGTAAACCCAAAGAAGAAATGGAGCGGGACATGTTCAGCATCAAGATCAGTCACTCCATGGTGGAATTCGCTGTAGCTGAGCTCGACCCACCTCGCACGGGCTGCTGCCGCCGCCCACGACGGCGTCCTTGTCCTTCCCGGCGGCGGCGCTCGCCGGAGCTTTCCTCTTCCTGGCATTGTCGCCGCCGCCGCCGGTGGCGTGCGCCCACGCAGGGTCGGACACCGACGAGCCTTCCCTCGAGCAGCCGCCGCGCTCGGCGTTCCCCACCGCAGGCAGCCCGAAGAGCCCAGCTCCGCCGCCGCACAACCTCGCCGCCCGCTCCGCGAAGCCGGGCCCGCCGCACAGCGTCTCCAAGAAAGCGCCACCGCCGCCGTCGAGCACACCGAGGTCGAGCCCCGCGGCGGCGGCGCTCATGAGAAGGCCGGCAACGTAGTCGCTGTCCATCGATCAAGAAACCAAAAGAAGAAGAAGAAAAAAAAAACACAAACCCGCAAGAATTGCGCGAGAAGCGAGGAGTGGAATTGGGAGAGAGGAGCTAGTCCAATGGAGGAGACGGTAGGTAGGTAGGGTGGTGGTGGTGGGGTGGGAGGATTATATAGACGGCGCGGCGGGGGACGGTTGCTTGCGGCGGCGGGTTACCACCATCACCCCGCGTTTACCGCCCCTCCTCCCTCACCTCACTAGTCACTACACCACCTGTTGGCTGTTGGGTCAAAGGGCGTGTGTAAGAAAGATTAAAATTTTAAGAATCTAGCTTCTAGTTTATTTTCTACATTTTACAACTACGAATTCAAAGGATCTGGATGAAAATTTTAAAATGTTTGGAGAGAAGCTGCAGCTATCAAAAGCTCCCCAAACAGTCTCAGATCCTCTACCTTCGAAGTCATCGTGCCTCTGCCAAATCCATGTGCAGTGTTGAAGTCACATGAGTTCAAAAGGCATAGCGACTTTCAAGGTAGAGGATCCTGATTCTTTACTTAGGCGTCTAGGCTGTTTACCATAGTTTCTCGCCATTGCAGTTTCTCTCCAAATTTTTAGCTTTTCAAATAGTCTAATTTTTTTATTAGATTTTTCTAAATATACAATAGCTATGGAATTAAAAATTAAATTACTAGTTAAAAATAGAAAACTCGGTATTTTTTTTATTATCACCAAACTGGTTACTTGCTAGCTGTTTCTAGTGTCATGTTTGCTTTAAATTATCCAGTGGATTATTGTTGTATAAATCATCTGCTTGATTATAGGTTTAATTTAAATATTAAAAGTAAACTTAATAATAGTTAAAACAATTTATCTAAATAATATGGTAAGATAATTTTTAAAAATATTTTTTAAAAAGTATAGAATAAATAATTTGTTTTAATGATCCTGCTAATAATATGTCTAATGATGTCTAGCTCCTTCGAACAGGACCGTGTGTCGCTTTGTCTCAGTGCTTGGGCCTTGGCAACAAGCAAGCAAGCAAGCTGGAAGAAAGAAGGGTTTTTTGCTCGGCGACGCGGCGGCAATGCTCCGGGATTTTTGCTGTGATAACTGCTAACCGCTAGCTAACCATGAAGTGTTAAGGTCAGCTAACCTTGGTCGTCTGAATCCCATATCAAATGATTATTTTTATCCCTTCTAGATGATCGAGACTGTCTGAATTCTGAAACATACTCCTGAAAAACAGTCTGAATTTCATGAGCAAAGCGAAGAATTCTATAGCCTTCTGAATGAAGGTTCAGGTAGTCTTAAAATAAATTTGTCTGAATTTCGTCAGACATGGGAATATTTGAATAGGATTTTAGCTTTTTCACTTCGGGTGTGTTTAGTTCACGTCAAAATTGGAAGTTTGGTTGAAATTGGAACGATATAATAGAAAAGTTGAAAGTTTACGTGATTAGAAAAGTTTTGATGTGATGGAAAAGTTGAAAGTTTAAAGAAAAAATTTGAAACTAAACAAGGCCTTCCTTGCTTCGAACAAAGTTGATTACTTACCGGTTTACACCCTGCTTTGATGAACTGAACACCCTACTGAAAACACTCCGAATTCCATGAGCAAAGGAGAGAGATCTAGCCTTCCGAATGAAAAGGTTCCGGTGCACCGAAAAGTCTGAATTTCGTCAGAAATGGGAAAATTTATATAGAGCTCTACCTTTTCACTTCCTTGCTCTGAACAAACCTGATTAGTTACAGTTTTATTTACACTCCACTGATGAGATTTCTACTCTCCAACCATACAAAAGCTAAAAATCTAATCATTCATAGCTCCCATGCAGAGGCTCTCTTATCTGAACAGTACTAGGCTGCAGACAGCGACGGATCAATGCCCTGACAATTCAACACAAGAAGAAGGCCAAGCCAAACTTTGCCCCTGTGCTGTGCCATCTCCGGCGATGAACACGCATAAGTAAACAAAATTAAATTGGTCCCGTGATTGATCGTCAAACCTGTGCCTGCAAAATATTTAGTGCTTCCTTCCTGGACTACCACTGAAGATTTTGGAAGATTTCTCTAATTGTATATTAAAAAATGGGACCTGAAACATATGCACAGAGAGAGGGTTAGAGTAGGTACAATAGCAGACTATAAGCCGGCTATAAATATATTCTAAGAGCATCCTCGATATTTGTGGTGTAGTGTAACCTTAAGTTGGACCCTATGAATAGTGAGCCATTGTTATAGCCATACCCACAATGCTATGGTTAGAATTTAGCCACAAGATGGCCCACATAGAATGAAAAAATAATTGTTTCATCTCTTGTTCATGAAGTGAATGAGAGAGAAAAAATATTTTCTTTTTGTTTGTGGTAGAACTTAAGTATAAGGTGCACCCTAAGCTAATGCTACTTTCCACAATGTATATGGCTCACTTTACAAGTGCAATCATTGCCTTAAGATCACCTTTTTCATACATTGTGGTTGCCCTAAAGAGATAAAAGAAGAGAGAGAAGAGTTGCGGGCTACATTTTTGTAGCCAGCTGCAGCACAGACTCTAAGATGTAATGTGTGTATGACAGGTGGGACCAGATATTAATTGTATAGTAAGCAACTATTATATAAATTGGCTATTACATTGACTATAGATGATTTGAAGCTAGTAGTGGGCTATACTATTAAACTTGCTCTTAGCTGGATCTGCACAGACTGCAGTGCAGTGCAAGTTGATGTTCTACTAGAATTTTCTTAGAGAAAAATAAAATACTTAGAGGCATTATGCACCGTACATGTATGCATTGGTCTGTTTAAAGTATGTGCTCTCTTCCGAGAAATAAGCTATACTCCTAGTCTGGATGAATTTGGCTGGTACTCCCTCAGGTAAAACATTTCTGTTTTACCATGTATATGTACTATTTATCCGCAAAAGGAATTTCTAAATTTGACTGTAACTATTGTTCAGAACTTGTATGTTATGAGTATACGCAAATGATACAGCGAGGTTTGTGGTATCTAATATTATACTTGTGTTTTTTTTAAAAAAAAAAGTTAAGTGGTAAAAGCTCTGACCATAGTTCGGTTACTTAGGACCTTGCATTTTCTTATGATTTAATCCCAAGAACTTACTGCATATACTCGTGGATGTTTACTTAAATTGAAGGTACCCTATAGTACCCTCCAAGAACCATAAAATTTGTACATCTCATAATTTAAAACCTTACTCAATACATTCCCCAAGAGTACTACTCTCTCTCTCTCTCTCTCTCTCTACAGAGGAGACAAGAGGGCACAGGAGCACTTACCAAGTGAACGAGAACATCTAGTACAGAGCGGAGTACCAAATGCAATGGATTTGCTCCCCTTCTCGCCAAGGAAATCTAAGACTTTTGTGGCAGCATGTATGTTCAGCTAATTGCATGCTTCTTACTCTAATTACATCACCCTCGATGCTGCTGCCTGCTGCTGCTGCAAAGTCACATGCATCGTTACTCTAATTCTATCAGTTAAGCAATCAAAGAAAATTAAATAAGATCATAGACCAGCTTGACCAGAAGCAGGAGTAGCTGAATTCACTGTCACCGGCACGGCCGGCTGTTCGCCGGAGTTGGTGTCGCCGACTCGCCGGCGCCGGCGCCGGTGCTAGAGGGTATAGTGGTTGGTGTCCGAGAGCCACCAGCTCAGCTGCAAATTGGACTGGCACCAGTAGGTGTCTTGGTGAAGCAACCATGGTACTATGATTAAACACGGTACTAATTACTGCATTAGGGTGCTTAATTATTCAGCAGTATTGACTAACTAACCGTGTAAAAGAATCCAATGGCTGCTGCTGTTCATGATTGTTTTTTTTTGTCCTAATCAAGTAGCCTTGCAAGGAGGTTGGGTTCAGTGCCTCAATAATTCCAGTTTCATCAGGGAAGGGTTAGGAGGAAATTATGGCCATCAATTGGGCAGCTTCTCTCATCTTTCCTGCAGGCCTTGCAAAATGCAGCTGCAAGTGACAGGATCTTCTTCAGCAAATGGGCTCATTAGTATCATAACAGCAATGGGATGTTACTACCAAACTTGTGCCTTGCCATATAAAATTATGGTTTCTTCATCTGGTTTATTGCCCCTTAATTCTGTCATTGCTGTTGGTTTTAGAGGTTGTTGGATCTGAACCAACAGCTTAAAAGTTAGGTGGATCTGAACTAACAGAACAAGACTGCTAATTCTGAATTTCCAGGGCCAATGTGCATTTTTCTGTCAGAAATGAGGAGCAGACTGAACTGGAGTTAACAAAAAATTTGAGGTATTTGATGTCTTGTCAATGGTTACACGCTACTACTATTGGTTGAAGAGTTGAAAAACGGAGAAAGAAGAGAAACTTAGTTTACACGACTACACGAGTTCTGAATTGCCCGCTGCTGGAATAGATTACAGGTTCCAACAAATGAACTTTTCTTTGCAACACACTCTAACTGAAGTTATATTCTGTGAGAAGATGCAGGGCATGTTGTCTCAATTGCAAGCATGCTGAAGTGACATCATGGATATGCCAGTGTGGCAACCAGAAGGTGACTGTAAGCACAGCATGAATCACTTATATTAATCGATCAGCATGAAATGGAGCCAGAAAATTGAACAAGCATTGTCAAGGCTATCTGATATTAATGCATAAGATCAGCATGAAATGGAGCCAGAAAATTCAACAAGCATTGTCAAGGCTATCTGATATTAATGCATTAGATAAAAATCCCCAATCAATGCTGCTACAATGGGTGAAATTTCAGGTGACAATGCTTATCCCAATTTCCAATTGGCAGGCAGAAACATGAATCTGAACTTGAAAATCTTCTTCTCCAGTGCATAACAGTAACAAAACCGTCATAAATCTTAATTTGCGTCACTCTACATTGAGTCATGCTTTCAACAGCAAATAATTGCACAAGGAAAGAAAAGTGACAGGGCATTCATGGAAATATATTTTTCAACATTCATTAAACAACGACATTTCTTTCACGTCATAATTGCTATACTCAAAATAGTAATATGGCAATCATACATTGCCAGAGTCACAAATAATTCCAGATAGCAAATTGCTCTCAGAATATTCGGATCCTGATGTAAACAAATACGTAGAACAATATTCATGATGTGCAAGTCTACTGCAGGCAAAAACCAAGTCCAAAATAACTACTCATCCTCCTGGCTGCGTAGCCTGGCAAGCTTGTTGGTGACGACAATGTCAAGCTGAGCAGCGCGCTCCACTATCTCCTTGCGTTTCTTCGTGGACACATTATGAGCAATTTCAGCACAGTACATCCTGTTTGCAGAAAGACAAGTGTTAGCAAATAATACTTGATTGAGAAACTCAACAGAACACTGAACTTAGGAAATAGATGATGCTCCCGGAATCAACCGTTGTGATGAAGATCACAAAGTTGCATACCTGTTGTGCATCATAAGCAGCTCCAGCTCTGAGACGTTGTGCACCACAAACTTCTTGAACTTGTTGGGCAGGTAATGCCTGGTCTTCTTGTCCGAACCATATCCAATATTGGGCATCAATGTGCATCCCTTGAACTTCCTCCTGACACGTGAGTCAATACCCTTTGGTCTGCGCCAGCTTGTCTACACGTAACGGTAGAAGTAAACCATTACAAATCAGATTGCTGCTTCGGCAAACATAGCACGAAACATATTAAGAACAAAAAACACCAAAATATGATCCAAACCAAAACAGATAACTGGTTGTGTTGTGTCAATGATCAAGCGTACTGAATCTCTGTTACTTGCCTAGCAAATATTACTCCATATGACTTTTTGCGAAAAATATACAAACTAATTCAGTGATGCAATGAATTTAGTCGACAAGACAAAGCTGGTCTAAATGCTTATATATTGTGGCTCTATACACTCGTGACAGGCAAGGCATCCAATACCGACTACCTAGAACTCTACACAGCCAAAACTATATTGTAATTTCTTGCAACTATTATGAACTATTGTCGCAGTGCAATGTACTAATCCAGTGATTCATCCTGTTGCACACGAACACTTTACACGCCTGAATGAAAGCGAAACACCGCGCATTACAGTTAATTGCAGAACTAAATCTACTGTGCAACAAGGCAAAACGATCCAGGGGCTTTTAATTATACGGAATAAGCAAAACAAAATTGGATCCACACGAATCAACCGGGAAAGCTATGGAATCCATCCAAGAACAGACCACATGGCTCTCTCATCACACAGCAACAAGCAACGGCGAGAGAGAGGGAGAGCTACTACCTTGAGGCCAATGTAGCGGTCGCTGTGCGGCCTCTTGAACTGCTTCACCCGCTTCTTCACGATCTTCTTCGTCAGCAATGGAACCGCCATCTGCACGCGAAACCCGTTTCCAAAGATGTGAGAACGACGACCACAGCCGGAAACCGGAAGCTTGGGGGGGTAGGAGGAGGATCTGTGACGACGAGAGGTTTCACCTTCGACCGGTCGGAGCAGCGGCGAGGTGGCGGCGGCGGCGGCGGCGTGGAGGAGTTCGGGAGGAGAGAAGGTTTTCTTATATCCAGGAACCCTAGAATGGTGGAGTCCATAGGCGCGCTGAGTTGTAATGGGCCGTCACGGCCGATAAGGCCCAACTAAGATTTTGAGTTCAGATTTCTGGCCCAGATTTTGCTGAGATTTGACATTGGGAAATGAGAATTCGAATTGAATTGATTTTCACCGAGATGAACGAGAGTGAGGTAGACTGAAGAAAATGCAAGCAAATCATAGCATTTTGTTTGCCTCCCTCTTCTGTGAACATCTTTATGCAATTTCTAATTGCAATTCTTGGTTATTTAAACGGATTTAGTTTGAGGGTCTGGGGGTAGAAATTTCACGGATTTAGTTTGCATATATGATCTGGGATTTCACCTCTGAAAGGCTACATTGCGGTGGCAGCTGATGCAAATCGAATCAGGTTTACGGATTTCCGTTTGTATTTGTTTGGGAAAAAGTTTGTTGATCTCCTTAATCATGTGGTACTATTCTTTACCAGAATTTGTTTGGGGAGTATAAGCTAAATTAACTCAAATTAAATCAAACTGATCAGGTTTTAGCCTGGATATGTCCACTTCGAACTTCATACAATTCGGATGCTATATCACACATAGAAGCCAAACCGGCACAGCAGTTATGTTTGTAACCATTTTCCAAACAAAACGAAGCGCAAAACAAGTCTACAATTTGGAACAAAAGATGCATCACAGATCATGCAATTGTTCAGAAAGGCTAAAAGTTAAATAGAAGCTTATGTTATAAAATAGCAGATAAGGTCATGGTGAAAAAAAAAGAGAGTTGATTTCTCTATGGGGTCCTGAATTTGAAATGCATTGCATTTCACTACTCACTATTTGATTCGACAACTAGACTTTGTTTTGGCGCGTAAGATGTGAACCATCCTGGCTATCTAAAGCTCGCTGTCATCATCGTCCTCATCGGATTTGCTGGCTGGCTCGCCATTGACAGCAACAAGCTCGGTATCGAAAATGAGAGTCGCTCCACCTGCAGGCCGGAACATAACAACACCAGATCAGATCAGATATATTACATATGTAGTGAAAAAGTCCCGACTAGAAAAAATATAGCATTGCAGCAGCTCCCTCAGACAATGTGGCCATGTGCTGTTGTATGATAAACTATTTTTATTATACACAACTTCTCTTGAAAAGGATGTACCATTCTAACTTGACAGCGGCATAAACTCAAGAGACAAGAACTACAAAACGACATACCAGGGATGGTCGGCGGTGACCCTTGAGCACCATAACCGAGCTTTGAAGGGATCTTCAGCTTCCTCTTCTCGCCAACGCACATGCCCAGAATGCCCTGATCCCACCCTACAAATGGAGTATTGAAATTTTTAGATAGACAATGGAGCATTGAAATTTTAAACAATACTAAAATTAAATGAGTAGCTAGCTATTGATTGGGACCATTACTATTACCTTTGATCACTTGGCCAGTGCCCAACTCAAATTCGATTGGGTCACCTCTTTCATAGCTAGAATCAAAATCTGTTCCATCAGTAAGTTTTCCCTGTAAATGGATGACAGAGGCCAAGTGAACTACAGGCTTCATAAATAAAGTGATGCCAGTAAATAAAAACAAAACAGGCCATACAGCAGAATATCAAACTTACACGGTAGTGAACTTTAACTCTGTCGCCTTTGTGAGCTTGAATGCTGCAGGATTCTGGCTTGTGCTGCAAGTGAAACAAGGTCACAACACAAATATATGACTATATGAGCCCAATAAAATAAATATATCAAAATGAAAGTAGCATATGATATTTAAACTATCTAAATTCTATATGGCACACAAATTTGAGATCCAGCTTCTTGAAAGAGCCATTTATTTTGTAAAAGGCTACCGTTTTCTCTAGAGCATCAAAATAAATAAAATGCATATTTTTGGACCAATGTGGTGACAATTACAATGTTCTTTCCTTGGCAAGGCTGTACTAATTCTGAAGATATGCTGCGTGGGGCAAGCTAGATTTTTGTTTTATTTTTTTTCCTATAAGAAATGGCAGCGTAACACCAATATTTCAGATTATCCTATGGTAGAGAATAAATTTATGTCCGAGGTCATATGTTCAAGACGCCCTGTCCCTTACAGGAAGGTACTATGTAATACTCCATTCATATCTAAATATTTGACACCGTTGACTTTTTAGCACATGTTTGACCGTTCATCTTATTCAAAAGCTTTTGTGAAATATGTAAAACTATATGTATAGATATAGGTATATTTAACAATGAATCAAATGATAGGAAAAAATAATAATTACTTAAATTTTTTGAATAAGACGAACGGTCAAACATATTTAAAAAAGTCAACGAACGTCAAATATTTAGAAACGAAGGGAGTATTAGTTTGTAGTTCCTCCTACGATTTGTTAAGTAGCTTTACTCGATGGCAAATGGGATATTAGAACTACGGAACCTAAAAGCCCTGAAGCAATTATTCACGCAGAGATTCATTTCTCCATGAACTAATTTTGATAGCAATTAAAATGTACAGGAAATACAGTAATAGAAGGCTAAACTTCCCGAAGGAAAACCTTGATCAAAACCCAAGGTAACACCTGCCCAATCAATTCCACAAAAGAGCCTCAATTTTCCGCTTTCTTCAGAACATTTTGCATTCCAATGAAAAAAAAAAGAAGAAAGAACTATAGATTCAGATGTGAATCCAGTTGAATCAGGCAAACTCGCCCGCCTCACAACACCACCCCTCACAAATTGTTTCCACCAAAAACTAATTCCCGTACAATTCGCGATACAGCGACATGATCTAATACGCACGAAGCACGCGCCCCTCGACCCAATAAAATCCGAAATTCTAAACAAACAATTCTTGCGTCAGTCAACTAGAGCCGATCCAGCCCAAGCAAGAATACAAACAGTCTTTGAGCGCAAGAGAACCAACGCCTGGAAACACAGGCGAGAGGGCAGGGTAATCCCCCTGGGAGGAGCGGGTTACCTTGACGCCGATCTGGAGCTCCGTCACGTCGCCGGATTTCTTGGCGGAGGCTGCAACTGCAAGACGAGGCGAGGAGGAGTCAGGCTCAGATCGGATCAGAGATGTCGCTGCGTAGGGGGTGAGGGGCGCCCCCCATGGCCATGGATCGAGGCTACTTACCGACGAGTAGCAGTGCGGCGGCGGCGACGACCAGAAGAAGCTGCGGCTTCGCCATGAGTGCGATTTCTTTCTGTTTCTAGGATTTTCCGCGAGGAGGGCGAAGGGTGACTGTTTGTTTATAGAGCGGCAGCATGGCCTTTTTTTTTATTATTATTATTCTTCCTGAATCTCTTGGGCTGTTTTGATTTGGGTTTTAATGTTCGTTAGATGCAGAGTATGAACTAGTTGTTGTCAGAGTAGTTTGATTTGATTCAAGGAAAAATATTTATACACGTAGTAGAAACAGTTTTTTACAAAATCCGACGTGACAAACTAGGAGAAAACTACAAATGATCGTCCCATTTCCTTTGAAAAAAAATTGGTGGTCAAATGTTTTATTGATCATCGAATAAAATATTAACCTCTACGTGATGAAGAAAACAGGCATTGAAACATTTAAAAAGAAAATCTAAAACATAGTGAAAATAGATGTTAAAACAAATCGCTATGAATTGATGGGTTATAATTGTTCCAAACTTATGTCCTTTTATTAGAATAAAATCGTGTGATGTCTTGATGCAAAGTTTTTAATTGCCATAAATAAAATGGTTTGATCGATCATAGATGAAATAAATAGATTAGGAGAAAAAAATATTTTAAATATTGCTAGATGCATACATGCATAGATAAAAGGGATTGCAAGATAATAGGGTGCAGGTGGTTGCATGAGAGCCCGATGGCTCGGTCGACCGATCCGAACTTCCGAAGCATTTAACGGCAAAAAGTATGATTACATCTCTTTTTTCATAATCATAACTCAATTGAATAAATTTAAGCGTTGAGATCTGCAATTTACATTTTACAGTGTCAATTTATACATCATAGAATGGCAAATTATGACTTGTAGTCTCTTACAATTTACAAAGGAATGCGGAGGAAATATAGAGCCCATCAACGATTATTCATGTTCCAAACATCGCAGGTTCGCAGCAATGCGATGCGCATTCAGCAGGTCCTCGACGATCACAAGAGATTATTTATCCTCTATTAGTGCTTCATCAGAGAGCAGTAAAAATGTAGAACTATAGTGCCCAAAGCATGCAATTTTCTCATCTGACTGCCGATATCAGTGTACATGGGAAAAGGTAAGTCGAGTACAGTAAATAATTATAGGAGCACAGCTCATTACTGAAATCCTAAGGACGTTTACATGAGAAAATTACACAACGATTAGGTGAACTTCTCGAAGCAGGGTAATGTTCCTCCTACAAACAACGCGACCAAAAAACAGCTCAACCAGCGTAACAATTTACTCGTCCTCCTGGCTGCGAAGCCTGGCAAGCTTGTTGGTGACCACGATATCAAGCTGTGCAGCACGCTCCACGATCTCCTTGCGCTTCTTCGTTGAGACATTGTGAGCGATCTCAGCACAGTATGTCCTGTTTGTATGAAATGTGCAATAACAAGAATTAATCCTAACCATTAGCAAGGTTTGTAAGAGTGGACAGCATAGCATAGAACTTCAGAATATTCACTTCTCAACTTCAGTCACTAAATTGAATCGGCAGCATGTGTTACCTGTTGTGCATCATAAGTAACTCCAGCTCAGAGACATTGTGGACGACAAACTTCTTGAATTTGTTGGGAAGGTAATGCCTCGTCTTCTTGTCAGAACCATAGCCAATATTAGGCATCAAAGTGCATCCCTTGAACTTTCTCCTGACACGGGAGTCGATACCCTTTGGCCTGCGCCAGCTTGTCTACATATAGGGAAGTAAAAAGAACACCAAATTTAAGCAAGGCAGCACACAAAAGAAATAAGCGGAGAAGTGTATTCAAGTTAGAAACAAATCATCAGCATGCCAAAATCCTAAAAGCTAGCCTATCCTATGAACCTATCATTTCACACATCCATAATTTGTTAGTTAAACACAGAATACAACTATAAGCAGCTAGCCTTTTGGTTCTAGAAGCAGTTCATTTTAAAACAAAGTTGTTTGAGTGGTATACTGTGCACACGATGGGGATTACAACATAAATGATTATCATAACTAAATACTAATGACTATCAATTATGCAACTTTGGAGAGTACATCCAAATGACAGTTCATATAAGGAACTTCATATGTAACACGATAATAAGAACTTAAGTCCTGCACTTGAGAAGTTCACCCACTAATATATGCAACTGCAAAAGTTGTTCGCTGAAAGGATCAGACATAAGGATTGTTATCATGCAAAAAACAGGATTTTCTTAAGTGAACATCGGGAAAAAATGTAGGGAGAAGTCTAGGCAAGCATTCATACTCAGAATGAAGCCCACGCCTTTTGATCCAACCCACTTCACAAAGCAATGAAGTAATTGCTGTAGAAGAGGTTGCGAGAGCCACAATGCTACACTAGTGCAAGAGCTAGGGCCCTCTTCCTTTACCCCCAATGTTCACTAAGAAAATGTTTTCTCACTCAGACCTTTTACTAAGCCATCATTTCCTTTCACTCTGAACATCAAACATAAAAATCAAAAACACGACCAATTCAATTTTTTTATCTCAATTCGAAAGTTTCATGTAAATGAGTAAGCCTGCATTAGATGGCCTTTTTATTCGGAATCCATTGTCTTTAGGCATACAAAGACAGCACAATGCTCAAGCTACATGTGTAAATCTTAGCTTTACATGATTAGCCATCATGTCTAGACTTTAGACAGAATCAATTTAGCTAGTAGCGAGAGATATCAACAAACATCCTCGTCTCATTTGAGAGTAGCCTTGCCTAAGCTACAATTACAAATTAGAGGCATATAAACTGTTTTCCTAAGCATCGGATGATCATATTTCAACATCACTCTAGAATGCATTATACCATCAGAAACACCGTTAAAAAAATGCATCCGGCTCGCGCGTAGCAGCAGCGCATCTTGCATCCTGGGAGGGGCGAGCGAGGGATTTGAGGAAGGGGAGGATGCAAACCTTGAGGCCGATGTAGCGGTCGCTGTGCGGCCTCTTGAACTGCTTCACCCGCTTCTTCACGATCTTCTTCGTCAGCAACGGCACCGCCATCTGCACGCGAAAAACAGCCGCGTTAGGGATACGGGGGGGGGAGGAGAACGTCACCGGAAAACCACGCGGCGGCGAGCCGGAGCGCACGTTACCTTCGCGAACCCCTGCGGCGGGCGGCGGCTGGGTGGGGAATGAAGGGGTTCTTATGGCGGCGCGAGAACCCTAGGCGGTGGGCTCGGTGAGATGGGCCGCCGCGAGTGGGCCGGGAAAATCACGGCCCACGCGAACGTCTCGATTGGGCCGAGAACCTGCGAGACTGTAGGAGTACATGGGCCGTCGCGGTCGGTTCTGTGCAGCGAGCCCAAGGCCGTCGCCTGCGTTGCGGCTTGTGTCGCCTTCGCTATCGTAGAGAGAGCATCACACGCTCAATGAATCTAAGAGCAAGTACTGTACTAGCCAGTATAGGTTTACACACATGTGAATAAGAGAGAAGAGGTGAGAAGAAAAACGAGTTATAAATTTATATCTAGCTACAACCTGAGCTTCAAGATATTACGTGAGTGTAATACGTAGACCAAAGTATTAATGGTGCGATATATAATTTATATAAAACTATTGAGCGTGATCGGCAGTGCTGGCTGCTGCAGCAGCTACGGCTGCGAGAGCTAAAAATCAGCTGCAGCAGCAGCAGCCAAAAAGGGCCATAGCCGTGATGGCTGCAGCAGCCAGCAGTTCCGATCAGCCCTATGAATAAGATATTTAGAGAGATCATATATGATATATTAATTTTTAAAGCTAGCAATTGGCTATACTTAATTCCTACTTCAACGATCATTGAGCAATGGCCACCGCGCCAATACCGCTGCCACGGCGAAATAAGCCGCCACAACCGTGTAACAATACACCGGAACCTTGGACAACGTGGCCGCGAAACTGTCGACGAAGCGCAAATGCTCGTGGGTGCCTCATCACCACCAAACTGGCGGTGCGGACGTTCACAGCCACGCAATAAGCCGTGCAGCAGACGTTGATCGAGCAAACATTTCAGAATTAGTTTTTTACTCTGAGCAAGTGATGCATGTGCGTCAAACTCATCTATATCCATGCAGTACAATAATATTTCTTTATTTCGATATATATAATCAGAATCAAAAGAAAAGGGAAAGAACAACAATTAATCAGTAATCACCAGGAAACTACTCGAAACTTAGCGAATGCGTCGTTGTTCTTCTTCATCCACGGCTCAACCATTATTTCGAGTCGATTTGTTTGAATCTCCGGAAGATGAAAAATAAAGATAAAAATTAAACGTTTCACGTAAAACGAGGTGATACTAACGTATGATTAATTAAGTTTTAATTATTACAAAACTTGAAAAATGGATTAATATGATATTTTATAGCAACTTTCATATAGAAAGTTTTTACACAAAACGCACCGTTTAACAGTTTAAAAAACGTGCCACGATAATCCAAAATTTCATCCAACAGTTTGTTGGATAAACGAACGCTGCCAGAAGTCGGGAGATTAATAGGCAGCTTCTTCATCCGTGGCTCAACCAACCATTTAGAAACAGAGCCGGCTGAACCATTTAGAAATATAGTCGATTTAAAAGCAACGTCAGAAGCTTAACCATGTAGAACATAGTTAAGAGAGATTTTTATGTACATAGAGTGGGCCACTCGGCCCAGCTATTCAGAAACAGGGTCGGAACAGATTAGTAGGCATCATCTAACACGGGAATTTGCATCGTTAAAACATCTCGTGTTCCAAGCTAGGCAACGCAAGATGCCAAAATTAATCCACATTCATGAGCAAGTTTACTACTAGCGACGTCAGAATCATCGCATCGACGCACACTTGATTTCTTCGACCAATTCATCAATGTGTAAGCACACACTCTGAGAAACGCCCACGGATAGCTAGCTCCACACTTGATTTCTTCGAGGTCTAACCTTTTTAATTATTCGATATTAGATCATTCCCTGTTATTCGTATTTTTTTAAGCGCGCACTCACTCTAGGTCATTAATATTTCCTATATTAATATAAATCAGAAAAAAAAACAATATATCTTGATTAAATATAGACATTAATCTTCCTATTGCTTGTTCCGACATATATAAAACTTAGCAGTAACAAAAGGAATAAAAATGGGAGAAACAATCAATCCCAGAAACTACTACTTAAATTCCGATCAAAATTAGTCGTGAACGCCACGCCGCGCGCCACCGCCAAAGAGGCTTCACGTCGCCGTCGCGCGATCACAACAATATGCACGCCGCCACCAAACACGACCCCAGAATCAACAGGAGAGACGCCGGAACACTCGCCGCCGTGGCCGCCGCGGAGTACCCGGCCGGCGGCGGCGGCGGCGCGCCACCGCCATCTCGCGCGCGGCGCGTCCTCCTCATCGCCGCCGACGTATTGGCTGAAGCAGACGCTGCAGCCACGCTACAGATGAGGATCGCCGACATGCTGACGGATGGATGGATCGATCGATGAAGAGCGTCCCAGAAATTCACGCGCCTTGATTGATTGATTTGCAACGCGAACCCTAAGCGATCTGTGGAGGAGGAGGAGCGCCCGCCGCTCGTAAGATTTATACTGGGATGGATATCTCCCGCGCCGACTCGGAATCGATCACGGTCGCGGGAACAAAGCCGAAGCCGAAACTCTATCTGATTGGCCCGCACGGCAATCCGAATAGGAATAAGTTCACTTTTAGGTCCACTCGCTTGCATGTTACTCCCCGTCCCATTTTGCAGTCGCGGTTTCCGTGTCTAATATTTAATCGTTCGTATTATTTAAAATTTTTTTAAAAAAATAAGTTATACATAAAGTACTATTTATGTCTTATCATCTAATAACAACAAAAATACAAGCAAATTTTGCCTAAAAGAATTTCAAATAAGATAAACGGTTAAACGTCGGACACAGAAAACTACAGCTGCACTTAAAATGAAACGGAGGAAGTATATAAATAGTTATCAAAAAATAAAACAAAAATTTAACAACATAAATTAATATAAAATATATCACTCCATGAATATGTAAGACTGTTTGGGCCGCACTGTATCACAACGTAGGCGTCATTTGAGTGAGACGACGGAGACTGAAAAAAAAAAGACTGAAATTGATGGACGAATTACTACTACAAAGTTTATTATTAAAAGTTGCCAAGAAAAAAGTGATTCCAAAATCTGAATCAGATAATAACATGGCGTAGTCAAGTTTTGTGGAATGGAACGCACAAATTTGCTATACAAAATTTTCGTACAAGTATGCCAGAAAGTTGCTCAATTCTCGCATAAGTCGTTACTATTATAAAAATTGAAGATGTTTTACCTGTACTTTGGTACGTCATCCATATATAAGTCGGTTTTTATTTCGTTCGCTTTTGAAAATACATATCCGTATTTAAGTCGGTTTTTCAATTTGTTCGCTTTTGAAAATACATATCCATATTTGAGTCAGTTTTTAAGTATTTGAGTCGGTTTTTAAGTTCGTTCTCTTTTGAAAATACAAAAAGAGTCGTATAAGAAAACTCGCATACTAACTTTAGACAAACGGACTCCTAACTGCAGCTCATGATTTTCTAAAAATATATATATATCCAAGTGAATTCCAATTTAATACAGAATGAGTCGTATAAGAAAACTCACGTGCTAACTTTAGACAAACGGACTCCTAACTGCAGCTCATGATTTTCTAAAAATATATATATATCCAAACGAATTCCAGCAGTCAATTTCATCTTAACTAAACCATATAACCATAATAAGATTTAAACTAAACCATGGATGTGTTTAGTTGAGCCCAAAGTTTGGATTTTGGTTGAAATTGAAGATGATGTGACTGAAAAGTTGTGTGTATGACAGGTTGATGTGATGGAAAAGGACTGAAGTTTAGATCCAAACTTTGGATCTAAACATAGCCCATATAACCATAATAAGATATAAATAGATTTTACCTGTTACAACGCATGGGCTTTTTTCTAGTTAAAAGAAAAAAAATTTGTTTCAAACAGTGTCTAAGATCCAATGCAGCGCACAGGGCTGAATCCACATCCATTCACGAGCAAGTTTACTATGAACATCAAAATCGCACATGATTCACAAAGTCTGAACATCAATGCAGATCAGCAAGTATCAGCTCGACATTACCAAACAATCTTACTTGCATGGACTATCTACACAAAAGATGTGGGGAGCTTTAGTTACAGCGGCAAATGTAGACCAATGCAAATACTAGAAAGAGCATCGTAGCATAGCCAAGCCCTTTACTACTGTTACTACTACTAGTGCTATCAATAATAACTCAAGATGCAACATGCACATGGTGTATAGCAGCAGCTTGGAGAAGCTTTGTGCTGCTGAAGATGGATGGCAGGCTTAGTGCACCGAGTGACAGCAAATGAACGGCATCCATGGCTGCTTCCTTGCTTTGGATTTCTTCTCAGCATTGTTCTCGGGCAATCTTGCTGGGGAGCTCCAGAATTTGTTGTCATCAGCACCAGGTTTTGGGGACCCGGACTTGGCCGACGATGAGTCGTCCTTCGATACTCGGCGCCTGAATGACAAAACACGCTCCTTGGCAGTGGTTTTCTTTTCTTTCGTCTCCACACTCGCCTCGGCTAGGAGCACCTTGAGAGGGACATGAACTCTTTCTGAACTCTGCTTCGCTACTGTGGGAGAGATGCCTTCCTTCTGCTTGTTTCCCTCCTGGACAGCTGGGTCTTCAGTTTGGTTCTTTTCTTCAGCATTAGATGTGTTTTGTATGGTGTTCATCTCCTTTGAGGAAGTATCTTGAGCTTGATTCTTGGCATTCATCTCCTCTGTGCTTGTGTCGTAACTCTGCTTCTTGTTGTCAGCATTATCTGATTTACATTCTGTCTTTGCACTGGTGTCTTCAGTCTGATTCTCCGCATCAGCATTTTCCAAGCTCCCTACTGCTGGCACTCCCTTAGCACCAGTACCTTCAACGTTTTCCCTTTCTTCTATGTTTTGTAGAGCACTCGTTTCCCTCGAAACAGTGTCAGCAGCCTGCTTCTTTTCAGCGTCATCTATGTGCTGCATTGCATTCCTCTCTGCACTCGTGTCATCAGTCAACTTCTCTTCTTCAACATTGTCTGCTTTCAGTATTGAATTCATCTCCTTCACACTAGTGCCTTCGGTCTCTTTCTTTTCTTCAACATTATCTTCACTAAGTGATGCAGTCATATCCTTGGTGCTTATGTCTTCAAGTGGCGTCTTCTCGTTACCATCATTCTTGAGAGCATTGATATCCTGAGAAGTAGGCATTGTGCTAAACTCTGCTGGAAGAAATACTTCAGATGGCACAAAATTGATGCCACTTGTAGGCTCCCCGTCTTCCTGTCTGCTATTGTTCACTGAGGCATCATGCAAGGAAATGTTCTTCGCAGGATCAGAAGTGCTACTGACAGACACATCCTCTGTGCCAACTGCAGGTTCATTTCCACAGGTACTTGAGATAGCTGGTACACGATCACCTGCCAGAAATGAGCAACAAATTTCAGTGACTGATACCATGTAATCAAAACTAGTAACGTCTGCTAGAAGAAAGTCATACAGTAACATTGGAATAGGGAGAATTGAAACGATTTTAACATATGACAATACAGAGCAACTAGCTCTGTATTCACAATCATTTTACCATTATCCACTATTCTCTCCAGAGGTGATAACAAGGCAACATGTGCCATGCAAAGAGAGGAAAACTATGATAAAAGTTGTTTGTACAGTAGCCATCCCCAAGAAAATACTGCTAACAAGATTAGGATTTAAAAGTCTACTGTGAATTCCAGCAAGCAAGTGAAGCCATCGTCATGACTCGTGAGTGAGCATTTATGCAGGAAGTAGTACATATAATTTAAGAATCTACCGCTGTTGATTTAACTTCTTTATATCCATGTAAGGCACTAAAGCAGAATATCATTTGCCTGAACACCTTAACCACGTGACATTTTAGATAAATTCCCTCCACAGCTTAGCATTTTTACCAATTTTCTTTAAAAACCAAACAAACATGTACAGGCTGTCAAATAAAAGCTAGACTAAAGCATATATAGCCTGGACGCATTAAATTTCAGCAATGAATTAACGACATTAAAAAACATACAGCAGAAATAGAATTACTGGCTTGTACATAATCCACGGTAAAACAATCCTAACCTGAGATGACAAATTGCTGGCCTTCAGCAATGCTAGTTTGGTCCACAATTATCAGCTGATCCAATGGCAGAGGTGTAAAGTCAACTTGCAGCTTTGATTCAGCAACATTTTGTGCTTCCGAATGGTAATTCTCAGTTGGAAGCTCAAATAAGTCGTCGCTCCTGGTATCATCTAGAATGAACGGATTCTTTGTGGACACTTGATCCATTAGTAAGGCAACATGCTGACTTGCAGAGACCTGGCCTATAATAGGAACCTCAGGGCCAATCTCTTTGCTGCAGACCACCTCTTCTGATAATCCATTAGGCTTCTCTACAGAAGGATTTTCATCTGCTTTATCAACCAACTCGACATGTTGTGGGTTCTCCTCACAAGAAAAACCCAACTCACTGCCCTTCGCTTTGATGCCTTCACTACAAATATCTTCATCATCAGAACCCCACATGCTATCCATATTAGTAACAACATGGTCACTCTGATGACCATCTAAAGAACATACTGAATTACCCAGGAACGGATTCTCAACAGGCAGCTGGGCATCTAAAGTATCTTTAACACACTTGTACTGTGAAGAGCAATCTGTCAAGGTATTTACAGCATTGGTGAGCTTCAGTTGATCTTCAGTTTGCACAAAGTCAATTCTGGAATTTTCTGTTACAGATTCAGCATTGGCTGATCCTGCTTTTTCTTCCAAACTTGGTGATACTTCAGATATGATGTGCAGAGCATCCATGCTATCTTCCATCAAGCTTTCAACCATTATGGGACTTGTAGATTGGGATGTTAGGTCAGAAATAAATGAAGTTGAACCATTCACATCACCAATAAACTCAGATGTCTTATCAGGTTTGCTGTCAACAATATATGTATTATCACTGTGAACATTAACTGAGAATTCATCTGAACTCTCAAGCATCACAGTAGGCTCAACTTCTTTTCCAACTATGGATTCACCAGATAAATTAGTCATATTGGGTTGTCCTGATAACTGATCTTTCGATACTCCATCCATTTCCACAGAAATTTCATTTGCTGCTACACTTGCTGCTGGTGAAACACTATCCAAATTCTTAATTTCTTCAATAGAAAAATCTGACTTATGTGCTACTGCTGCACCAACTTCAGAATCTGGTTGATGAAGAAAAGGAGACGCGTCCTGGTACTCATCAAGACTATCTTCTCGTTCAGCCGGACGTCCAACTGCAAGTGGTGAAATTTCAGAGTAATGTTCTGCAACTTAATTTTGACTTCATTGGTGCAAGGCCTTCATAAGTTAGTTTTCATACCTTCTTTTGAAATTTCATCAGAATGACTTGCGCAATTAATCACACCAGCTTCACTGCAGTAACCAGTGATGACTTGAACTCCGGTAACGTTTGGAGAAGCATGTTCTATTAAAGAATCAAACCAACACATTGTTAGATGAACTAAAACATGAAATAATAAGTAACGTGGAAAAGAACACTTATTAGTGAAACAAAGGATGGCAGGAATGATCAAAAACAACTCAAAAGCATTAATATTTTACTAGGATTGTCAGCATAATAAATCAGTAACCATTAAAGGTGTTTCCAATAAAAGCATGGAAGGATACAAAAGACTAGACGAAGTAACAGGAAATGTTAAGAACTCATGCTAAGTTATTGTGGAAAAGGATATGTTCTAATAAGTTAATAACGTGAGCTATACTAGGTTATTGGGAGAAAATGTCTCTAAATTCCTGATGTGCACCAAAATTAGCTTGTGGACATAGGGAGTTATTACTAACAGAAACTAAAGAGTGTAAATAAGACCCATAAAAGCTATTTTTATTGCGTAGGTTTATTTCCTAATATATTTAGTATTTCCACAGTAGCACTCTTTCCACTGTCATTATTTGCTAATAGGAGCAAAATGAGAGGTTTCACAGAAGACAATAAAAAATCACCGCAAAAGGTGGAAAGACTGTACACACCTATTTCATAATTTACTATTCACAGAAGACTGTACACGCCTAATTCATAATTTGATTAATAACACAGTCTTAAGTAACTGCTGCACAAGTTTGCCCTAGCTAACTTTATATTGATATAGAGGACTAACCCTGAAAATCGGGCCCATAAAACAATTGAAAGACGAGTTTGCTGTAAATAGTATAATGGGATTGCAGTCATTAGAAACTTAGCAGCATAATGACTCCAGAATTAATGGACGATACTACATAACAGCATGGCCACAGACCTTTAAAAAAACATGGACTAGTCACAACAATTAGGTAATAAATTACAGAAACTCATGTCAACACCCTGAATGATCTGTCCAAGTAGATGACTTCACAGTATTATAATAAGGATACAACCAAAATTTCAAGAGACATGCATCCACATAAGGAGACTAAACAATTCAGCATAGCAAACCAAACGCACATGTCACTAGGATAGCATGTGGTGTAAGACCATGTGTAGGAAGACAGCTTCTAAGCTATCTTACCTACCAACAAGAGTAATGACAGATATGTCGGATATTTAGCATGAAAGATGTACCAAGAAACCAACAAATCAGTTCACCTTGTCTGACTGCCAGTTTCGAGAAAGAATCCGATGAAGTATATGACCACAAAGACAAGCAAAGGCTTCTTACTGCTGACTAACATTACCAAGCCACCAACTTGCCGTGAAACACGGAGAGATAATCTAGGTGCTAGACGGTGGAAGGAACACTTGAATCTCAGTGATTAGCTTTACTACTTTATTTAACACTCAACACCAAGTGACTCAGCAAAGTTCAGATCTACAGTTTGCAAGTCAGAAAAACAATTCACTCCAACTATTTCTACATCATTCTCACACAAGTATCTCTCCAACTCCAAAGAAAACAAGAAAGTACCAATGCTTTCAGCTTTAATGCTAACCAAGAACCACACGGACCTTTACTCCAGTACCCCAGAACAGTACCATCTCACTATGCCATGTGAGTTTCCTGTCCCTCTCCAAGGGGGGGACTGATGAGCAAAAGGCAGCCATACTTTTTGCCTTTTTCAGCCTCTCTAGCAACAAACCAAGCAAGACAACAAAAAGCACAACGTTGCACGCAGCAGAAGCAAAGCTTATGAAAGATTGCGGATTTAGTTAGCAGCAATCATCGCGATCTATCATCGATTTTGTCAGCTCTCACATCTCACAATGCAAGCAGGCAAAATCAAGGATAATTGCAACGAACCCCACACGAAAACCTCGAATTTAATATAGCACACGAGATTGAGCGGTAAACGAAAAGGCAACAAAGAAAAATTACCAGCAAGATACACGAGATAGATTGAGCGGTAAACGAGAAAGCAAGAAAGAAAATTACCGATGAAAAAAAATACTAGAGATTATACCTGCAATCTCCTTCACCTCCACCAAATCAGCATCTCCTCTCGCAGATCCGAGCGATGGAGAGCCTGCATTCCCCTCCGACTCACCTCCTCCTGCTCTAACTGCAGCGAACACGAACGCGCGAAACCATCAAAAACCCAAGAACCCGAGACAACCCAATCCAAGGAGAAGCACACCAAATATAAACCGTACCTGGCAGGAGCCCCTCCCCCGCATTGCGCTCCATGTCGGCGTCCACCTCCTCCCCCTCCTCCCGCTCGTCCGCGGCCGGCGCCTTCCCGCAGTTCTTCCGGTGGGAGCGGCGGAGCTTCGCGCTAGGGTTCGCGTTGGGGTACTGGTACCCGCACACGTGGCAGAGGTGCCCCCCGCTCAGTGCCTCCTTCCCCTTCCTCCCCTCCTCCCCCTCCATTGATATGCCCCCCCACTCCCCTCCCCTTCTCCGCTTCTCGCCAATGGCGGCGGTGACCGGCGACGACGACGACTCGACGGCGGCGAATGCGGCGGCGGCGGCGGCGGCGATGGATGGAAGAAGAAAGAGGTTACTACTAAACTCCTCCTCCTTTTAGAGGCGGGGGGTTTGGAGTAAAGCCCACCGCGACGTGGAGCTCTACCCAAACCCGCTCCAAGAGTATGACGTGTGGGGCCACCTCTAGGTGGGGCCGTCACGTCAGTGGGCGTGTGGGTCAGCCCGGGCCGTGCCGCAATCAATGCGGCCCATGTGCGCCGCGTGTGTGCGTGCGTGAGCGCGAAAATTTTTCGCTGGGGTTATATATTTTTTTAGGGCACTTCGTGGAGGGAAAACTTACGTGGGACCCACCTGTAAGAGACACGCACGTCTCGGCGGGGGTGAAACGTGGCGGGAGATCTGGCCGTCCGACGTGGGGGTGATGGACGGCTGAGGATGTGGGTGAACCGGCCAGCGAGCCCGTGAAGGTGGGGCTCCACTAAAATGATGCGTTTGCCTTTTGTTTCTTTTTGTTCGCTGAGGTTTTTGATGTGCTTTTCACTCTTTCCAATGGAGTCAGGATAACTTAATTAGGAGTTTTAATATACTAGAATTAGTGAGTACTAAATTCTTTGCAAAATGTGAGGTTCAGTGGTGCATTATTTTATGGATTAGTGGAATAATCTTGGATTCTGAAATTTGTGTTTGCCTGTTGTTGTGTTGGTAATTTGCATTGGGAGTTCATCTAGAGCAAATGAGCTTGTTTGGCCTGCAGATTACTCATTGCACAGTTTGACGTGTTGCTTAAAAATGGCACTTGATTGATTTGCAATTTTGAGAGCGCCATCTATTTCTCATGATATCCACTGCTGCTGGCCCATCATGAACTAGTTCATGGCACTTGTACCCCTTTTTCTTTGCAACTTTTCAGATAAATGGCTTTGAAATCTATCTTTGCAGTAGCTGTGTTTTTGCTGGAAAAGCACAAACTTTGATCTGATTTAATCATCGTCTTGATTGGATCAGGAGCAGGGGTAGTAGCCAGGAGTAGGAATTTTCACAGGGCAATCAGTGCAGCCATGTGTGCTGTGCTCAGCATGATTAATGACAAAGGTACCATGAGATTTTCCGGAATGGGTGCAGTGTGCTCTATTTCTGCAGGAGTCATTAGATAATAATAACAACAATGTGTCAAACTGTCAATGTCCAACTCTTCTTTTTTTTTCAATTAATGCTTAACTGCTCACTGACCTGGAATCACAGAACAAAAATGATGGCTCTCTAATCCTGAGAAAGGTAGTTCCCAACCAACACCACACTAATCTCGTTGAACACCACCATAATCTAGTAAGCTACGGCAGCAAATGTGTGTGTTGGTATCTAGCTAGCTAGCTACCGGACTTTAGCTCACTTGCAAGTAATTTGTGCTCTTTTCTTGTTGCAGGTATAAGTGTGTTGGAGCTTTAAGAAGCTATCTATGGCTACACATCTATCCATCTCTACATCTGTCTATTGTCTAGCTTAGCTAGCAGTTGAAGTGGCTGAGGTGGTTATCCAATTTTTCTTTTAAGAAAACATAAACCCAAATCACCAGTCATCAGTCATCACCAATTCACCATCTCATGATTATCTCCATCTCAAGCAATGCATGTTTGCGAACTCATTATCTAAAAAAAAAACTACAAGAATACCCCCTCCAATATCGAATAACCGACACCGTTGATTACAGCCGTGTTGAATTTATGATATTACACACTTTGATAGAATAACATATTTTCAACATTTATAAATTTTATAGAAAAAAGAAAAAATAAACTTGAATAGTATAAGTGCCAATTATTTCAGAACGCAATAAGTACGTTTGTAAGACGTAGTGATGCAATTGCAGCCATTGCATTTTGCAGCTTATGGTGAAGTGAAGTGGACAGGTAACCCCCTTGGTCATTATACCGGCCACTATAGGCAATTAGGCAGTAGCAAAGATAGATCTCTCGCATGGTCGGAGGAATCTCTGAATCTTAACACCTACGCCAAGCAAAGCCAACCATATCCTCACCATTAGTTTGTTCTTGTAGTGGTAGTTATCTCTGCAATCAGAAGCTGCTTCTTTCGTCGGCTGTTTTTCTCTCTCTTTTTTAATCACATTTTCTTCCAGCTGTGACGACAACAACAAAAAACTTTGGTCGTGAGAGTGAGATTCAGAGATGGATAGATCATCATAGGGTGGCAGTTAGGGTTTATAAAACCGACAAAAACCAACCAGTTTTCACTAAAAAACTGCACTTCCAAGCCGGCTCGAGAATAGAAACCGCTCGTTTCCTAGTAAAGTTTTTATAAAAATCAAACTGTTTTTTAAATACAAAATTTGACCAGATTTTACATGGAGCCATTGGTTTTGAAGCGTTTTTTTTTCATGAAAACCGAAAAAAAATCGGTGGATGTTGCTGTCGAGTAACTGACAAGCAGTACAGTGCAGTTAGAGGCACAGAGAAGGAAAAAAAAAGGTCTTTGAGATGTAAATGTGCGTGATCTCTCTGCAGCGCACGGACAGAGCAGTAACAGTCGCTGTGTGAGCTGAGTCACTCGCCGATGTAAATGGCCCTATTCTGCTCATGTCCTTGTTGAACCAATCGTAGTGGCCAGTGTGACAAAGGAAAGGGCATGAATATTCCATGTTTTTTTTTGGCTGAAACACCGATCACATGTACTACTGAAATTCAGCTTGGCAATTTTAACTGAATTGATTTGTCTTTTTTGGCCTTGCTATAGTTACTAGTAGTACTTGTTCTTAAGAGAAGTGTTACACTCAAAGATTCTTTTTGTTTGAAAATATAAAAGATTCTTTTTAAATAACTTGCGTACATCAAAATATTTCTGTAGATGATGTGCAAACTATTAAAAGATATTACAAAAAAAAAACTAAAACTCGAAGGATGAGTGACACAGTACAACACCATCCTTGTAGACGGGCCGTGTGGCAGAACTGCTACTCCTAGCTCGGTTGCAGAGGCAGGTGCAGGCCCATGTATGGCCCATGTGAGGCCCATGCAGAGGCAGGTGGTTCAGTTCTGAAAATTTCGTTCTAATTAAGCCACAGATCTTCTTCTACTGATTAAGCCACAGAAAAACAGACGGCAAATTTCGCTGTTACATCACAGTTCACAGGTTTTGTAGACGATGAGCAGATACAGAAGTACTCAACTACCTAACTTCCTGGGTCTAAATCTAATCAGGTTTGACAAAAATAAAATAAATCGAGAACAATGTTGTTCATTTTCATATTGTCCTCCCATGCAATCAGTTAGTCCAAAGAACTGTGGAATTTGCATGATCCGTGGCCTGCAAAAAACACACACAACAAAATCAGTGATTCGAACTAATCACTTAATCAGCACGGCAGGTTAACCACTGAAGTGTAAAATAGAAGCATATTAAGATACACCGAATAAGTTGCTTGTGCTTGCAGAAAATGGTAAAGTGCGTGCCCAAGAGTAACAGATAATAGTGCACCATTAGCAGATTTGGTATCCTGATTTCTCCTAGTTGAGTTAGCAAAGGACCTTTCTTTTGAGTCGAAAGCAACATCCACCAAGGCTACTTTTACCAAGTTATAAGCTAAGTGAGATGCTAAAGAACAGAAGAAGATCATACATACACGAGCTAGTGTCCAAGGATGTTTAGCTATGAAAGGGAGCATTACACTGACGTCCCACCTAAAATGCTTACACTGTCATGAATGAAATGACTATTTTCTTCTGCACACAGAGAACTTGCTAGAGAATACTCATCATGTCACATATATTTGACGTTTAGGATAAGATTTGGTCGAACTTTTGAAACTTTGATAATCAATTTTATATCATAACAAGTTTATAAAATCTAATGATATTATAATATTATGATAGTACTTTTGAAGGCAAAACTAAGCATTTGAGAAATTATTCATGGCCAAAGTTCCAGAAGCTTGACCAACCCTTGTTCTAAACGCCAAATATTTGTCAGCAGAGGAAGTACGTTGTAAAGGAGAAAAATAAAGAGGCAGTGTCTCAGCATTTTTCCCCACTCCCAAATGTCCAGCTGTCTAAGAACAGTTTATAGTCATGGCCCTGCAAATGCCTGTGTATGCTTTGCAGGGATGCAGGTTGCAGGCTTGCAGTTGGCCTTACTCAAGGCTATGCGAAATGTGCAGGTGGGTTTGAGTCTTTTGACCAAATCAATATATGGTCCAAGTTCACAAGCATGCGAGCATGTACTGTGGCATTTGGATGGAAGGCAACCCACGGATCATACTTTGTCCGCAGTAATGACAGCCAAGCAGTCAGCTCCATTCGTCTGAATGAATCTTTCAGAACAAATGTGCAGACTGAAAATCTTTTGGAAGTGAGCCAGGGAGAGACAAACATCATAAATAGATCCTAATAAAGATGCCTTCTACTGTATATGCACTACGCAAATGACTAATGGGGAATTTTGGGGTATTATATTAGCATGAACAAATGAATTAGCTTCTACAGTAGTGTTTAACATATGCTCATTGTTCAACATGGTTCAGAAATTTCATTCTTTAAAATTATACTTTATCATTTAAATTAAGTACCAAATGTATGTTCCAAAATCCTAGCGAGGAGTTCCAATTATAGGACTACACAAGCTACGGTAACCCAAATTCTAAATATGAACCTATCTGAAAACACTAGCATTAGATATGCTTAAATTAGTAACATTCAAAAATCAAAACCAATCGGGATCGAGATCATAATGTATTGGGTCAACTGAAGTGCTGTTGATTAATATTATCAGGTACAATTATATCCTGGGCACCTGTAATCTGATTCCAGCAAATAGTTTCTTATTGACAATGCACTTGTAATCCTACTGTCCTAGAAATTTCATCCTTCTCCAGTTGACACTGACTTCAGAAGTCATTTAAATAATCAAACCTAATCCCAGGAGATACGTAAGATTATTTGTTTTCATCAACCCAATCATCAGAAAAGACAACTAAACGAGAAGACATCGCCTAGTGCTGTAATGCTCACAAAAAATTGCAAGCTTGACCAGCTTTCACGAGTTCATCACCAATGCCATAAAGACATCGCCTTTATTCCCTCACCAGCAAAACGCCACATCTATTCTAGACCTTACAGAATTCTAATTTCTAAAGAACCAGCATCCAAAGTAAATTCATCCATCAACCTAGATCACTAAAGATGGAAATCATAAATTGCATTTGCATGTATCAATCGAAATCTGAGCAAAAATGGAGTAAAATTTTCCAGATATTTTTCAGGCTTACTTGGATCTTTGGTGGTCTCCTCGGCGAGGTTGTTGAAGTAGCACGTCGCACCGGTCTTCCTCAGCTGCTGCCAGTACGAGTTGAAGGCGTAGCTGGCGTGCGCCGCCGTGGTGTTCGGCCGGAAGCACTCCCCGCCGGGCTGGATGGCGTCGCACGTCCCGTTCCCCTGCCCGCACGCGTACGCCAGCGCGTCGCCCACCGCCGTCTCGTTCAGCTTCTCGCCGCGGCGGCCGGCGAGCACGCACCACACGGGGCCCTTGTACGGCGCGTCGTTCTCCGGCGGCGGCAGCAGCGGGTACGACCGGAGCGGCCGCGCTCCGGCGAGGTCAACCGGGTACACCGCCGTGCCGTTGGCGTAGTACAGCCCCCAGTGCCGCTCCGTGCCGGGCCCCGGCTTGAGGTCCTCGTTGTAGAGCGAGAACACGAACACCGGCATCTTCGCGCCGGGCCGCGCCGGCGTGCCGGGGCTCCTCGCCATCCGCGCCGCGAGGTTCCTGTTGTAGATGGCGGCGTTGTGGGCGTTGCAGCCGATCTGCTCGTAGTCGCCGCCGTTGGGCCAGCCGGTCTCCGCGATGCCCAGCTTCACGCCCCCGTACCCCAGCTTCGCCATCGCGTGCACCACGGCGTCGAGCATTTCGTCGAGCATGTTGGTGTATGTGAGCCCCGTGCCCGGATCAACGTAGCGGCCGCCGCCGCCGCCGCCCTGGAAGAGCGCGTACTCGAGCGGGACGGTGTCGTTGTTGCCGGCCCAGACGAAGTACGGGTAGGCGTCGACGAAGTAGTACGAGTTCGTCCCGTTCAAGAACCGGAGCAGCGGGCGCACGACGTCGCCGGCGATGTCGGGGCGGAACGCCGCGGCGGACGGCGGCCGCGGGAACGACCCCGACGTGAGCGCGTCCATGGCGAGCGTGGTGCTGATCTTGACGCTGCTGATCCTCCTCCTCCGGAGGCTCACGTGGAGGTTCTCCATGGCCGGCACGATGCGGGGCCAGGTGGAGTTGGCGATGGAGTAGTCGGAGAGGAGCTCGTTGCCGACGAGGAGGTACTTGACCCGCGTCTCCGGGTAGTAGGGCACCAGATTCTCCGCCACCCACCTGTCCGCGGCGGCGGCGGAGGCGGCGAGCCCCGGGATGATCTCGTTGGGCACCATGATCGACACCCGCATGCGCGTCCCCGCCAGCGCGCGGAGCACGCTCGAGTTCGCGTCGTAGATCTTCACCGACCCGGCCCCCACCGCCCGGAGGAGCTCCACCGACCTCGCCGGCGGCGGGATGTCGTCCGCCACCCTCCCGTAGTTCACCCCGATGCCATGCGCCGCCGCGGTGCTCCTCCCCTGCGCCACCACTACCCCCACTCCCAGCCAAAAAAAAATTAAAAAAAACATTTAGCCATATCTCAAGTAAGAACACGAGAAGGCGGAGGTGGTGGGCGGCGGCGCTCACCGTGGCAGCCGGCGAGGAAGACGACGACGAGGAGGGCGGCCATGGACGCCATGGGTGAAGGTGTTCGACGGTGGCGTGGGAAACTGGAGCGGGATGTCTTCTGGAAGGGGGGTTTTAAGTAGGAGTTTTAAATTAAAGTGTTTAGGGTTAGCCTTGACAACGGTTGCATTGGGTTAAGCGGTTAATCCTGTGGGCTTTCGAGTAAACAATGTAATTAACGTTTTTTTACTACTACTAGTGAGGTAGAGGCAAAGCTGGGGTGCAAATGCCAAGTGCAAAGTGGGGAGGAGACACATGCTTGCGAGGAGAAAGGCGATATGGGAGAAAATTACAGGGAAAGCCTGTGGATTTGTATATTTTTACCTGTGGCATTGGCCGTTGCCCATTGCCTTCTCTGCTTTTGTGCATTGGATCCTCTGTTTTTTTTTTTGCCTACTTTTTTTTTTTCGTTTCAGGGGTCATTGGATCCTCCGTTTTGGGGGAGAAGTTCACTTTGGTCATTTGGTGAAGGTGGCTTTGCAATCGACCTATTGTTTTTGTCTCTTTTTTTCACTAGGGCCTTTTCTCCTTTATTTTTAAGGATTGTTTTAATTAGATGCGACCTGTCATAAAACCGTGCAAAGAATAAAGAGTACTCTACTTCATGTGTTGTGTTAGACACTTGACAGTGTTGTGTACTAGGGGTGTGTTTGAGGAGAAGGGGATTGAGGAGGTTGGGAAGATACGTAAAATAAGGTGAGCCATTAGCACATGATTAATTGAGTATTAATTATTTTAAACTTTAAGAATAAATTAATATGATTTTTTAAATCAACTTTTCTATAGAAATTTTTTGCAAAACACACACCGTTTAGTAATTCAGTAAGCGTGCGCGCGAAAAACAAAACAATCTTTCTCTCTTTCTCCTGCGCTCGAACGCAACCTAGATGAAGAGAGAATGTGCAACGAGCATATATGTGTAGGAAGTTTCCATCGCTTTTGTTTCTTTATCCTTTTGGCTTTTGGCAGTAGCACTGTTACTCTAACCGTCCTATAATATAAGGGATTTGAGTTTTTATTTGTACTGTTTGACCACTCGTCTTATTCAAAAAAATTTAGATTTATTATTTATTTTTTTTGACTTACTTTATTATCCAAAGTATTTTAAGCATAATTTTTTGTTTTTTATATTTACACAAATTTTTTGAATAAGACGAGTGGTCAAACAATACAAATAAAAATTCAAAATCCCTTATATTATTGGACGGAGGGAGTAGCTAGTAGGAGGAATAACATGATGCAGCTAAAGAGAGGAAAGCGAGAAGAAACGCACAATCCCTCGTCCTCCTGCCTTTTCTCGTCGAACCAAATCACCCCCTCGCCTCATCCTTCCTCCTTTAGAGTGTGCGTGGCTATAGGGTTCACAATTTTGATCCATCCTTCCTCCTTTAGAATGTGCGTGGCTATAGGGTTCACAATTCTGATATCGGATCAAAATCCGCTCACCATAAGTATCATTGGATTTTCGCTGAATCCATTGATAAACCGACAAAAACCAATAAAATCTGAATAAATTCTATCAAAATTTTAAAATTCAGTTCAATTTTTTTAATCTAACCTAAAAATCTGAGTGGTTTATGTATTCGATGAATCAGTCCACTGAAATTGTGAACCCTGACGCGCACGTCATTTTGGCTGCACTGCACACGGACGGACACCGCAACCAAACACCGACGACTGCGCCATCGACGCGGTCCGCTGCCGCACGACGCACGCACGCACGACAGCAGGAAGGGCGACGACTTGATCACGCGTCGGTGGATGTTGTCTCACGCGTCTACGTGGGGGCGAGTGGCAACGTTGCTGGGCTTGTAGGCGAGATCGATTGGCCTTCTGTTTGTCCGGCCTGTTAAGGGTTTTGAGGACATATGGTCTTTCTTGGAAAAAAGTACACCGGAGGTCCTCCATCTTGTCACCGAATTACAAAATCATCCCTCAACCCAAAAACTGGTGCAAAATAGATCCCTCGGTGGTATTGTTACCGGTTTTGGCTGACTTGGCGCCTACGTGGCTCCTTTGACTAGGTGTTCATACTACGTGGCGATTACGTGGCAGTTTCATCCAAAAATAATAATAATAAATAGGCTGGGCCCACTGGTCAGGTCTCCTTCTTCCTTTTCTCTCCTCTAGCCGTCGTCGCCCTCCTCGCCGTTACGGTCGCCGCGCAGGCCCTGGAGCGGAGCCATCTTGTGCGCCGGGATGGGGGTCACTCGCAGGGCGAGGTCCCCGGCCACCACCCCCGCGCCGGTCTCTACCCCGCTCAGCAGTAGCGAGGAGGAGGGACGCCCGCTGCCGATGAACCTGTGGTCAAAACACAAAATCCATCGAGAAAAATCTTCAGTGCAAGCTTATGGTTATACATGCTGACCTATGATGAACAGACTCTTGAGCTCACCAATTTTGAACCTTCTTCATTTCCATATAACAGAGCTGCTGCTGCAAGCACATCCATGCTGTTATGTACTGGCAAATTTCCCTTCATGGGCACTTTCGTGGGCTTGTTAAGCACAAGTATAGCAGAATCCTGAAATTTCAAAATTTTGCATACAATTATGACTCTGAATGATGTAAATTAAAAACAGTAAGCTCCAAAAAATACACTAAATTGATTACCTTGTGGATGACAGGCCTTCTCAATCTCATCTCTAATCTCGCCCTCTGCCACTGACACAGGAAGGTGAATTCTCATGCCAGGCTCCATCACATCATTATGCTTGATCTGCAACAAACTGCTGAGCATATTTACTTCATTCAAACCGCAGAACAATAGTATACAAACAGATTTTAGGAACGAAATCTCTATTGTACCTATACCTTCTTGAGATGATGCTTCTGGCTCTTAGTAGTTTCAACTGAAACCTCATGATCAGAGCACTCGGAATGAACCTGGTAAACGGGGAACAGATAGTTTCACTTCATACAAAAAAGGAATCCCTAAATGTAGAGCCAACTGCGTATGACATCAAACTGAGAGAAAAGATTGCAAGAGAAAAACTGCGGCGCCGTCCTCCTCCTCTTCCACATCGCCCCGTCGACGCCCCGCAGCCCGGCGCGGGGGAGGTCCTGGCAGTCGACGTCGAGGCCGCGGAGGGACTTGACGATGGGGGCGAGGTCAACGGCGATGGGGGCGACGGAGGCGCCGCTCTCCTCGAAGGCGGCCGCGCCGCCGCCGGAGTACGGAGGCGCCGCTCTCCTCCGACCCCGCCGGCGAGCTCGAGGCCGTCGAGCTCCCCTCCTCCCTCGAGGTGCTCCAGGAGCGGTTGCTTCCCCCGCGGCGCCGACGTCTTCCCCCACCTCTGCTCGCCTGCAGTCCAGTACAGCCTCGCGCTCGCGCTCAGCAGGCAAGAGAGAAGAGAACAGGGAGGACAGAGATGACGTGGCATTCTGATATGTGGGTCCCACGCTGACTCAGCTGTCACGTAAGACAAAACTGGTGTCAAAACCACCAAAAGACCAATTGTGACCGGTTTTGATTAGTTAAGGGACGCCGGATATCTGGTTTTACGGTTGGGGACGATTTTGTAACTCGATGACAAGTTGAGGGACCTTCAATGTACTTTTTCCGGTCCTTCTTTATGGTTGGAATGAGCCCATGGTGTAAAGTCCGAATGAAATAAAGCCCATTTTGCGTTGTTAACTCGTTCATACTTCTTTCATCCTAAAATATAAGGTACATTCACCGAATGAGACTCATCTTAATACTACAAATCTGAACAGCTAGGATGTGTCCCATTCGATCAAAGTACCTTACATATTCTAGGACGGATGGAGTACTATTTTAGAGGGAAAGGTCGACTTCACGTCCTCAACTACGTGTCTTGAGTTTCATTCGCATCTCTCAACTATAAAACAGGCTATAGAACGTCCACGAACTTTTAAAATTAGTACAAATCAAATCTCTCCGTGGCATCGAGAGCAATTTTGAGCTTTCTCGTTCCCACCAAGCCTACAGCATCCACACCATCTCGTTCCCTTTTCTCGCTTTCCTCAATTATAGGGTTATCGAGGTTCCCAGGGAAGATCCAAGCGGTTTAGCCAGATGAGGAGCCCAACGAGGCCTGCCGATGGAAAGAGCATATCGGGCTGCCGCCGCACCACCTTCGCATTCCAATGTCATTGGCCACATGAGAGAGAGAGAGATAGAGAGAGATGCAGAGAGCTACAAATCGAACGTCCGATGTTGTAAAAAAAATCGGACGGATAAATGTTTCAGTTGACCGTTGGTGCAACATTAAGTTATACATGGTGAAACAAAAAATCCAGCCTCTAAAACATATAAAAATTCTGTGAAACACAATAAAGTCATATGGTGAAACATATTTCTATCACGTATGAAACATTACGTTTTTATTGTTTGAAACACATGTTTTTCTTTCATCAGAATATAATCACGTGATATCTTGTTATAAAGATTTAATTATAACGAATTCAACGGTGTGATCGAATCGCTCATCAAATAAGTAGTTTGGAAGATTCTTTTTAAGATTACTAAATAGTTGTATGCATGTATGGTGTGGGGAGAAAGTCAATAAAATGGTACGAGAGAGAGAGTGGAGGCATATGTGTCTCATATTTTTTCAGCGCGAAGCATTGAGTTATACGTGGTGAAACAAAAAAAAATCAGTTATTGAAACATTTAACTTTTCTATGAAACACAATGAAAACTCACGTTGAAACATATTGCTACTGCGTCTGAAACATTAAACTTAACGGACTGAAACATACATTTTTCTTTCATTGGAATGTAATGATGTGATATCTTGTTATAAAGATTTAATTATAACAAATATAATGGTGTGATCATATCACAGATTGGATAAGTAAATCATAAGAAAAAATTATTTTGAAGATCATTATAATATGTATGGATGTATGGAGTGGATAGGGAGGTAGTAGTTTGCCCGTCTAATTTTTGTTTGTTGCGTCAGACGTCTAATAGGAAGCATTTCCGGAGAAAGACGGGAGGGGAGATGGGTGAAGGGAGATAAGAGGCGAGAGAGTGAGGAGGCACCATGTGGATTCCATTGATATTTTTTTTGCTTCTATTGTTATGTAAGTGCACATAAACGTCACATGGAATTAAAATCAAGTCAGCAAGCCATGTAGATGTCGTGCTAGCCGAAACCGCTGTTAATAGTATCGAGTGACTTAATTTGTATCCTTTTTAGAAGTTGAATTGTTGAAACGTAATTTTTACCTGATTCTACGGTTCAGGGACGCCAACGAACGAAACTTGACCCGTCGTTGGGTTACGTGGACTTTCTCCTATTTTGAAATTTTCATGTTGAGTTGTCTACACACTGGCCCGACTGAATTGTCGTCAATGCCTAAGCCGCAGTAAAGTACTACTACTAGTTTACTACTGCAGTGTACCGGCGTGCGGTGCGGAGCGCGGCCACGTCCGCCGCCGCCTCGCCTCGGCGAGGAGCCAAGCCGCCGGTCAAACAAAGGCTACTGCCAATGCGATCCGATCCCATGGCCTCTCTCCATCTATCTCTCGATGGTAGACTAGTTCGATCCGCCGCTGCCATAAGTACGGCCGCGCCTGGCAGCTACTGTCGCAAATTGCCCCCGATTCCCTCTTCTCAGTCGCAGAACGGTACCCCTCGTACGAAAACGAGGCTCAGTCGGTTAGGAATTTCTGTAACCGGTTTCACCTCTGGGCAAGGGCCATGGCCACTTCTTCTCGGAGGATGCGCGCCGTGCAGTACGACAAGTACGGCGGTGGAGCTCAAGCACTCAAGGTATACAATGATTCGTTCAATTAACGTCCATGGTTAGCTATTAAGCAATGCATCAAGCATATGTGATTATGTCTGATTGTGTTGGTTTGTACCGTGGGTGCTACTGCTTCAGCATGTGGAGGTACCGATCCCGACGCCGAAGAAAGGCGAGGTGCTGATCAAGATGGAGGCCGGCAGCATCAACCAGGTCGACTGGAAGTTCCAGAAAGGTGTCGCTCGCCCGTTCATGCCCAACAAGTTCCCCTTCATCCCAGGTAGTAGTAATCCAAGATCAAAACATGCATGGCATTGGCATAGCACACCAACTGCTAATTGAAATGGTCAATTGTTGATTAATCACTGATGCATTCATGGATGGTCGAACAGTTTATGATCTTGCCGGAGAGGTCGTGGAGCTGGGCCGCGGCGTGAGCAGCTTCAAGGTCGGCGACAAGGTCATCGCCATCAATTTCCCTGTAAGATTGTTAGTTATATGATATGAGTTTTGGCAGAGTAGATTAGTTTGTGTTGATTTCGACGTGATAATATTGCTGTGATCCGTGTAATGGCAGGGCGGCGGCGGGCTCGCCGAGTACGCGGTGGCGCAGGCGTCGCGGACGGCGCCGCGGCCGCCGGAGGTGTCTGCGGCCGTGGGCGCGTGCCTGCCGATCGCCGCCGTCACGGCGCTCGTGGCGCTGAGGACCGCCGGTGTCAGCTTAGACGCCGGCGACGGCGGCGGCGGCGGCGCCAAGAAGAACGTGCTGGTCACCGCGGCGTCCGGCGGCGTCGGCCACTTCGCGGTGCAGCTGGCGAGCGCCGCCGGGCACCGCGTCACGGCGACCTGCGGCGCGCGCAACGCCGGCCTCGTCGGCGGCCTCGGCGCCGACAAGGTGCTCGACTACGCCACCCCGGAGGGCGCGGCGCTGCGGAGCCCCTCGGGGCGGAGGTACGACGCCGTGGTGCACTGCGCGGCGGTGGCGGGGCTCCCGTGGTCCGCGTTCGCGCCGGTGCTCGCCGACGCCGGCGTGGTCGTCGACCTCACGCCGGGCGCCGCGGCCTTCGCCACGGCGCTGCGGCAGAGGGTGACCTTCTCCAGGAAGAGGCTGGTGCCGCTGTTCGTGTCGCCGACGAAGGAGGACATGGAGCTCGTCGCCGGCATGGTGGCGGAAGGGAAGCTCAGGGCGGTGATCGAGTCGAGGCACCCGCTGAGCAGGGCGGAGGAGGGCTGGGCCAGGAGCATGGCGGGGCACGCCACCGGCAAGATCATCGTCGAGATGGGAGACGAACAGTGAGTGTGAGCTCGACGGATTTGTGGCCTGGAAGAACAGAATAAGATACGATTTTGTAGCGTGCAACTGTGCATGTATAGATGTACTGCTTGAGTCTTTTATTGACTCTCATCGTTTGTTTGTTTGTTAGCTTATAAGCCACAATCATCAAAATTTAAGTTTTCAAACTAAATTTGGTATTATTTGTTTTCTTTAACCTTTGGCTTTTAAACAGCTAAGAATAAAATATAAAGACCCCACCCTAATTATTGTTCACCATTGTCTTGTTTATTTTTCTATGGCTTATCAACCGATGCAACCAATGTCATTCAAATACTCGTACTTGGTCTATGGTGATCACTACTGACTAGCACTTAGGGCGTGTTTAGATCTATTGGTGTAAAGTTTTGGCGTGTTATATCGGATATACGGACACACATTTGAAATATTAAACGTAGACTAATAATAAAACAAATTACAGATTCCGCCTGTAACTGTAAGACGAATTTATTAAGCCTAATTAATCCGTCATTAGCAAATGTTTACTGTAGCACCACATTGTCAAATCATGGGGCAATTAGGCTTAAAAGATGTCTCGCAATTTATACGCGATCTGTGTAATTAGTTATTTTTTCGTTTATATTTAATATTCCATATATGTATCCAAATATTCGATGTGAAAGGGTGAAAAGTTCTGTCAGGTGATCTAAACAGGGCCTTAGATAAACTTGGTTTGTGCTACTGACTACAGAGAGTCAAACATTTAATAACTACTGTGATAACTTAGAAAACAAATGGTTATGGTTCATCAAAAAGTTACACAATGGCTAGTAATTAGGATTAGATAATACCTAACCACCACCAGCATGGCACCGGCTGCATGGTTCCAACACATTTAACTTCACATTGGTGGGAATTTTCCCCTCGATGTATCCTCTGATAGCCAAGACTGCTCTAGGGGATTCTGTGAGAACACCCTGGCTCACAGGAAAGCATTCATCAGAACTGTCTTCAGAACACCTAGCATTGCCATGAGTGGTGTCCAATTCAAGGCGCTCAAGTGACGTTGTGTTCTCAACAATATGGCATGTTAGCTCGACCAAGCTCTTCGCGGAGCAGAAGCCGCTGATCGTCACGGACTTGAGGTGTTCATGGTGATATTCTGGCATCTGTCTTAGATGTGAGGAACTCTCAAAGATTGATTCATGCTCCATGCTTTCCTGATATATCTGAAGATGAAAAAAGACATATACTTGAATCAGTACTTCTACCGTGGTAACATATATTTTTGTGGATGAAGGGAACGTTGCACAGAGCCTTACATCCAAGACGAATACCTCCAACAAAGGAGAAGCATCAAAAAATGAAACCAGAGAAAAATAGTCATAGGCTCGAGAAAAGGTCCATGCAAAAAGAGAAATAGTCAGATGCTTGAGGTACAGAAGTTTGGTTGGTAGCATTGGTGTGTCGACCATCTGCATAAAGATATCTCAGAATAGTCACTCAAAGGTATAACCAATGTATATACTGTACATTTTGCATAGTCTATAATAATGAAAGTTTAGTTTATACCTCGCAGTGTGAAGCTACGGCAAGAGTTTCAACATTTGGCACAATGGATGGAAGATCTGAACGAGCATAACATATGATGTTTGAACTGCACATGTATAGATTCTTCACTTGCGATGATTCCACAAGTGAGAGTTTTACCTTGTTTCCACTAAAGGAAAAACTGGAGAGGTTAGGGGCTTTGCTCTCTATCACCTGAACCCTCTTGCATTCCAAAACGTTCAGGCAGTTAAGCCGCTGCAGCACACAAGGCATCTTAAGGCTGACTATCTTTTTGCAGTACTTGAGTTCCAACTGCTCCAAAACAAACGAGTTGGAAAGGAGGCATGCTAACTCATCCCCTGAAATACGAACACAAGACAGATGCAGCCTTTTGAGGTTTCTTAATGGGCCAAGTTCAATTGTGGGATGAAAGGCACAATTGCCAAGCTCAAGACACCGAATTGAGTATGCAATCTTGTCAGAGAAAAGTGAGCATGGGAAGTTGAACTGTGGCTTGTTTCCAGACAGCATAACTGTGATTTCTTCAATCCCTGGTGTAATGGCAAACTGAAGCCAACTATCGACATAATCACAGTTATCTAACTTGCAGTGGATTGAAAGCTTGAATCTCTTCACACCAATGCCCGAGTGGTTTTTAAGGATGTGGTCAACTTTGCTGGTGAAATCTGTTTCACAAGCATTATCATTCAATCCTAGTGCATCTTCGTTAAAGGTGAGGTTGGGATGACATCTCCAGGATCGTAGGAAGGCACGAAACAAACATGCAGCACGGGCAGCATCTCGCATTGGCATCAGGGAAAGTATATAACTCCAGATGTCCTGCAGACACCATCATGGGATAACATTTCAACATTGCAATTATAAACCTAAATGGCTACTTTGATTAGAGAGAAACATGAATAGAACCATATGGCGTATCATTTTTTTTCAACCCCAGGAGTACTGCACATGATTTCTCAAGGTGCGTTGCATTAGATAGGCATGTTGTGCATTAGAATGGCGCATAAATTAAGCATTGCGTAGAGCTGTTTTCCTTTAACAGTGTTGGTAGTTTAATATAGTTTAGGTAGGTCTCTGGTCCTCTTTAGAGTCTTAAAAGGACACTAGCAAGGGCACATACTTAAGAATGGAATGCATAGTAGTATTTTGAAATGTTCCAATTAATTCATAGATTTTTTTTTTTAAAAAAAACAGTGTATGCAGTGCAGTACCTCTGGAAGAGTTACCCCTGAATTTGTCATCATTTTACCACCCTGGGAATCATCTTGTTGGCAGGGTGAGTACTTCCTTCTCACCGATTTAGTAATTGATCCTCCTTCTGCATATCATGCATTGTAATAGATAATTTCAGACATTAACAGAAGAGAACAACAGATTCAACCTCACAAACGAGTCATATAGAAATCCAAAATGTTTCCTTATCCAACTTTTGCGCGAGAATGCTGATGAATTCACCAAACCAAATTCTTCCAATTTTAGAGAAACAATTCACCAAACCAATCCAATTTTCCATTCTGGAAAAATACTGGCCGCAATCTCCCAAAAAAAGTCCGAGCAGCACATCACACACAACGCACCGGAGAGATGAAGTGCAGAGAGGCCGAGGGGAAAGCGCTTACTGCGGGCTTTGTTTCGCCGGCGACGGCGCTCCCGCCGGATGGAGATGAGCCGGTTCAGCGCGAGCAGGGCCATGGCGGCATACGCGGGATCGAGCCGAGGAAATCGAGAGCACCCCGAGGCGGCCCACCTCTCTCCTCCCTGCCCCTCTCCTACCTACGAAGATCGAGGCGCGAGGTCGGGGAGGGGGTAGAGATCCAGGGCATCCACCCGCGCGCGATCTCGGCTTCGGTCTGCGCCGCCGCCGGAGGAGGAAGAATGCGGCGCGGCGGAGGCCGGCGCCGTCGCGGCTGGAGAGGCGAGACGAGAAGGAAGATACCGAACTCGGTACAGACCGCAGAGGTTGCAAATAGCCAAGGCCCGGCCCACGAGCCCCCTATAGAAGCCCACGCTTAATTTTGAGTAAATTACACTTTGACCATCTTTTATTACCCAAATTTTACTTTGGACCACCTTTAAACCTATCTTTTCAATATGGATCGGGTAAATTTAGCATTGTTATGGTTTGGATTACCCTGAACATCTTTTCTCGCCATATCTAACTTTCTTTTTGGCAAATATATCGACCATGCATGGATGAGTTAACCCGTATACCAGAGCCGATGTGTTTAAGGTCATTGATGTGTACTGAAAAAATCGTTTGGGGGTGATCCAAACTGCAAATTTACCTATTTTAAATTGTAAAGATAGAAGGTTTAAAGGTGGCCAAAGTGAAACTTAGATAATAAAATGTGGCCCAGAACGCAATTTACTCAATTTTTTGCCCCAAAATGGGCCACTGGAGACATTCTTGCCCAGCACGGTTGGGCTGAGGCCTAGCTGTAACCGCTCACTTGGGCCAACTGCTCAATATTCTCGTGATCCCCTTGCGAAATTCAAATTTTGATTTCTCCTTTCCAGAATTTCTTCTCCAGCACGGCTCCCTACCGGCTATAAAATGCCGGCTCGCAACGCCCACCCATAGCCACGTCATCCACTCGCGTCGCGTCTCACCACCGCGTCCTCTCCGCCATTCCCACACCTCGACGCGATGAAGAAGAAGAGCGGCGCCGCCTCTCTCGGGGAGGCCGAGACCTCGCGCGCCGTCGTCTCGCCCGCGCGCGCCTCCTCCTCCTCCGTCGCCGACGCGCCTGCGCACGCCTCCAGCATCGCCACGAAGACCTCCTCTGTCGCCGCAGTCGCGATGGAGATGAGCGCCGCCGCCTCGCTCGCGGTCGCGCCCGCGCGCGCCCCCAGCGTCGCGACGAAGATCCAGACTCCGGATGACGCTCCCCCATGCCGACCACCTCTGCCTCCGTCCTCTCCGTCGCGGTCTCCACCTTCGCGGACTTCGAGCCCGTCTTCTTCAGCAATGTCGAGCCGCACCCGCACGCGGTGAAGGTGCTCGCCGTTCGCGAGCTCAAGCACGCGCCCGCGCTCCTCCACCTTCTCGAGTCCGCGTCGTCCGACCATGGGTGTAAGATCGTCGGCCTCCGCCTCGTGGAGAACCTGTCCAAGCTCGACGCCCTCCTCGCCGTCGTGAGCGAGGGTGTCATCCCGCTCCTCCTCAACGACCTCCGCGACCCAGACGCCAACCGGGAGCTTCGCCGCTGCGCCCAGAGCATCCACCGCGTCGGCCGCCTCATCGGAGGCTACGCGCGCCGCAAGTCGAAGGCGCTAGCGCTGGTTCTCCGGCGACATGTCAGCCATGTCTTCAAGGGAACCCGCGGCGATGGTTGGCTCCTCAAAAACCTGCAGGCCACCGTTCCCTCCCGCATCGCCACCATGAGGACTCACCGCATCGACCTCGCGCGCGCGCCCCCGCCTGATCACCTCGCGAGATCACGCCGCGGCCGGTGATCGCCTCATCGACGAGGATTGAGTACGTCACCCTGATCCCCATCGCCCCTGACCTGATGTTGAACAATAACACTGCAATTGCCGCCCCCGTGGAATCGTACAGATGTCTAATCGAACAGCAGTAGATAGCTTTTACCTTTTTTTTTCTGCATTTTTAGTTGCACAAGCAATAATCAGCATTGGCTTCATATGATTCACTACATTGTATCCTATTGCTATGGGGAGATCACATAAGCTTGTCAACTTCTGATTGATAGTTCCATACTATACTGAAAATTGGTAATTGTGATAAGCATTGTCTCACTTGTGACCAATACTGACTGAAAGGTGTAGATGCATTGGAGCATATATGGTTGTTAGTGGTAGTGCATTGTTGTAGTAGCTTTGACCCCCAGGTTGTGCCTCTTAATTAGGATCAGTGAATACGCCATTGGACCAGCTTGTTCTTGTGTGCCCCATTCGCAGCTACTGAATTCCATTTTCTTGTCATGCTAAATACTAATCTGCTGGGGTTCGTTAAATAATGATCTGTTGGGAAGGGTTCATGGGTTTTTGTTATGTCTTATGGGAAAAGTTTGGAAGGTAATCCAGTTTTGTACTCCAGCAATGGAGGATATGTTTTCTCCTATGAAAACATCACGCCCTGATTACAACTTCTTAGCAGTTAGCACTCTGCTTGCATCCAAAAGTTGTCATACTCGGTTAATGATTTTGATGGAAGTGTGTCCATTCCTACCCTTATGAATAACTGCTAATTAACCCAGAAACTTTACTTGTAGCAGTTGGTTTTATTTATCAAAATGTGAATCCTGTTGAAAGTTAATTAACGCAGCAGTGTCTGTAGCTGTATTACTGTAACATTTAAGGGCAATTGTGTGGTTTAAGAATATGTTTGTTGATCTAGCTGTTTCCATGGTTTAGGCTCATCATCCTTTAATTGCAGATCAATGCCCTTTGCTATGAGTAAGTGGCTCAAAATTTGTTTTCATTGTGAAGTTGCAAAAGTAAATTGGGGCGTTTGCTGGTGATCTGTGCAGGGACTCAGTTATGCTTCTAACCTTTGGCAGTATTTTTGTTGGATGCATGCACATTACAAATTACCACATGTCCACATTTGTCCCAAATCTATTATACTGTTCTCCATTGCTTGCTGCCGGCAGTTTGTAAATCTTGAAATGAAGTTGGTTTGACAATTTCATAAAAAAAAATTGTCTGGACAAGAATCTACTAAATTCCCTTTTTGAAGTGCTATGTTTTTTTTTCCTTGGTGAGGTTTTGAAGTGCTATGTTCTTCGCACATCGTATTTATTTGAAGAAGATCTCAAGGTTGTGACTGAAGCTAGAGTAGGACAAGTTCTGATGACTCTAATGTTAGTTCTGATTGGCATTTGGGAGTATTGTAGTTCCAGTTTGTGTTTTTTTTTTCATAAGTTAGTGTCTTCGTCCACAAATAAATCTTTGGTTAATACCTGAGATGTTAGCTAGCTGCCTAATTAAACTCCACTTGCGATAGAAATTGATGGTAATATATTGTTGCAACATCACATCACTGGATTTTACTGTATTCATTTCCTTGCAGTACTTCTGTAAGATTTGCTCGTTTAGCTAATGAAAAAAAGGAGTATATCAAATACAAACTTGTTTTCGTTGAATGATAGCATAACATCGACTCGTAACTGCAGTTTAAAGAATGGTAACATCTTAACCTGTTTTCGTTGAATTATTTATCATTGTTCGAAGGGTCTAATTCTCGTGGCAGAAAAAAAAAACTCAAGTCAATTTTTTAGACGGCCAGTATGGCCTCGAGATTGCCATTACACCTCCCCACGCACAACCGCACGAATGCTCGCCGGCGCCGCCCTGCACCACGCTCGGCCTCGGTGGCCGGCCGAAAGCCGTCAACGAGATGCGCTAGTAGCGCAGTGGCAGGGGTCGCTGGCATGCACCCCGCTGGCCCGGGTTCGACCCTTGTCGAGCGCGCTCACCAGGGGAAATATTTACCTCTTCCTTCTTAAAACCATTGACTCCAAGTCCTTCCTTGGGTCCAACCTTTGGCCCGGCTAAAAAAAAGCCGTCAATGGCGTAGGTGAGATACGTCTCCCCCTCTCTCTTCTGCCGTCATATTCGCCATCGCTGAGCTTCCATTCCCACGGCTCCGGTAGCGTCCCCGCCGCCTCGCCTCCCAAGGCCCTCTAAACCCCGAGGTTGAAGGACCACATATATATTATCAGTGATCAGTAATGCATTGACAGTCCTGATAGATTTCGATCAATTATTAGTCAGTCATATTGAAATAGTAAAGGCAGCAGTTGCAAATAGATTGCAGCCAAAAATGGAGGGTCTTTTTAGCAATCTTCATTGTACCACCCAATGAGAAGATTGCAGCATTATCAGATGTAGTAAGTACAAAAAATGCAACGGAGCAAGACCCACATCGGTAGCAACATCTAACATTTCAGCCAAATGTGGTCGCTTTTATCCAACCTTCAGTGGAAGAGATCAAGGCGAGATCTTGAACACCTTCGGGGAAGCCTCTAGCCTAAAGGCAACCTTTGCCAAATGCACTGCTCTGCCGATTCAATGCTCCGAGGAAATTCTCAGTTCGGTGGTGAGGGAACTTCCTTGTCCTGTTGCTTTGTTCCCGTGCAAATATTTGGGGCTGCCTCTATCCATCTTCGAGCTAAGAAAGGAAAGATCTCCAACCCCTTGTCGACAAAGTGGCCAACCGCTTACCTCTTTGAAAGGCTGAACAGATGGCACCGATTGGGCACATTACCATGGTTAAATCGGTACTGAGCTCAATTCACATCTACTTTCTCATCACCATTGATCCTCCAAAATGGGTGATCAAAGGGATCGACAAATTTTGACATGGCTTCCTTTGGGGGGGCAGGGCCTCCCCTCGAGGTGGACATTGCAGGGTCACCTGGGCCAAGGTTTGCTCCCCAACTGATTATGGCAGCCTGGGTGTGCTAACTTGGAACTCATGGGAGTGGCTCTTCGCTCTCGTGGGATCTGGTCGCAGCGCACTGCTGAGGATAAACCTTGGCAAGGTCTGTCCATCCCGAGTTGACAGAAGGAACTTATCTTTGTTGCAGCCTCGATTTCCTGTCAGGTGGGCAATGGGGATTTGATTTGGTTTTGGGAAGATCGCTGGCTGGATGGCTCGTGCATTCGCTCGCTTGCGTTGGCTTTGTATGACTGTGTTCCAGTGCGCGTCTGGTGCCGCAGAATGGTGGTGGAAGGTCTGCTCAACAGAAGATGGATCCATGATATCCAGGGTGCCCTGAGGACACAGGCTATCCTAGACCGGATTTGCTAATTCGCGCACGCGCCAGCTGTCACCTCCCCACACGCCGGTTTTTCCCTTTTTTTCACCTTTTTTCTTTTCCCCTCCTTCATGCCGGTTTTTCCGTTTTCTTTTTCGCGTTTTTTTTCCTTTTTTGCAGTTTTTTTCAGATTACTTTTTTAAATCTTTAGCACACGTGTTTTTTCAAATGTTATTGATTTGAAAGTTTTTAAATCTTGACTTGAAAATTTTCAAATCTGGATTTGAAAATTTCAAATCTCGAGTTGAAAGTTTTCGAATCTGAGTTGAAAGTTTCCAAAATTTTTCTCTCAAATTTAAATTTTGAGTTGAAAGTTTTTAAATCTCGAGTTGAAAGTTTTCAAATCTAGGTTGAAAGTTTTCAAAATCTGAGTTGAAAGTTTTCAAATCTCGAGTTAAAAGTTTTTAAATCTGGGTTGAAAGTTTTCAAATCTCGAGTTGAAAGTTTTCAAATCTGGGTTAAAAGTTTTCAAAGTTGAGTTGAAAGTTTTTCAGATTTAACATGAAAAGTTGAAAGTTTTCATAATTTGACTTAAAAAATTCAAATTTCGAGTTGAAAGTTTTCAAATATGGGTTTAAAATTTTGAAAATTTGACTTTAGATATAAATTTCATTTTGAATTTGTTAATTGAAAAAAATCTCACAAAAAAAATTCTAACTACTACCGTCATTTATCTCTAAATGTAATTATACTAATAGATTACTAACTGCCTTAGCGTGGAAAAGGAGGGGGGTCGTGTGCGCCCTTGGCGCACACGCGCCGAGTAGGACTCCCCATCCTAGACTACCTCCTTCTTTGGTCGAGGGTGCAGTCGTTCCAGCTTGAGGATCGGCCAGATCGTTTCGTTCGGAAGTGGGAGAGCTCCGGTGTTTACTCCTCTAGTTCAGCCTATCAAGCCCTGTTTCTCGGTCGGATCCTATTTCAGTCGGTGCTAATCTGGAGGTCGCTTGCGTTGTCAATATTTCCTCTGGTTGGTCGCCTCAAGCGTTGCTGGACGGTTGATAGACTGTGACCCAAAGGTTTTCCTCATCCAAACCTTTGCGTTCTCTGCGATCAACAAGAGGAAAGTATTGATCATATCTTGGTCGGTTGCCCCGAATCGTGCCAACTCTTGTGGATGCTTCTCTCAGCCATAGGGCATCCTGAATGCTTGCCCATTAATGAAGACTCTTTCCACGTTTGGTTGTGCGACAGCAGGGAGCAGATTGCAAAACCCCTTCGGCGTGGCTTTGACACCATCGTAGCACTTGCGACATGGTCTATTTGGAAAGAACAAAACAACCGAGTCTTCAACCAGCAACAAAGAAGTTGGGTGCAGGTGGCCAGAGGAATGGCTAATGAGGCGGCGTTGTGGCGGTTAGCCAACGCTGCTGTACCGACGATTCGCCTCTAGTAGCTAGGAGCTCTTAGGTCGCACCCTGAGATTAGGCTTTAGTTCCCCCGTGTCCAGTTCTCCTGTCCCCTGAGATTAGGCTTTAGTTCCCCCGTGTCCAGTTCTCCTGTCCCCTGCTGCTCTTAGGTTCTGTTGTATAGACTTTTTACTCCTTAATACAAAAATGCACTCCTTGCGTATTCACGAAAAAAATTCAGCCAAATTTACCCATACTAATTTTGTAGGCACAACACAACACATCCAACCTTCAGGATAACTCTATATTTTTACTAACAACTTACAGCGCACACTTTAGCAGTTTAGCAATACACCCTATTAGCAGACCACTCTGTTACTGAAAAATTACTGGAGAACAAACCACTCGTGTTGATAACTACACAATTTAGCATTTAACGAGTCTGATAATTTAGGAAACAGAGAATGGTTCATCAGAAGAGTTACACAATGGACAATTCGGATAACACCTAATGCCCAATACCATTGCACAGGTTGCATGGTTCCATAACATTTAATCTAACTGTGGAGGGAACTTTCCCCACAATGTATGTCTGGATAGCTGAGAGAGCCTTAGGTACTCCCATGAGAACAGCCTTGCCCATTGGAAAGCATGTACCAGGACTGTGTTCAGAACGGCTAGCAAAGCCAAGGGTTGTGTTCAGTGTAAGGCACTCAAGTGATACTGCGTTCTCGAGGATATGACATGTTAGCTCAACCAAGCTCTTCGCGGAGCAGAAACCAATAATCGTCACGCTTTTGAGGTGCTCATGACGGTGTTCTTGAATCTGCCTCATATGTGAGGAATCTCTGAATTTCGATTCACGCTTCATTTGTTCCTTAGATATCTAGAGATGAGAAAAATAATATACATCAATTGATGCTTTTGCCATAGTCACTAGATAGTTTTACAGGATGAAATGAACAGTGAACGGAATCTTACAGCCAAGAAGAAAGTCTCCAAGAAAGGAGAAGCATCAAGAAAGGAAACCAGAGAAAAATAATCATAAGACGGCGAAACAGTCAATCCAGAGAGAGAAATACTCAAGTACTTCAGGTAGAGGAATTTGGTAGTTAGCATTGGTGTGTTGACCACCTGCATAAAGATGTATCGGATTAATCAAAGTCCAATGCATGAATACTATAATATGCATAACAATAGTCTATATAATCATCTAAACTGTTGGTGTGTAATACCTCATCGAGTGAACATATAGAAAGAGTTTCAAGATTTGACATCATGGATGGAAGATTGGCACAGGCATAACAGACAAGGTGTGAACTGAGCATACATAGTTCCTTCACTCGCAACCATTCTCCAAGTGAAAGTTTTACCTTGTATCCAGTGAAGTAAAAATTGGATACTTTTGGAGCTTTGCTCTCTATAACTCGCATCCTGCTGCATTCTGAAACCTTAAGGTAGCTGAGCTGCTGCAGTGTGCAAGGTATCTTCAGGCTAGCTATCTTATCACAATATATGAGTTCCAACCACTCCAGAGCAAACAAATTAGAAAGAACACACCCTAACTCATCCCCGGTGATATGCACAAAAGACAAACATAGCCTTTTAAGGCTTCTCCATGAACCAAGCTCGACTGTGGGACGGAAGGCGCAATGGCCAAGATCAAGAAACCGAATATAATTTGCAATCCCATCAGATAGAAGTGAGCATGGGAAGTTGTACTCTTGCACGGTTCCATACAGCATAAGATTGAGTTCTTCAATCCGTGGTGTAATAGCAAACTGAAGCCAATGATCGACATGATCACACACATCTAGCTCATAGGGGACTTGAAGGTTGAATGTCTTCACTCCAATGCCAGAGTGTTTTTCAAGAATGTGGTCAACTTTGCTGATGAAATCTGTTTCAAAAACATATTCATCTAATCCCAGTGTACGCTCGTTAAAGGTGAGGTTGGGATGACATCTCCAGGAACTAAGAAAGGCACGAGACACACATGCAACACGAGCAGCATCTCGCATTGGCATCAGGGAATGTATATGACACCAGATGTCCTGCATCATGGGATAAAATTTCAACATTGCAATGTGAGTTTCAATGGATTGGGTTATTTGATTAGAGGGGGAAAAATAGAGTTTCAATGGATTGGGTTATTTGATTAGAGGGGAAAATAGAACCATATGGGGCATCATTCTTTTTCAACCCAGGTGCTATGTGCAAGATTGCACAATGTGCACTAAATTACATATGCGTACTATGCATGCATTAGAATGCAATGGCACGCAAATGAAACATTGCATAGAGTTATCTTTTATTGACAGTGTTGTTAGTTGGAATATAATTTAGTTAAGTAGTATTTGCCCTCTGTAGATTTCTGAAAAACATTAGCAAGGCCCTCTGTACATATTAATTTGAAAAGCTCTAAGTTCTGAGGAATTTGAGTAAATAAGGGATATGCTCTAGCTACTGCTAATTAGGGAGATAGATCTAGGAAGTTTACTCCAAAATTGTTCCATATTATCAAGGACTCAAATTGCAGCTCGAGAGCGAAAGCCACGATATCTAGAAGAAAACAAAGCTACTAATGCAGTAAGACTATAATTGATAATGTAAATATAGCACTGAAAGTTTTGCTCATCTGTTCATAACTTTTGTTCTTTAGGCACAGCAGGTGTACCAATCTGTGTTAGAGTAGTGATAGTGGTATTTACTTTCAGTATAACTATTCGATTATATCAACATTACATGCCATACCTCTGGAAGGGTTGGCACCGAATTTCTCATCCTTTTACCACCCTGAGAATCATCATCATCTTGCTGGCAGTGTGAGCGCTTCCTTTTAGCCGATTTAGCAATCAATCCGCCTGCGCGGTTACAGATAAATTCAGGCATTAACAGAAGAAAATAAAAACAAAAATAAAAATAAAAAATCGAAGCACACAAACGAGCATAGAGAAATCCAATCGATCTGTCTCCATTAACCAAACTTTTGCGTTATAATGCTAATGAGTTTCAGGGTTGAGGGGAACAACTGAGAGGGCAATTAGAAGCGCTTACTGCGGCGGGATTTGTGTGGCCGGCGACGGCGCGGCCGCCGGGTGGGCATGAGCCGGCTCAGCAGGAGCATGCCCATGGCGGGGCGCCGCGCGACGATCGAGGCAAGGGAATCGAGAGCGCGCACCCGAAGAATCGCGGGGGGCGGAGCAGAAGGAGATCTCGTGTTGGCGCCGCGCCGTCGGGGAAGCGGAGCGTGACGAAACCCAACTCGACCAGGAAAATACTGGTCTTTTTCGGTTTTTCCTCTTATCTTCTCAGAGTCCCCTCCCATGTGGCTGTCTTAATAAATCAAAACAAAGGTTAAAATTTAAATTTTAATTTTAAAGTTGATTTTAAGGTATTTTCATGTATTTTTTAAGTTTTACCTATAAATTAATTCTTATGGTAATAAACTGTTTTATCTTAATAGAAAATATGGGCAATCGATTAGGACATCAATATAAAGTACCCCGTCTCTTTGCCAACATGTCGATAGCACGAAGCCCTCTCTCTCTTGTAAGAAGAAAAAATTCATGGTTGTCATGGTAGTAAATACTGCCAGTACTTGTTAGTTTATTTATAAATAAAAAAAGCCATATCGACAAGGCTAGACATCCCTCGGCTACAGCCGCAAAATTGGCCTCACACGACACTACTCGAGAACTGGTGGACTTAAACCGTTCGTGCGATGGCTAAGGAGAAAAGAAAGGGCATCAAATCGAGCCTCATCCTACTCTCTTGGGAAATTTGGAAAGAGAGAAATAGAGAGGTTTTAAGGAACATAGTTACATAGAGACACTGCCGCACGAAATCATTGATAGAGTGACCGATGAGATTTGGTTATGGCATGCAGGCAGGGCAAAGGGCATTCAATGCCTAATGCCAAACAATTATGAAAGCGCAACCGACAATACGTAATTAGCCTAGTCACAAGACCCACACGTCTCTTTTTTTTTAAGCTGCATCATGCCTCACCCGCTTTCTTTTTTTCCTTTCTTGATGCAACCTCCTAGGCACTAAGGCTATTGTACAGTGTTTCCTTCTCCTTTAATACAAATACACCCTGCAGGATTTAAAAAAATATAAAAACAAAATGCATGGTGTGTTCCTTGTGCATATGGTTATATTTTTAGATCCTTGTTGGTTTGTGGTTTTATGTGGTTATCCTAGTTGGTCTGAAATTCGATGTGGCATGTCACACGGACACTAACGTGACGTCTTTAACTAAACTTACACCGACTAACAAGTGAAATCCACTCAATCATCGTATAACTGGGAGCTTCGCGGGGGAACTAACAGGGAATCAGATTTGTGTTTCTGGCCTTGTGGTAGTATTTTTGTTGGATACATGCACATTACAAGTTACCACATTTGTCCTAAATCTGTTATACTGTTCATGTTGCTTCTTGTTGGCATTATGTAAATCTAATTTTCATGAATGGGCAATTTGTAAATCCTTACTGCACATCCGTGTTACCCAATCAGTAGATCACAGCATTATCAAATGGAAGTACAAAAGTGAGCAACATTTAACATTTTAGCCAAATTTACCCATACAAGTATTGTAGTCACAACACATCCAACCGAACTCCAGGTCATTCAAAATCTATATTTTACAGTACAACTTTACAGCACAGTTACCCACTATTAGCAGCCCGCTTTGTTGCTGATAAATTACTGAAGAACTAAACACTCACCTTTTTTTTGACCAGGAAAACTGACAGGCATTCGCCCACCAGTTATATTTTATATATTATAAGAACACCACAAAAGTCTTACAAAGATTGTAACCAAGAAAGCATACTCCAACTAAACTTTTAACGACCCCAATAATTTAGTAAACAGAGCGTGGTTCATCAAAAAGTTGCACAAAATGAGCGTGGACGCGTGGTTCACAAAATGATAATTGATGCCCTATAGCGTTTCATTCACTAGCATCCAGAACACTTAATCTAACAGTAGAGGGAACTTTCCCTGCGATGTATTTCTGGATAGCCGAGAGAGCTTTAGGCACTTCCTTGAGAATACCAGGACTCTGTTCAGAACGATTAGCCAAGCCAAGGTTCGTGTTCAGAGTAAGGTGCTCAAGAGATGCTGCGTTCTCAAGAATATGACATGTTAGCTCAACCATGCTCTTCGCGGAGCAGAAACCGTTGATCGTCACACTCTTGAGGTACTCATATCGGTGCTCCGGAATCTGCCTCATAAGTGAGGAACTTCCAAATATCGATTCCTGTTCTGCTTGTTGCTGAGATATCTGAAGATGAAAAGTAATAATATACTTGAATTAGTGCTTTCACCAAAGTAGATAGTTTTGCAGGATGAAATGAAAAGTGAATAGCATCTTACAGCCAAGAAGAAAGTCTCCAATAAAGGAGAAGCAGCAAGAAAGGAAACTAGAGAGAGATAATCATAAGCTGGCGAATTGGTCAATCCAATGAGAGAAATACTCAAGTACTTCAGGTAGGGGAATTTGGTAGGTAGCATTGGTGTGTTGAACACCTGCATAAAGATGTCTCAGATTAACCAAACTCCAAGGTATGAGTACTATAATATGGATAACAAACTAGTCTATATAATCATCTAAAGTGTTGGTGTATACCTCACGGAGCGAACCTATGGAAAGAGTTTCAACATTTGGCATCATGGATGGAAGAGTGGCACGGGCATAACGGACAATGCGTGAGCTGCGCATATTTAGTTTCTTCACTTGCAACCACTCTCCAAGTGAAAGTTTTACCTTGTTTCCAGTAAAGTAAAAACTGGATACATTTGGAGCTTTGTTCTCTATAACTCGCACCCTGCTGCATTCTGAAACCGTAATATAGCTGAGCTGCTGCAGTGTGCAAGGTATCTTCAGGCTAACTATCTCATCGCAATGCCTGAGTTCCATCCCCTCGAGAGCCAACGAATTCAAAAGAAGGCACCCTAAATCATCCTCCGTGATACGCACAAAAGACAAACATAGCCTTTTAAGGCTTCTCCATGAACCAGGTTCGATTGTGGGACAGAAGGCGCAATGGCCAAGATCAAGAATCCGAATAGAATCTGCCATCCCATCAGATAGAAGTGAGCATGGGAAATTGTACTTTTGAGCAGTTCCATACAGCGTAAGAGTGAGTTCTTCGATCGCTGGTGTAATAGCAAATTGAAGCCAACGATCAACATGGTCACAGACATCTAGCTCATACGGGACTTCAAGCTTGAATGTCTTCACACAAGTGCCCGAGTGTCTTTTAAGAATGTGGTCAACTTTGCTGATGAAATCTGTCTCACAAACATGTTCATCCAATCCCAGCGTATCCTTGTTAAAGGTGAGGTTTGGATAACATAACCAGGAATTTAGAAAGGCACGAGACACACATGCAACACGAGCCGCATCTCGCATTGGCATCAGGCAATGTATACGGCGCCAGATGTCCTGCACACACCATCATGGGATAAAGTTTGGATATTGTGATTGTGATAAACTTTGATTGGGTGAAAAAGCAGAACAAAACCATATGGGGTATCATTCTATCTCTACCCCAGGTATTCACTCATGATTGCACAAGTACACTGCATGACATAGGCATATTGAGCATTAGAATGTAATTGTGGTGCCTAAATTAAGCATTCGATATAATTGTTTCGCTCTAACAGTGTAATTCGTTGAAATATAATTTAGGCAGGCCTTCTGGCATGGTGTCCTAAAAATTGTAGCATGAGTGAAATATAAGAATGAAATGCACATTAGTATGAAAATTTCCGACGAATTCAAGTAAATATCCTTCGTAGGTAAATAGTATATGAGTCTTGCTTTTGGGGGGAAAAGTTCTTTCTTTAGTAGAATGAAGATGGAATGTGCTCGATGTGGAATAGGCTAAGAACAACTTGCATCTAGAGGATTCTGGTAAGAATAAACAGCAAATAGTGGACCTAGACCATGGCATACCAATGAAACAAGCGTAACGGGTGTACTAATCTGTGTTGGAGCAGTCATAGTGATATTCCCTTGAAATGTAAATCATTCATTTTCTATGTCATACCTTTGAAAGCAACATCCCTGAATTTTTCATTCTTTTAGCACCCTGAGAATCATCATCTTGTTGGGAGGGTGAGAATTTCCTTTTACCCAATTTAGCAATTGATCTATCTGCAAGCACATCATGCATGGTTATAGTTAATTCAAACAATAACAGAAGGAAGCGGACAAATCGAAGCACACAAACAAGCACAGGGAAATCAAAATTTTCTTCTGTTATCCAGCTTTTGAATGCCAATTGAGTTTCCAACTTGTAGCAATCTAAGAGAAAAGAACAATTCATAGTGCGCAGGCGCAAAATTTTGTAAATACCGCAGTCTCCCCAAAGTGTGTATCTCCTGCACTCCAAAGTATCCAACTGAACAGCAATACATTGGAGCAGACGAATCAGTGAAAAATCACATCCTTCTTTCCCAATCCCTAAATTCCCCACTCCTCTCCTCACCCTCACAATTCGGTAAACCCAAGTCACAAGTTTCAGCTCTGGTTGCCATGTTCAGTTAAGTGCCCCATGCTATGATAGGCTGCATCACTCTTTCACCAACGAATCAACTATCTCATGTTGTTATAAAAAAAAAAACTATCTCCGTCTCATAAAAAACCAATCCTATTGGATATGACACATTTTATTACTATGAATCTGGACATATAGAATATATCACATCCCATCTAGATTCGGTTTTTATGGGACGGGAGGGAGTACATCTCATACAATCCCCCCCCCCCCCCAATCATGAGAAAATAAATTGTAGATTAAAATTTGTTCAGAAAGACGCCAGTTTGGATACCTAGCCTACTCAAACAAAAACAATGAGGAACACTTAATCTTGTTACCAACCAATGCACTAGGTTTAACCCCCTGATGAAAAGAAAACAGGTTTTTTTTTAAAGAAATCCTACAAAGAAACATACTAGCCCGGATAGAAACACCATCACGGGCATGGCCGCTTTGTTGCAAAAGAACAATCTGAACAAGTTATATAAGCCGGAGGAGGAGGCCGAGGGAGCTTAGCTTACAGCGGTGTCGGTTTCGCCGGCGGCGACGGCGCTGCCGCCTCCGCCGGGTGGGCATGACCCGGTTCATCTCGAGCGTTATCCCCATGGCCGGCGGCGGCGACACCCGGAATCGAATCAACTCCGCGCGGTCGCCGTCGCTCCTACTCTCCTTCTCCGCTGTTCTACTTCGATCTAATCTATCGATCTCTCTTGCTATTTATTGGCAAATCCTGCGACGAGGAGGGAGGAGGAGGAGATCGTGTTGGCGCCGAACATCAGGAGTCCAGGATGGCCCAGGGGATTATCATTGCTTTTGTTTCCTTGGGAAGGGCTCCTTTTTACTTCATTTGGATTGTTGGGCCGATTATTACTACGGATTATATTCATTTAATTATGACGATAAATTAAGGCCATGTTTAGATCTCACACTAAAATTTTTCACCCTGTCATATCGAACGCTTGAATGAAGTATTAAATATAGGCTAAAAAACTAATTGCACAAATTGCGACAATACGAATCTTTTAAGCCTGATTGTTCCATTATTTGATAATATTGTGCTACATTAAATATTTGCTAACAATGGATTAACTAGGTTTAATAAATTCATCTCGCGGTTTACTGACGAATTATGTAATTTGTTTTGTTATTAGACTGTGTCCGTATATCCAATGTGACACTGTAGAAATTTTCACGAATGCATCTTAACACAGCGTAAATATCTTCGAGAAATTTACTCCTAATTTTACATGAGGTGAACCCAATCTAAACTCTCCAACCGTCGGTAAATTATTCAGTAAAAGTCATTGCAAGAAAAATGTATGTCAACGTGCACGGAACTCTTTTAATCATCTGGGTAGATATCTATTCGATTATTCATGTCAACTAAATAGTAAAAAAAAAACGGACAGGATAGGTTAATGTGTAAGGAGAAATATCAAGTGTTAGAAATGTGAAAATCATGTCTAAAAGTTTTGAAAATTCATAAAAAATATGTTTTGTAAGTTCATTTAAAATAATATAGATAAATGTAGATGTAAAATAAATTCTCACCAAACTCAACTTCATTTGAGAGAAAAAAACAAAATTCAGGTAAATAGTGTCACGTTACTATTCAAATAAAGTTGAGTTTAAACTTTAGATTTGATTTTTGTGAGTTTTCAACCCTCAACTCGTTTTCTCTTATGTGTCCTTAGTGTGTAATAAATTAGTACACAAACATGCAACTTTTAAATTCAACTTGTACTAATATACATATATTTTAAGTTAATTTTGTCATAATTTATAGGATGAGTCTACGAGTCAGGCGCCCGATCGGTTTGGAGAAAAATCGGGCGCTACCGTCAACACCCGATTTACGTGCAAAACTACTTTAAACTGATTTTTCTCTTAAATTACTTATCCAAATCATGATCCGATTGCACCATTAAATTCGTTGCAATTAAATATTCAAAACAAGACCACACATGGATATATTCCGACGAATTTTTTTAAGCTTATTATTGAATTATTTTAAAATGTTGCACAATGTTCCGCTATATATATCGGAATTGTTTCACTAAGTAGATCGAAAATGTTTCACTCGTTTAAATCGGGTGTTGTTTTATCTTATATAAAAACAATGTTCCAGTAAATAGCGAAAGAATATTTCAGTTCACTGCAACATTTGATCCATACATAGTAAAATATTATAAGTACACTAGGTGAAACATTTTTCGGTGGAAAAAAAATAAAACGAATTCTCTTAATATGGGGTTTTAAAAATATGTGGGTTTTTTTGTTGCAATGCAATATTTCACTTCACTGCAACATTGGGTTTATATATAGTGAAACAGTACGAATACACTAGGTGAAACATTTTTTTATGAAAAAAAACAAACCAAATTTCCTTAATAGATGGTTTCCAAAATATGTAGGTGATTTGTTTTATATGGATAAGTGACAGGTGGGGACACGGGATATGTGGTGGGACCAGGTGGGCACGTGATGGGGGGAGGGGGGAGCGACCGATTTTTTTCCCCTCCCCCGCGCGCCCGACGTTGAGCATTCTCGCAATTTATACAAGTTGAATTTTCAACCTGTCTGTCTGTGGAACGCTATATTTCGTATTAATCATCTTATTAATTTTGGTCAACTTACAATAAACGAGTGGATTGTTCATCAATCCCTCTCCGGTGCACATGCTATTTAGATTCCGACGTGGACGGTGCACGTCCAGTCGTCCACCACCACCACCACGGGTCGGACGCCGTCGTGCGTACATATCCAGACGCAGACGCCGACATTGGCGCACCAAACGCACACACCGCGCGCGTCGGCGGCCATGGCCACGACGCCGTCTCCTCCTCCCTCCGCGACGACGATGCGCGCCGTCCAGTACGACGGCTACGGCGGCGGAGCCGAAGGGCTCAAGGTTACATACGCCTGCGAGTTTCACTCCCACTCCCAGCTTAGCTTCTGCTTCTCTGGTTTTCTGATGTGTTTGTGTTCAGCATGTGGAGGTGCCGATCCCGTCGCCGAAGAAAGGCGAGGTGCTGATCAAGATGGAGGCGGCGAGCATCAACCCCATCGACTGGAAGATTCAGAAGGGGATGCTCCGGCCATTCCTGCCATGGAAGTTCCCATCAATTCCAGGTACTAGCAATTAAGATTTCAAGATTCAAGAACAGTTATGTCTAGATTTATAGCTAGGATTTGCTTTTTTTAATATATATAGTAGTATGCAGTATGCACTAGCTAGCAAGTAAAATTTTAAGATTCAAGAACAGCTATGAATTTGGACATATGCGTGTCTATATTCGTAGCTAGGATTTGTTTTTTTTTTATATAGTAGGATGCACTAGCTAGCAAGCTAAAAGAATAACAGGAGCTAGTGATCGCTAATGTGTATACGTGGTCGAGCAGCGTGCGATCTCGCCGGAAAAGTCGCGGCGGTCGGCGGCGGCGTGCGCAGGTTCGAGCTCGGCGACAAGGTCATCGCCATCAATTTCCCGGTACGATAGAAGTTTGATTTCTTTCTCTTTTTTTTCTCTTCTTTTGATCGATCGAGTTGAGTTCAGTTTTTGAGTGTGATTTATCCGAGCAGAGTGGCGGCGGCTTCGCCGAGTACGCGGTGGCGCAGGCGTCGCTCACGGTGGAGCGGCCGCCGGAGGTGTCCGCGGCGGAGGGCGCGTGCCTGCCGCTCGCGGCGGTGACCGCGCTGCAGGCGCTGAGGGCCGCGGGGGCCGGCCTGGACGACGCGCCGCCGCCCAAGAACGTCCTGGTCACCGCGGCGTCCGGCGGCGTCGGCCACTTCGCGGTGCAGCTCGCCAGGCTGGGCGGCCACCGCGTCACGGCCACCTGCGGCGCGCGCAACCTCGCCCTCGTCGCCGGCGAGCTCGGCGCCGACGAGGCGCTCGACTACGCCACCCCGGACGGCGCCGCGCTCCGGAGCCCGTCGGGCAGGAGGTACGACGCCGTGGTGCACTGCGCGCCGCACCTCCCCTGGCAGGTGTTCGACCGCGTCCTCGCCGAAGGCGACACCGGCGGCGTCGTCGTCGACATCACGCCTTCCCCCGCGGCCTTGGCCACCGCGCTGCTGCACAGGGTGACCTTCTCCAAGAAGAGGCTGACGCCGTTCATGTTCTCGCCGAGCAAGGCGGACATGGAGCTCCTGGTGGCCATGGCGAGGCAGGGGAAGCTCAAGCCCGCCGTCGACTCGTGCCACCCGCTGAGCGACGCCACCGGCAAGGTCGTCGTCAAAATCGGAGAAGAAGAATGAGCACGACGCAGGGAGATACCGTTGGATGTTGGAACAGTATGTTCAGTGGCAGCGCACGGTTAACTGTTATTGTATGAAAATAATGTTTTTTAAAGAAACACGGTACAAACGTAAACGTTCATGACACGCGTGCACTCACTCCTATAAACACACACGCACACTCTATCTTTACGAGTACCTCCGAAAGATTGAACCTAATGTTTCAATCATGTGATCACTGTTGCCCACGATTTATTGTAGAACACCTTTGTTTCACAAGTTTATCAGGAAATTAAAAAATGGAATACGCAAAGAGCGCATCTTTGTATTAAGGATGGAAAAAAGTTTAATTACAGAAAATACAAGAAGTGAAGGGGACGGGATGCAGGAATACAATTGCCCAAAAAGATCTATTCTCCTAACCGATGTTGCGACCTCTCGACAATTGGCTGTGGCAAGAACTCCGGAATGGCTGCTCGCGCAAGTCTCTAGAGTTCCGCCTCGGCGGCCATTGCCCTTGCCACTTCCGCCCAAGTCTTTTGCTGCTGATTGAAAACCCTGTTATTCCTCTCTTTCCAGATCGTCCAGGCAATGAGAGTTGCGATGGTGTCGAAACCATGCCGAGCTGCCTTGGTCAATCTCTTTCGGCTATCGCAAAGCCAGAGGTGGAAGGAGACTTCGTTCATCGGCAGAGAACTTGTTTGTCCAATGGCCCTCAGTGCCATCCACCACAGTTGGCGGGACTCTGGGCAAGCGACCAGGAGATAATCGATGATTTCATCGCATTGATCGCAGAGGACACATCGATCGGGGTGTGGCAGCCCGCGCCTCCTCAATCGATCACCCGTCCAGCACCTGTTAAGCACCACTAACCAGACGAAGTACCGGCATCGAGGTGGAGTGAGAGATTTCCAGATCGGGGCAGACTGGAACCAGGTTCTCCCTAGGAACAACGCTTGATAAGCCGATCGGGAAGAGTAATCGCCCGACCCTCCCATCTCCAAGAAAGCACATCGGGCTGGTCCATGAGGTGCACTGCACGAATGTCTTGCCACTAGGATAAATACTCAAGAATGGCTTGAATACCAAGGGCACCGGAGATGTCCTTGATCCACCGCCTATCAGACAGAGCTTATGTGACCATTCTTATTTTGCGAATGCGAGCCGGGATAATAGCATAGAGAGCCGGCGCCTTGCAGCGGATGGATTCTCCCTGCAGCCAACTATCCTCCCAGAACAAGGCCTTCACGCCGTTCCCCACAGAGCACAAAATGGAGGCGGCGACGAAGCTTCGCTCCTTCGGCGAGGACGGGATGTTGAGACCCAGCCAAGGTTTCTCTGGTGAAACTCGCTGCAACCAGGTCCAACGCGCCCTTAGAGCAATTCCCATCCTCTCTAAGTCAGGGACACCGAGTCCACCGTACTCCTTGGGAACGCATACCTGTGACCATGCGACCCTACTATCAGGAAATTATATATTTTAAAATGACACTTGAAAAGTGGCTTGTTCATTTACTCCCTCATTCCCTAAATGTTTGACGCCATTGATTTTTTTAAACATGTTTGACCGTTCGTCTCATTCAAAAATTTTTGTGAATATTATTCAAAAACTTGAGTAATAGTAGTACATTTAACAATGAATCAAATGATAGGAAAAGAATTAATAATTGCTTAAATTTTTTGAATAAGACAAACGGTCAAACATGTTTAAAAAAGTCAACGGCGTCAAACATTTAGGGAAGGAGGAAGTATTTTGGTGATAGCGAACTTTAGAGCATCACCAACAGTCTACCAATAATCTATCCCCAAAATTTAATTTTTGGGTTTCCTAAACTGAAAATAGGTGGTTAAAAAACCCATTCCTCCAAGAGATAGCCTAAATTCAATCCCCAAAACTAAAAGTGGGCCCTTCTATTAAACTACCAACAGAAATTCTAATTTTTTTCCTTTCCCGTGCGCCGAAGGAGATCGCCCCGACGCGGGAAGGAGAGGAGAAACACGGAAGGAGGGGAGAAATGCGTGGAAGGAGGGGATTGGGAGTCGTTCTCTCGCCCTCAAATACACGTACCGAGAAAATTGGAGATGGTAACTCCAAAACGTCCAGAGCTCTTTTGGGAATATGTTGGATCAGTTTTTTAAAACCAAAATCCCAAAAAAATAGGATTGGAGATAGAATAGATAGACTGTTGGTGATGCTCTGACAACTGCCGGAGGTCCATTGGTGTTATTGGTGTTTTTTTGTTCTGTTTTTAGAACTCCATCGATGCATTGATCCGCAACAATCTCCTGCTGCACTCAAGATTTCAGATTCAGCTTTATTTATATATTTTTTAGTCTGACATGAACAAATAACAAACAATCCATGCATCTCGGAACCATATACTATCATGCTTTCAGAGCAACCCGAAATGGACACCCACGGTGGTGAACAATCGAGATGCATATTCCCTCGTTCCAAAAAATACTAACTTTAATTTGATCATGTTTATATCCAGATTTATTATACTAGGTTATATCTTATCTTATATACTCCAGGTTAGTATTTTTTTAACGAAAGGAATATATTGGTAATCAACCAGGCAAACTTTACAGCGCGGGTTCGTTGTCGCGAGGCTGATATTTGCCGGTGCTATGCTACAGAAGCGGCTCACTTCCATCCACGACACCAACCATATCAACATCAACATCGCCACACAAACCACCAAAATCACCAGCTTTTCCATCTCCTCTCTCTCTCTCTCTCTCTCTCGGTGTTGCGTGCTCTCCGTCTCAGCCATGGCTGCCGCTGCCGACGCTGCTCCAAAGACGATGAGAGCTGTGCAGTACGATAAGTACGGCGGAGGACCAGAAGGCCTCAAGGTAAAAAAAACCAGCATCACCAACTGATAATTACAGTTCACAAGAACTGAACATATGCTGCGTGTTTGTTTCTGAATTCTGATGAGATTGCTGCTGGTGGATTTTCAAATTTTCAGCATGTGGAAGTGCCGATCCCGGCGCCGAAGGAAGGGGAGTTGCTGATCAAGATGGAGGCGGCGAGCATCAACCCCATCGACTGGAAGATTCAGAAGGGGATGCTCCGCCTCTTCCTGCCCAAGAAATTCCCCTTCATTCCAGGTTAGATATAGTACTAGTACCAGTATCTGTCTTCTCCCAGTCGCAGGACATTGGCTTCAGAAATTCAGATACAAACCTGAACAAATTGACGGCTGAAAGTCGCGTATCTCACCGTACTGCATCTTAATTACTTCTTCCGTTTCACAATGTAAGTCATTCTAGCATTTCCCATATTCATATTGATGTTAATGAATCTAGACATCTAGATTCATTAACATCAATATGAATATGGGAAATGCTAGAATGACTTACATTGTAAAACGGAGGGAGTAGTAACTGAATTTCAGTTTTGCCTGGCAATTTTGATATGTAAGTACTCCTGTCAGGTGTCAACAATCTATGCTCTTCTTCTGAATTTTTTTGACTGATACATGTTCAGCTACACAAGAAATCAAGCCACAACCTTTTCTTCCGTATAACAGTATGAAAGAGTTGCTAATTCAGTACTTCAGTTGGCTAAAGATGGGTGACGCCTAATGCTTTTTTTCCATGAGAAAATCGTAAGATACATTTATTTCTTTTTAATAAATCTGAAGATTTGTCCATACAAGTATGTTTAAGACTGCAAAAAAAAGAAGAAGAAGAATGCGATCGCTATCTGTACGTGCAAATGAGGACATTATTCTTCCTCGCTTCCCTTTCGTATTCGGCTACCTTTCACTTCATTTTCATGTACATTTTCGTCCTTTTCCTTCCCTTTGATTGCTTTTCGGAGTTCATTACATCACGAAAACGGCGTGATTGGGAAATGGTCGGATGCTCAACAACGCGGCAGTAGTAGTTGGCTAAGATACTCGAAGTAGCGTGTAGTAACTTATGTTCACTTTGGTCTAATAATTTAAAGGTAGTTAATGGTCAACGAGAAAGTAAAAAATGTCAATTATTAAGAAACGGATGGAGTATTTCCTCAAGAACAAAATGGCATTGATATTTACTCCTGTAAATCACCATCAAGTACTCTAACTACTCATTGATTTTGTAGAAGAAGCTATTGAAAATGTTGAACGAGATGCATACTGATTACTGAGCAACTGTTAACAGATGCCACTTTTAAAGTTCAGACTAATCCATGAACTCTTGCCATGGTCGAACAGTTGGTGATCTATCCGGCGAGGTGGTGGAGCTCGGCGGCGGCGTGAGCGGCTTCAAGCCGGGAGACAAGGTCGTTTCCATGAGCTTCCCGGTGAGCATCTTCTTCAGGGAAAAATATTTAGTCCATACTACAAATACAGTGGAAACTATCGTTGGATTGAAAAATTAATGTCTGATATTCGTTCATGTTACCATGAGTATGGGTGAACCTGGGAACCCGCGAGTAAAATTTTTACTCGTGATGACATGGACAAATACACCTATTTTTTGATTTAACGGTAATTTGCAAGTTTAATACGTAGTTTCCACCCTATATATTATCTTCTTCAGCGTTGTAAGCCATTTCGTCTCGATTCGCACGCCTTGACGATCTGTCTCGCCGTGGCAGAACTGCGGCGGGCTCGCCGAGTACGCGGTGGCGCCGGCGTCGCTCACGGTGGCGAGGCCGCCCGAGGTGTCCGCGGCCGATGGCGCCACCTTGCCGGCGGCCGCGGGCTCCGCGCTCCAGCAGCTGAAGGCGGCCGGAGTCAGGTTCGACGCGGACGCCGACGCCGCCGCCGCCGCCGGCGGCCCCAAGAACGTGCTGGTCACCGCGGCGTCGGGCGGCGTGGGCCACTACGCCGTTCAGCTCGCCAAGCTCGCCGGCCTCCACGTCACGGCCACCTGCGGCGCCCGCAACCTCGCCTTCGTCCGCGACGGCCTCGGCGCCGACGAGGCGCTCGACTACAGGACCCCCGACGGCGCCGCGCTGCGGAGCCCGTCGGGCAGGAGGTACGACGCGGTGGCGCACTGCGCGCCGCCGGCGCCGTGGCCGGTGTTCAGGGACGCCCTGGCCGACGCCGGCGGCGTCGTGGTCGACCTCACGCCGGGGGTCGCCGCCACCGTCAGGTCGTTCCTGCACAGGGTGACCTTCTCCAAGAAGAGGCTCGTGCCGCTGATCCTGATGCCCAAGAAGGAGGAGATGGAGTGGCTGGTCGACATGGCCAAGCAAGGGAAGCTCAAGACCACCATAGATTCCAAGTACCCTCTGAGCAGAGCACAGGAGGCTTGGGCTAAGAGCATGGAAGGCCATGCCACGGGCAAGATCGTTGTAGAAATGGGAGGCACAGAATGAGCATTGCAAATTGCAATGTACCTCCCTAAGTGTGAGGATTAGCACCATGGATTCATGATGTCATAAAAAAAAGATGAACAGTTCGGATTGAGTCTGTTGTAATCATTCTCCTCATGCAAAGATTCAGCCTCGATCCAGAGTCATTCACCTTACAACGCGATCAGCTACCACCTACGAGACCAATGATCCTTACTCATCCGACTTTGGAATAGGATCTTTCCGGCACACAAAACAAAACAATAAATTAGCACATAATTAATTAAGTATTTATTTATTTTAAAAAAATAATTAAATGCTGTATAGTTTTTAAAACAACTTTCCTCATATCTATTTTAAAGAAACCACCGTTAGTTTGGAAAACATGTGTACGAAAAATGGAGTTGGCCGTACCTAAGACATCGAATTTCCGATGGACTTGACTGGATAATATCTGTGCCCAACGTTTGATCGTACATCTTATTTGAAAACTTTGTGAAAAATTTAAAAATATTTAGTCACACATAAAGTACTATTTATGTTTTAACATCTAATAGCAATAAAAAATACTAATCATACAAAATTTTTAAATAAGACGAACGATCAAACGTTGAACATGAATAGTGCAAAACTGCATTTATTTTGGGACGGAGGGAGTACATACTTAAGGCTGTGCTCGTTCTAGCTGTTCCCAAGTCCTCCGTCTCGTTTTCCGCGCAACGCTTTCCAAACTGCTAAACGGTACAGTTTTTTTGTAAAAAAAAGTTTATATATTGAAAGATGTTTTTTTAAAAAATCATATTAATAATTTTTTTAAAAATAAATGTTTAATTAATTATAAGAAAATAGGTCGCTCTATTTTTCGTGCGGAGGGAATGCTATCCCAACTTAGGAGAACGAACGCAGACAGGCCCTCTATGAGCATGGCCCATTAGAGGCTTCACTTGAAGCTCGGCCCATTAGTTTCACAAAGCCGTCAAAGCCCACGTCGTTCCCAAGCATATGCCCTAATCGGCTTTAATCCCCTGCAGAAAGAATCCGCCGCCGCCGCCTTCTCCTCTTCCTCCTGCTGCTGCTGGCTCCCAACTTGCTCTCCGGGCTGAGGCTGCGGCTGCTGCTCCCCCGCCTGCGCGCCGCCGCCGCCGCCGCCGCCGTCGTCAGGTACCGACCGGCCGATCGATCCCATCCCCCGCGCCTCCCCCTTTGCAGAGCTGCTGCTCGGAAATTTGTTTTCTCGTTGATGCTATGCAATTTGCTGTGCGGTTTGTGCTCTGCTCCTTGTGTAGACGGGTCGGGGAGGGGTCTGGATGGGTGGGTGGGTTAGCACATCAGTGTTGGGGATTTTAGTTTTTATCATGCCGTTTTAGTTGATAGGGGGTGGATTGATTATTTTCCGTATTGGTTCGTGTGGCTTTGGGCAGAGTGCTCATTACTCAATGTGGTTCGTCGTTTTTCCGATAAGATTTTTAGTTAATCGTCGTAGCTGATCAAGAGTGGAAGTTTAGTGTATGTTGATTCTCTGCTTATGTCACTGGGTTGCGTTATATTGTTGGGGATCTACTTCCTCGTGTAGTTTTACATGAGCATTTCTAGGGAAAAAACCCCCCTAAAATTTTCCTTTTGTTATGGTGAGCCGTTGGTAGGAAGTGTATTTTTCACACTTTATTTCCTGGAGGTGGATTTCTTCTTTCCATCATTTGTCTGCCTTGGTATTATGTGGAATTGTGGATATGCTGTAGTATCCATAGGATGCATGATCCACCTAGTCTTTAGGTTTATGGAACACTTGAGTTAGTGTGAATTTTCTTCTCTTCAAGCTATTAAGTGTGTAAATTAACTAATTCTTTCTGATCTTTCTCCCCCCCCTTCGCTTCTTGAAGATGTTTGTTTGGTTATAAATTTATGATCCTGTTATCCTAGATCACATAATAGCTTCATATCAATGACTTGCCCTGTCATGAGTTGTAGGTATGTTTAGCACAAGACTTCAATCAAATCTTATTGCATAACAATGGTTCATTAAAAACTTATTTTTTTATGTGTGCTTGATGAGTTGGTTAGTTATTCTTGTTTGTGTAGAAACATTGTTTAAGTACTGGACTGAGTTCAATTTTATTAAACAAAAAGCCTTAACCACTTGTTTTTTGTTGATTGATTAGGAAAATGTCATCAAATCCTGATGGAGGCAGAAGTTTTGCTCGGAGAGATATTTTACTCAAGATCCAGTCAGATGCTCAAAAATGGTGGGAGGAGAGCAAGGTTTTTGAGGCTGAACCTGGGAATAAACCTCCGGGCCCTGGGGAAAAGTTCTTTGGCAACTTTCCATATCCTTACATGAATGGCTTGCTACATTTGGGCCATGCGTTCTCCTTGTCTAAACTTGAGTTTGGTGCTGCATATCAGAGGCTTCGTGGTTCAAATGTTCTTTTGCCATTTGCTTTCCACTGTACGGGAATGCCCATCAAGGCCTCAGCAGATAAACTCTCTAGGGAGGCGCAACAATATGGATATCCTCCAGCGTTTCCTGAAGTAGAGGATGATTCAAGTGCAGAAGTTGCTGATAGTAGCCAGGCTGACAATGCGGCTTCTGTTGTCCCAGATAAATTTAAGAGCAAGAAATCTAAGGCTGCTTCGAAGGTTGGCATGCAGAAGTTTCAGTGGGAGATCATGAGAGGCTTTGGCTTATCAGATGAAGAAATCGCCAAATTTCAGGATCCTTACCACTGGTTAACTTACTTCCCTCCATTGGCGAAGGAGGACCTCAAGGCCTTTGGTCTGGGCTGTGATTGGAGGAGGTCATTCATAACTACTGACATGAACCCCTTCTATGATGCATTTGTCCGGTGGCAAATGAGAAAGCTGAAGAAAATGGGCAAGGTTGTCAAAGATATGAGGTACACAATCTACTCTCCATTGGATGGTCAACCTTGTGCTGACCATGATCGAGCATCTGGTGAAGGTGTACAGCCACAAGAATATGTGTTAATTAAAATGGAAGTTGTTCCACCTTTTCCTCCCAAGTTGAAGACCATGGAAGGAAGAAATGTTTATTTGGCAGCAGCCACATTGAGACCTGAGACAATGTATGGGCAGACAAACTGTTGGGTATTGCCTGATGGAAAATATGGGGCCTTTGAGATCAATGACACTGATGTCTTCATTGTTACATCAAGGGCTGCTCTTAATCTTGCATATCAGAATCTATCAAGGGTCCCAGAAAAACCAACTTGCTTAATGGAGTTATCTGGTTGTGATCTGATTGGTTTACCACTGAAATCCCCTCTTGCCTTCAATGAGATCATATATGCACTTCCCATGCTTACTATCTTAACAGATAAAGGTACTGGCATTGTGACTAGTGTCCCAAGTGATTCTCCAGATGATTTCATGGCACTACAGGATTTAGTCGCAAAGCCAGCTTTGAGACAGAAGTATGGTGTCAAAGATGAATGGGTTCTTCCCTTTAAGGTTGTACCAATAATCAACATTCCTGAATTTGGAGACAAGTCTGCTGAGAAGGTGTGCCTCGATCTTAAGATTAAGAGTCAGAATGACAAGGAGAAGCTTGCTGAAGCAAAAAGGATGACATATCTGAAAGGTTTTACTGATGGGACAATGATTGTAGGGGAGTTCAATGGCAGAAAAGTTCAAGAAGCGAAGCCACTGATAAAGAACAAGCTTTTGGAAGAAGGCACAGCAGTGTTGTATAGCGAGCCTGAGAAGAAAGTTATGTCGAGATCTGGTGATGAGTGTGTTGTTGCTCTCACAGATCAATGGTACATTACTTATGGTGAGACTGAATGGAAGCAGAAGGCAGTTCAATGCTTGGAGAAGATGAATACATTCTCAGCTGAAACTCGTAATGGTTTTGAACACACGTTAGGCTGGCTGAACCAGTGGGCCTGCTCTCGTTCTTTTGGCCTAGGTACTCGCATTCCATGGGATGAGCAGTTCCTTGTAGAATCTCTTTCTGATTCCACCCTCTACATGGCATATTACACAATCGCTCACCTTTTGCAAAATGGCAACATGTATGGCAAGGAAATATCTTCTATCAGACCAGAACAAATGACAGATGAAGTCTGGGATTATGTGTTCTGTGATGGTCCAGCACCCAATAGTGACATCCCTCCTGCCCTCTTGAGCAAAATGAAGCTGGAATTTGAGTACTGGTATCCATTTGATATTCGTGTCTCTGGTAAGGATCTTATCCAAAACCATCTGACTTTCAGCATTTACAATCATACAGCACTTCTTCCAGAGCATCATTGGCCTCGTGGTTTCCGCTGCAATGGACATCTTATGCTTAATTCTGAGAAGATGTCCAAGTCCACAGGGAATTTCCGAACTCTTCGACAGGCCATTGAAGAATTCTCTTCTGATGCCACTAGATTTGCCCTTGCTGATGCCGGTGATGGTATGGATGATGCAAACTTTGTCTTTGAAACAGCAAATGCTGCTATTTTGAGGCTTACAAAAGAAATTGCATGGATGGAAGAGGTTATAGCCGCTGAATCTTCTCTGAGAGCTGGGCCTCCCTCTACCTATGCTGACCATGTGTTTGCCAACGAGATAAACATTGCGGTGATAGAAACTGAGAAGAGCTACAATGCCTTCATGTTCAGAGATGCCCTTAAGTTGGGGTTCTATGACCTACAGTTGGCTAGAGATGAGTACAGACTCTCTTGTGGAGCAGCAGGCATGAATCGTGAATTATTATGGCGGTTCATGGAGGTGCAGACTAGGCTCATTACCCCCATTTGTCCACACTATGCTGAGCATGTGTGGCGAAACATCCTGAGGAAGGAAGGATTTGCAATAAAGGCAGGCTGGCCAATTGCTGGAACCCCAGATCCCACACTAAGAATTGCTAACAAATATTTACAGGACTCCATAGTTAAATTCAGGAAGCTGCTCCAGAAGCAAGAATCTGGTTCCAAGAAACCCAAGAAGGGAACTGCACCTCCTCCATCTGAGCAAAACAAGCTGACTGTTGGTCTGGTCTACGTCAATGAGAACTATTATGGATGGAAAGAGCAATGTTTGAGGGTTCTCCAGTCTAAATTTGATAGCCAAGCACGTTTGTTTGCTCCTGATGAGGAGATTAATGAAGCATTGAAGAACTGCTCCATCGGACAGGAAACTAACTTCAAACAAGTCCAGAAGCTCTGCATGCCTTTCATCAAGTCGAAAAAAGATGAGGCGAGGAGTGTTGGGCCCCACGCTTTGAATTTGAAGCTTCCTTTTGGTGAAATGAGTGTTCTCGAGGAGAACTTGGAGCTGATCAAGAGGCAGGTAGGCCTTGAACATGCAGAGGTCCTGTCTGCTTCTGATGAGGCTGCTCGTGCTAAAGCTGGCGTGCATGCTTCTATGCTGGACAAGACCCCGCCTTCTCCTGGTGAGCCAGTAGCAATCTTCATGAGCAAACTAGACCTCGAAGCGCGGTGCTGAGCTTAACTGTCACAATGAAATTGCAAAATGAATAGTTAGGAGGAGTTCACTGAGATTTCCTTATTTTCATGCACAAGTTAAAGTTATGTTAGCTTGCAGCTTCTACAGTATCATAGTATTTTGTGGAAAAGAACAGTTTGGTTATTCCCTGTAACAGTGATGGTATAAGAAACCCATTTTGAAGAATAATTGAGTGTATTGAATGAGTTTTATTTGCATCAGGTTTGAATTTGATGCTTCTATACCAGTTCACTTTCTGTTGGATGTGATGTTTGAGTTATGCAGAATGTTAGTTTCATTACTATGTAGCATATCATGTATTGTGTTCCACTCTGAAGAGGTGACAAGTTGTTTACACTTCACACTGATGTCTCTGTTGAAGACTCTATAGCATCATGGAACCAAGTGTAAGAGTTGATATGCATTTTTTTTCCAGTTATCAATTGTTCAATATACTGTACTATATGCTTAAAACCACTAGCTATTAGTGTTGTACTTGTCTAATATAAGAAGTTGCGAGTTGCTGCATCTGACTTTTGGGGGGTAGTGTGTTCTTTCCCTAAATGAGGTAACATATTTATATGTGATTTTTTGTTCATTACAGGCTGATAAAATATTAGTCGACAACTTGACATTGGATATTTTCCAATCTACTCAGTTCTAACTGGATATATTTGAAAATCGCACTAAAGTTTCCACCTCTGAAAGTGTGATTGCAGGTTGGTTCCGTACAGATTGTTCTTCCTTTATTGATCAGTTGTCATTTATTTGCAGTGCACTCAGTTTTTAAGTCGCTAATTTCAGCCTTGTGATCATGAAGATCCCTGAAAATATCTTGTTTAATTCATTATCTGTGAATTAGTTCCCAGTAGTTTGGAAATTTGAAAATTTTAAGCTTCTCTCAGATACTTCAGATCGTGGCCCAGCTCAAAACATGAATGGTTAATCATACTACCTCCTTCCTATATTATATTCCTATATTATATAGGACGGAGGTAGTATCTGCTTGCTGAAAACCAGGTAAGTGGAAGCTTTTGAAGTTATTATACAGAGATTGCATTGCATTAGATGTTTCTGCTTGTATTTCACTCACGAAATGGAAGGAAAAAAAAACTATTATCATATCAACAATTTAACATCAAGTGACCACCATAACTTCATGTTTGATTGTAAGTTTCAGTACAGAGTTCTTTTTGTGCTACAATAAAATAAAATGTCCAGCTAATAGTTATATTAGGACAGACTGGATGTTTCCAGTTCTCTGGTATACTGATGTTCTCCCCAATATGATGCAAATTTCTGCCCCGATCCGTATAGTCACTGTATTTTGCCACGATAACATTCTAGAATTGTTCTACGGCAACTTTAGGGACATTTTAGTTCCATGATTCTGTCCTGTTCTGATGTTCAGACTTACATGGTGGCTTTATTGTTCCACTATTTTTGATAACGATGCCTTTTTTCTGTAGTGACATGTGTTATCTCTATATTCATTTAATTCTTCTAAAACGATTAATATTGTGATATTAACCAGTATTTGAATAGTTCCACCGTTCTTTCTGTACCAAGTTAATTCCATTTGAGTGTACAATTTATTTAATTTACAGAAAGGTGCTTTCTATCTTATCATCTTCTGAGGCGGCAGAACTCCATGTTATTGTTATATCCTTTTGGATTGAGAAGGCTGCTGCTTATTTTGTACTTCAACACGAGTGAATTGGAAAGTAGCTGTCCAACAGTTGCTCAGTCCATTGCTCAGAGGTAAAGTTTTTCAGTGATGTCTTATTTTAAGACTAGAGATCTGTACAACAAATATGTAACCTGTACAACAATTGCTCAACAAGTGCTGGAGTAATTTATGGGTGAATAAATATATTAAAGATATTGACTAGGATGCAATGATCCTTTCTCAACAAGTTATGTCGGCAATCCGTAGGGTTTTAAAAAAATGGTTAAAAAAAACATATGGGCATGGTAACCGGTAATAACTTAGCATCTACTGTACAGGGCAACGGCTGCAAGGCTCAACAAGTTCAAACTTCACTGTAGGTGGAACTTTCCCCATGATGTATGTCCTGATAGCCAAGACTGAATTACAGGCCTCCATGATTTGTTCTGTATAATGTGGGTAACATCTGCCACTGCCGGAAGCACAAAGCCCAACATAACCACAGGTGTCGAGTTTAATACGATCGAGCGACGATGTCGTCTCAAGGATATGACATGTTAGCTCGACCAAGCCCTTCGCGTAGCAGGAACCGACGACCTCGAATTTCTTGAGACTGTCATGGCGGTGTCCTGGCATCTGCCTCAGCTGTTCAGAGTCTCCAAGAGTCCAAGGATGCCCCATATGACCCAGTGGTATGTATATGTCCCATATCTGCACATATAGGATCAAAATTAATTGTAAAACAGAGAGAACACTTCAAAAGATGGTTATATTTATGGATGATATATACTACTTGTCTTTACAAGATGAAACTAGTTACTTACATGCAAGATGAAAGTCTCGAGTGAAGGAGAGGCATCGAGAAAAGAAACAAGAGAAAGATAATCAAAGTTTGGGGACCTGTTAAGAGATATATGCAAGTGCTTGAGGCGAAGATATTTCCCTGGTACAGTTTGTGTACTGACAATCTGCATAAAGATGTCTCGTATTATTTTATTTTAATGGATGTCTACAGTTTTATGTAATTTTTTAATAGATGTCTACAATTTTATGTACAATTGCTACTCTATAATTATGTAATGCTTCAGAGTTTACCTGTGTTTGTGATGATATTCTAAGTTTTTCAACATTTGGGACAATAGACAAAAGATTGGTGAGAGCATAGCAGAGAATGCTAGAGTGATCTGAACATGACATCTCAAGGTCTTTTACTTGCAGTAAACCCAACATTCGCACTGCATGAACATGACCCCGGAAGTGAAAGGTGGCGATATTTGGAGCATAGCTCTCTACCACTTTCAGCATTTGACATCTACTCACAAAAAGAGTATGGAGCCGCTTCAGCAACTTGGTATCTTCAACTGAACTATCTCTTTACAATCCATCATTATCAACCACTCCAATGCGGGTGAATTGGAAAGAAGGTACTCTAGCTCAAACCCAGTGATTCGCACGGAATATAGATGCAACGTTGTCAATGTTCTCAGGCAACCAAGATCAGCAGTGGGGCGGATGGCACAGCGAGAGAGATGAAGATACTGAATCGAGTTACCATTACCATCAGATAAAAGCGAACATGGGAAGCTGTATTCTGCATTGCTGTTTATAGGCAGTATCAGGGTGAGTTCTTCAATCCCTCGTGTGACAGCCTTGTGAAGCCAACTGTCAATATAACTTAAGTCCACATCAGTACTATCCAAGAAAACAAGCTCTAGTTTCTTCACGCCAATGCCTGAGTGATTTTGTAAAATGTGGTTAACTTTGCTGATGAGATTTCTCGTTCTCTCATCATCACTAAATGCACTCTCCTGCAATCGGAGTAGCTCCTCACTGAACATAAGGTAGGGATAGCATCTCCAAGATCGTAAAAATGAATGAGACACACAAGCAGCACGAGCAGCATCTCGAAGTGGCATTAAGGAATGAATGTACCAAAAAATGTCCTGCATGCAAAGCAATGTGAGAACAGTAGTACTGGAAGTACGAAAGCAATGCAAAGATGTGCTGCATCACATACAGAAGAAGAAAATACACTGGTATGTAGCTGTGGTAGGTGGAATGAGAATTTCCCTCGAAAAAATTGGTGGACTGAGACATGGGATCTTTATATGAATATTGCATAAATCTTTTTCCAGACAGTGATTAGTAAGGATCAGCAAAAATTGAAATAGGTATGTTCAATCAACAAATGCTATTTCCATGCGTTCGGGAAAATCATGTTGTTATACTGTGCAATATGATATTATAAGCTAAGGATGACAGAATAGCAAAGAACCGGAAATAAACATGTATACTCTGTACAGCATACGTATAGTGCATCTGGATGTTTTGCAGCAAGAACATAGAATGAGTAGACCAGATGAATGAATAACCGTGCATAACAATATCTGGGGATTTTCTTCAGTACTTCTCTTTAAAAGATTTGGAGATTGTCAAAGCAAAGTTGAGTATAGTTATCAATGACGAGTAAATTCATACAGATATTTATCTGAATCGTCCTTATCTTTATAGGCAATATTGAATCAGATGTGATTAAATCCTACAACTTATAACCAAAGATGCAGTTCGTCAACTAGGATCAGAGAATATTAGTAACAGAATCATATAAACACGACTGAAAATGTGATGCATTCAACCCTACACCTAACATTAAAATTATATCTAAAATTATCTTCAAAAGAATTAAAATTATATAAGCATACCTATCTTTATATCTTGTAGAGAGTGAATTTAGCAATGAATTTTTCTCTTTAAATATCACGGGCCAAATGAAGGGTTCACACTAACATTCACATTCCCATGCCCACCACATTACTCCTACCTACAAATTCCTATTCGAGCCACAACTAATTCACATGCATGTAGGCTTTGCACTATAGTAATTTATACCTCTAGAAGGTCTGCACCTGATCTTATTCGTTTGTCATCTTGGCAATCATCATCTTGTTGGCAAGGAGAGCCCTTCCTTTTGGCCACTGACTCAGTTAATCCATCTAAAAATACATCACACTATCATAAGAACCCCAAAAATAAACTAATAATAATGGAATGCAAGCATGGCATGAAAATTGCAATGTAGAAGTTAAATTAATCCATCTGGAAGCTTTAAACTCGGTCTTGGAAGGACAAAGATATGAGTTGATAGTCTTCAATCTAAGCGATTTGAAAAGTTCACAATCTGCAGCTGGAAGCTAATGGATTTGTGCCGTAAGCTTCGTTCTCACTAGTTGAGCCGAAAGCTAGCGATTTTTTTTTTCTGGAGTTTTTGTGAATTTTGGTTCAATCTGAGGTAGACATGCTGCGCAAAGAAGTCAAGAAGAGGGGAGCTCGTCGAGTTCGTCGTACCTGTCGTCGGAGAGGAAGCCATGGCGTCCTAGGCTCCTAGCCGAAGCAGCAGCAGATGAAGCCCCTCTCCCTCTCCTCGCCGCCTCCGAATAAGAAGCGGCCGCGTCTTCCGTAGCACCGGCGAGCGGCGGCGGCGGCGGCGGCGCTTGTTCGTGACGGAGACGCCCGGCGAGCGAGGGCTAAGGCTTCCAGGCCCCGGCCCCCGGTGGCTAATATGGGCTGGGCTGGGGTCTCCCGGTCGAGGAATAAGTTCACTTTGACTCCCTTAATAGTGGTCCAATCTAATTCGTACCCCTGAATTACAATTTGACTCCCAACTATTAAAACCGGTACAACTTGACTCCCTCAACGGTCTTAAAGGGAGGTTTTACTGACTTGGCACCTATGTGACGGTGTTCCCTTAATAGTGGTCCAATCTAATTCGTACCCCTGAATTACAATTTGACTCCCAACTATTAAAACCGGTACAATTTGACTCCCTCAACGGTCTTAAAGGGAGGTTTCGCTGACTTGGCACCTATGTGACGGTGTTGACCTGGTCTTCGTTCCACGTGACGGTGATGTGACGCTTATGTGGCATTAGACTTAAGAAAATATATATGTGGGATCCATTTGTTAGTGATAAAAAAAAATTATGGGACCTACTAACATAGGGGGCCACAGGTCATCCTCTCTCCTTTCCTTCCTCCTCCTCCCTCTCTAGCTTCTCTCTATGCCATAAGACCAAAACCAAGTCAACACCGCCATATATATTTTTTTAATTGTAGTGCCACATAAACGCCACGTAGGATGAAGACCAAGTCAACACCGCCACATCAGCGAAACCGCCCTCCAAAACCACCGAGGGAGTCAAATTGCATCGGTTTTGATAATTAAGGGGTTGAGATATCCGGTATTGTGGTTCAGAGATATGAATCAGATTCGACCACTACTTAAAGGAGTCTAAGTGAACTTGTTCCCCCGGTTGAAGCCTGGTGCTCTCAGCCCGGCCCACTAGAGAGATGGAGCCCAGGTGTTGTGGCGGCGACGACGCAATTTTCTCTGCAACTTTTTTTTTAATCAAAGTTATAGAAAAATTGGCAATACTTTTTTGGAAGAAACTATCGGAATATATGTTTAATGCTAGGCGTAATGAAACTAATTTAATGATATAAATGTTGTTATATTTTTTTATAAAATTCTAAAATGTTTAAGTTAGAGGGAGTATCTGGTATAACTGGAATATAACGAGGCCATAAATAATTCACAACGGTTAAGACTTCATCAAAGCTTTATTTGTCCGTAAAAACTCCCGCGGCGTTTTTCTCTTCCCGCAGGCGCTGTTTGTTACTGTCAGAGTGTCATTTCCAAATAGATTTGTTGCCTTCTATCATCTCTGAAACTGTGGATGCAGACCACGGCCATGACCGACGCCGTGGACCTTTTTTTTCTTTCTTTTCTGTATTTGCTGAAAAATAACTGAATTTTTCATTATAGTGGGTCAGGCGGATGGCCACACACACATATCACAATCCAGCTGAAAATTCATGCTGCTAGATTTGCAGATACTCCAGTTCCTGAACAGACTCGCACAAAGACTGAACACAAAGAAATCAACTAGTAAACGAAGCAAGCTGGAATGATGGGAACATGCATGTTACTACAACTAAACCAATAGTCAGCAAGAGTTGAAATGGAGGCTCATCAACTTAGATCATCAGCATGATGGAATTAATTAAAGTAACATACTTTTTGCAAGTGGTGAAGAAGCACTGGGAGACCAATAATCTGGATTAGGTCCAATTTTTTTCTGGTCTAATGCCATTCCAATGCAAGTCAAAGATTGCTCCACTGTGAAGCTTACCTGAGCCACTGGGACCAGACTTCCAACTTGCAGTACTAATATAATACTAACACTATAGCACTGGCTTCAGATAGCAGACCAAGTGCACTAGTGCAGAGATTTCTGAACAATTAGTTTGGTACTATAACTTATTTTTTAGCTGTAAAATGGCAGAGTTCAATTGTCTCTAGCCAAAAAAAAAAAAAAAAACAGATGACCTGAAATACTAGCTGAAAACTTTGACCTATTATTCATTGCACAATGCAATGCAACACTTCCAAGATCTCACAAGTCACAAGCCTCAGATCCAAGGTGCTTTCCTGCTCACAAATGATTCTGTTCATGCTGCTCCAGAACATGATCACCAGACTGTTGTATAGACAGACCTCGTTCATCATCAATTCAGACTTGTTAAGTACAGGCCTATCTCTAATTCTTAATTTATATTATTTGTTGCTTTCTGCATAATTTATGAGATGGATTCTCTCTGGTCCTATATACTATCCGTGTTCAATGCAATGTTTGGAGCTTGGAACAATCTAGATGCCGACATATTTATTTCCCAAGATTTAAACTGGACCATATAGTTTTGGTTCAATGATGTGTACTGAAAACTATAGTCAGAAAATATTGTCCGATGCAGCGTTAGAAAATGGCATATGAGATATCTGGTTAGGCGAGCAAAATCCCAGAAGCACCACACTAATAAATAGCTAAATGATTTTGTGACGATTATTCGAGGGTACAAACGGAAAAATGGATTTAAAATAATTTTCTAAGAAACTCATATAGAGGAAGTATTTCTTGCTTTCCTTAGAAAAGAACACACATTGGCTTTCTTGCTGTGAGCTGCATGTTCAACCAATTGAATCAGGGAGAAGAAACAAAGGCAAATGCTGACAAGAAGGCCATATTTTTGCCTGCAGAATGTACAATTTTTCGCAGAGTACAATGATGTGTTCTCTGCTCATTTTTGGATTCTGTAGCAAAAGTCAAGTATAGTAGAATATGCAACATCACTGGAATCTGCAGCATATACACAATTTTTCACAGAGTACAATGATGTTTTCTCTGCTCTTTTTTTGGATCATGTAGCACAAATCTAGTAGTAGAATAATGGAACAACATCACTGGAATCTGATGGCCCCATGCAAAGAAGCAGCTGTGGTGTAAAGGCAGGAAATGGACAAGAATCGTCCTAGGACTAAGGCTTAGCAGCATGAATGCATGATGGATGGTTCAGAAAGGGGGCCATTCATGGACAGATTGCCAGTGCGAATAAATAGGGCTTATAAAAGGAATCCAAAGTTCAAAAGACCCCGTTTAGTTCAGCTGCAGATTATAATCCAAAAAGAATTTGATTTTTAAAAATAATCTTAGGTAGATTTTCTAATAGTATAATGTAGTACGGTGTACCATAAAGGGATTCTTATAGAGCAACCAAAGTGATGAATCATGAAGAAAACCCCTAAAATTGAGTATGAATTTAAATTATAAAATTCCTTTCAGGTTATAATCTGCGGCAGAACAAAGGAGAGAGTAAAACTATATCTCTAATTACTGGGAAAAAACTGCAAAAAAAAAGCACAGTTGCAGACAATATGCAGTGTCTCTATCAACTATCACAACAAGATGATTGTTACTCACCATAAACAAAAAAAGTCGGTTGTCAATTGTCATTCATTCAGTCATCACTCACTCACTACGAACGAGTGAAGTGAAGATAGCCTGGCACTCTTGATTAATATCCATTTGCTGAACCCTGTGCCTGAAAACGCACCGAAAATTCTGAAAACTGTAGCCTCGTGACATCGTGCCGACATTCTACTGAATTTACGCTAAAAACACCGCACAAATCGGCAGGAAAAATACTCTCTTTTCTTCCTTGTAGTACACTTGCGTCGAAGTCTCCAAGCACAAAATCTCGCAAACAGTGGCCGAACTCTGAAACGGCAAGCAGCAGCAGCGGCCTGTACTGAATATGTGCTCATGCTGCCCATCAAAGATGCTAAAAATGAGCAGCAAATTAGAGACTGGACCATGCTGATGATCCCCTCACCAACCAGCCACTACCTGCTGCCTCATTGCTGGACGAATCAAGAGCCATGTGATTCAGTGATTGATCACACAAACATACATACACACTCTGCAGAAGTAGTAAATGTCAGTGGTTGATGAGCCTCACTGAAATGCAGAGTCAGGGCCTGAATCTGCACAAGTTTCTGTAGACAGAAAGATATGGTTTTATCTATTAAAAGATTGTGATGATTCAGATTTCAGAAATAAAAGTAGAAGTGTAGAAGTGAAGTTCTTTCTTGCTTGCAGCTGAGCTTAGCTTCATGATGTGGATTGGATTGGATTGGATTCCATCAGCAACAGCATGTTGATATGGCTTACATCATCAGGTGGAACAAGAACAGAACAAGTGATGACACTGTAAAAGAAAAGAACAAGAAAAAAAAGAGACATTTTGATTCGAAGGAAGCCAGTGACTTCATCTTTCTTTCTGTCCTGGCTTCCAAGTGTTTTTGATCTTTATCATCATCTCTATACCCCTCTCATATTTATCTACCAACAACAGTGTTATTTCTCCACCATTATTCCCTTGTTTCTAATCACTAAAAATTAAACACCTCAAGAAGAAGAAGAAAAGAAATTAATAGGGGCTTAAACAATAAGCACTTACAATGTTATACAGACAAGAGCCTCCAAGAACTAGCTATGGAATACACACTTGCATGGTGTCTCATGGTGTTGTGCTGCTCGATCATGATGACGCCGACATCGCCGCGGCCTTCTTCTTCTTCTTGGAGGCCGACGAGGAGGAGGGCTTGCCGGCGCCGGCGACCTTGGCGGCGATCTTGGGGACGTCGAGCTTGAGCTTGTAGTAGTCGGCGAACCAGTCGACGAAGTGGCGGAGGCCGGCGTCGAGGGAGGTGGTGGGGCGGTAGCCGAAGTCGTGGGCGGCGTGGGTGACGTTGGCGTGGGTGAAGGGCACGTCGCCATTGCTGGGCATGGCGACGATGCGCTTGTTGGCCTTCTTGCCGAGGAGCTTCTCGAGGATGGCGACCATGCGGGTGACCGGCACCGGCGAGGTGTTGCCGAGGTTGTAGACGCGGAGCGGCGCCGGGCCGGACTTCTTGCCGGACTTGGAGGAGCCGGTGCTCTTGCCGGAGGTGTCGAGCGCGCCGAGGCAGCCCTTGACGACGTCGTCGATGTAGGTGAAATCGCGGCGCGCGTCGGCGCCGTCGGCGGCGCGGAACAGCGTGATGGGCTCGCCGGAGACGATGCTCTTGGCGAAGAAGAAGTAGGCCATGTCGGGGCGGCCCCATGGCCCGTACACGGTGAAGAAGCGGAGGCCGGTGATGGAGAGGCCGTAGATGTGGTTGTACGTGTG